TATAATATACTGCTCTCCAGGCCAAACCATCACCAGGGATACAAACTTACAGAGACGCTTTGTTTCCAGCGCGACAAACACCTCGTGATGCCCAAGGTAGCAGCGTGAGTCAGAGTCGCTAATGATGAGTTGTGCTAAACAGACGTTGAGAGCCAGTATAAACAATAGCTATTCACAACGCTGTCACATCCAACAACTAGTCGCACGTCCGCGTGAGGGACAACTGTTAAACATTACGAACTTAGAAGTTGCGATTTCGGCGGTAATAGTCATGAAGTTGATTGTTCAAAGTTAGGAACACACGCTTCATACATGGCACGTGCTTGTTGCCAGGTGACGGCCAATGGGCGACCAGAATAAGCAGTCAAGATCAGGCGATCCTGACCGCTTAGCCGGTCAAGAACTTCAGTCAGCCGGTCAAGAACTTCAGTCAGCCGGTCAAGATCTGGAGTAAAACTTGCCCAACTAACTTGACTGACTCACGACTGCCATCCGGAGCACACGAGGAGCACGTCGCACCTTCCACTCGGCAAACCTGCAAGAAAGCACCACTCCCTGCTCAATACACAGTGTTTCTGGGAATTCACCCCTCATTAGGGTCCAGCGGATAATGCCGGCATTATATTCGGCATTATGAGACTATCAGAGCATCAGAGCTTTATGGAGCATTAGGAAGGAACAAGACGAGCTTTATGTGAGGTTTGAGCGGCATAACGAGTTTTATAGTGGATATAAATGTCGGGAAATATAAGGTTTTTGGCAACAATCGGCTAAAGCCGTGAGGTGCAACGCCATTTTACCTGACTATGTATGTACATTGTATGTATGTACATGTATGTATGTATAACTCATAATCACAAGGTGATCGTAGAGGCATTAATCAGCGAGAGAATTGTGAATGATGTCTCTGAATCCAACTCTATCGTGTGCTGCATGAGAGAGAGCATGCAAGGGAAGACCCGCCCAACTTTTAATGTTAGAAATCCATGATGTCGCGGGCCTTCCTCTCGGTCGAGATCCAGGAGTTGATCCTTGCAGGAAGGGCTTGGAGAAAACGTGATGTCTCGTAACATGGCCAAACCACATCAACTTAAATTTCTTGACTTCGTTCGCTAGCCGCATCCTTGCTCTGATGATGTCATTGATTTCTTCCAGGATAGATTGGTTGGTACGCCGGTCGTGGTATGTTACTCCTAAGAGTCGGCGGAAGCATTTCATCTCGAAGGATGAAATTCTTCTCATTGATGAGGCAGATAATGTCCAAGATTGGCATCCGTATAAAACAGTCGCTAGCACAATAGACCTAACAAAACGAAATTTAGTAGGCAAAGAAAGTGATGGCGATTTCCAAATGAATTGAAGCTCAATGATCTTTTGCTTCCCTAGTGCTAAGCGTCTTCTTATCTCCACATCGGACTTGCCATCCGACGTGATTACGGCACCTAAGTATTTAAACTGGGATACCTCTTCTATTCGCTCATTGCCTACTTGAATGCACCCCAGATCACCACCGCCTTCCGGTGCTGCCATTGACTTGGTCTTGGAAGCATTGATCTGCATGCCTAGTCTTGTTGCACTCGTATCCACGTGCTCGGTCAGGTCCATCAGCTCTTCCACAGACGATGCGATTAGATCTATATCATCCGCAAAACGTAGGTTGGTCACGCACATGCCGCCGATACATACTGACCCATCAAACTCCTCCAAAGCGTCAGACATGATGTACTCCAGGAATACGTTGAACAGACAAGGCGAGAGTAAACAGCCCTGCCTGACACCCACTGACGTGGTGAACCAATCGGTGATAGTGGATCCAACAACGATGGCAGCTTCAGTAGTAGCGTAAAGCGCTTCAATCAGGTCCACAGTTCTTGCTTCGATGCCATGCGCTCTCATAATCTTGAATAGTGCTTTGTGCCAAACCCTATCAAAGGCCTTACGGAAATCGATGAAGCAATGATACACAGCCTGCTGATGGTCACGGTACTTTTCAATTAACATTCTGAGGTTGAAGATTTGGTCCACTGTGCTTCTTCCCTTCCGGAACCCTGCTTGCTCATCCGCCAGCAAACCCTCCACTTGCAGCTGCAGGCGCTTCAGCAAGATCCTCAGTAGCACTTTGCTCGGATGACTGATGAGGCTCACTGTCCTATAGTTTTGGCACTGCCGAAGGTCTCCAGACTTACGGATGGGAACAAGAATGGACCTTGTCCATGATGTTGGCCATCTACCATTCATCCATGCGAGGTCACAAATCCTGTGCATAACAGCCACCAACGTATCTCCACCATGTCGCAAAAGCTCGCCAGGAATGTTATCGAACCCCGCTGATGTGTTGTTCTTGAGGGAGTTGATAGCGTATTCGACTTCGGTCCTCAGAATGGGATTGTTGTTGGCATTATCTGACATGGCTGGAGTAACGATTACGTTAAGGACTTTATCATCTACGTTCAGGTCCACGTTTTACAAAGATGCACCGTACTCACACCACCGCTGAGCTACTTCTTCCTTTTTCGTTAAAGTGGATCCGTCCGCTGCTTTGATCACCTGCATTGCTGATCCTGATTTCTTGCTGCATAGACTCTTCAGAGTTTGGTATGCTCCGTGGGGGTTGTGGTTGGCGATGTCATCTTCAATTGACTTGCATTTATTTTGTAGCCAATTCTCTTTGTCTCGTCGGATTAACCGCTTGGTCTCCCGATTCGCCACACGATACTCTTCCTGTGCCGCAGCAGAACCAAAGCGGCTCCCTCTCAATTGTCGGCGAGTATCACACTGCCTTTAAACGTCTCTAGGGCTGAACAAACGAAGCAATTGCCTTGGCGGTGCCCATATCCTCTCCAAGGCCTAACAAACGTGGAGCTAAAAAACTTCCAACCGCTCTGCTCCGCAGTACTACGAACCCTGACTACATACATGGTAGTGCCATTGCTACATAAGGTCATAAAGTCTTTATGTAGCAATGTAGTCAGGTAAATGTAGATCTACAGGTGATGAAGCATGCCCAATACACACAATGATTGTCGCAACTGAGGCTGTTACACAAAATCCGTAACGCTGATTTACGAGGAGTTCTTTTTTAGAAATCATGGAGAGCCATGGAGGAGACTAGACGTCCGCGAAGTGAATATCAAAGAGACGAAGAGGAGTTTTCCTGTTCAGTGATGCCATAGGCTCTGGCCATAGCATCTCTAGCGATACTGAAGAAAACACTGATCTATCATAGTGATAAATTTGGACCTGTATGAAGGAGCGGCTATAAACAGAAAAAGCTTGTTCCAAATACTGTAACTGCCTTTGCCGAGTCCAGCTCAGCAGGCTCGAAAAGAACTAGAATTTCTCATGGAGGCAGTACCAAGTCGATTTGAGTGCTCAGGAGCGCGTGTCTTTCCTGGTGAAGCACGTACAGTTCGTCGTGGACGATTGTAATGCAAGGCCTACAGTCAAGTGCTATCAGAAAAGAGGAGAGGATTGTGGCCAACCATTTGTCTCCACGCAACCTCAGGAGAAGAAGACAGCGCAACTTGCGGCAGAGGATGTAGAGCGGCAAAATAACTTCTGACCACGTCTTTTCAGGATTTCCGCACATGGGAGGGATCTCGATCTGAGATCGTCTCTCGACTGGCCTCACGTGAGCTGTTTCAGATGAAGACTGGCATTTTCACAGTGTGGAAACAGTGTCAGCTTGTCTGCAGGCAGGAATACCACTTCCCATGATATGCTTCCAGCATCCAAATGATCACCAGCAATAATGGTTTCACCTCTCACTACATGGCCCCATGATAAGCAAGGGAAAAGATTCGATACACCCACTATTCAGCCACAGCCCTTCATCAAAGTTGCAATGGAGAGCAGACAATGGAGAAGTGGTGGAGCTCGTGAGAGATATTGTAGCAGCTTAAGAGGCAGATCGACTAAATGCATCCTTTCCTGGAAGTTTGACAATGTACAGCCTTTCTTCCATTTTTGTTCCAAACCAAGAGCATTATAGCTAGCCTTGTTGAAGCATTATAATCAGCTCCACCACTTCTCCATTGTCGGCTCTTCGTCTCTTTGATATGCACTTCGCGGACGTTTGGTCTCCTCCATGGCTCTCCATGATTTCTAAAAAAGAACTCCTCGTAAATCAGCGTTACGGATTTTGTGTAACAGCCTCAGTTGCAACATTGGGCATGCTACATCACCTCATTTACCTGACTACATTGCTACATAGCCTGGTCATAAAGACTTTATGTAGCAATGGCATTACATGTATGTAGTCAGGTAAAATGGCGTTGCACCTCCTGGCTTTTAATAATAGCCGATTGTTGCCAAAAACCTTATATTTCCCGACATTTATATCCACTATAAAACTCGTTATGCCGCTCAAAGCTCACATAATGCTCGTCTTGTTCCTTCCTAGTGCTCCATAATGCTCTGATGCTCGGGTAGTCTCATAATGCCGAATATAATGCCGGCATTATCCGCTGGACCCTACCCAAGAGCCACTTAAAAAATAAAGCCCTCTTTGTGGTGCTCCTCCCCCCCCCCCCCCCCCTGCGCCCCAGCTTCAACCAAGCGCATGTGCAAGTTTGGTGTTATTTTGCTAACGTTCTTGTCCATGTCATTGCACTGGTTGTTTCAGGATCAAAATTGCAGTTCTTGTTGCTGAATAGTGCCCCCGCCCCCCCCCCCCCCCCATCTGTGATGGACATAATCGTCATTGAAAAAATTGTAACTTCTCGTATACCGGTATAACCGGTATATGAGCAACATCACTTGCTGGATCATGGATGATGTGTTGCTATGTAATTGTTGGGTGTTCGACTGTTCGTGAATCGCGATTATTTGCTTTTACAAGTACCCTTGTGATCACAGAAGTAGTTGATGTAATTAGTTGAGAAATGACGTAATGTCACGGGCTTTTTGATCTTGTAAATCACGCGATTCGTGATTTGTGGCATTTTGTCACATTTACGTACATATCGTCGCGTGCGTATGCACGTGAACGATGGGAACTCGTACGAGCGGGAAGTCTTTTGTTTTGTACTGAACATGAATGAGAGTTTGAATCTCCGAAAGTCCAATGTATGGCAGTTCGGAGGTAACTGGAGGCAGCTGCAGGTTGATCTACATCGTAGTTGGTCCATTGCATTGTGCCGCGTGTCCTGTCCGAAGCCAACAGACGACTCAAGTCAAGGCCACCACCCTTGCAGAGGCTTCTCCCGCTAGAGCTTAGTTCAAGTAAGTAACAGTAAGTTGCTAGCAGTTCATGGCTCGTGGCCGTGCTACGATGTCAAATGCTACGAAATTACCACATACCACTGAAGACTAAAGTGTTTCTTTCACTGATCGAAATACATTCTACACTCTATGTGCTAGCTAGAGGGATAGAGCTCTCTACGACGTGACTCCGAATAATTTGTAATCCGTAGCCAGCTAATAGTGAACTCAACTAACTCCCAGGCAGCGTCTGAGCCCGCACGCGCAGAGCTCACTGCACAGTACTACTCAGTTATGATGACGATGTCACGAGCACAGGTGACCACCTTTCTGGTTCAGGTTTTACTGCCACTGCTGGTAGTGCTACTGCTAGGGCCCATTCACTGCAGGGCTGATGTTAGTGCACAGCCTACTCCGCCGTCCGGCACAGCAGTACCTGACTATGCCAAGGCAGCGGCCCAGTATCAATCCACCCAGGACATTGTGAATCGAGTATGGCCTAAGCTGAGCCCGGAGGTCCGTAGTTACCTGGATGTGCAGCTGAGGCCCCGTTCGCAAGTGCGGCCCATGGTCACTGCGCCCGGCAGTGTGGGTATATCTGCTGCCGCTGCCAACGCGGCTACACAGGATGAGATCTCTGGTCGGTGCGTGCTGGGACTGCGGCGCATGATCAGCTTGGCCAACCTGACCAGCCCGGCTACACTGGCGTGTGAGTATGTGTGTACTGCTGCCGCCGCCGCTGCTGCTGCCGCCGCTGCTGCTGTGACCGAGGTTGCTCCTGCTGCTGCTGCCGCCGCCGCTGCTGCTGTGACCGAGGTTGCTCCTGCTGCTGCTGCTGTGACCGAGGTTGCTCCTGCTGCTGCTGCCGCTGCTGCTGCTGTGACCGAGGTTGCTCCTGCTGCTGCTGTTACTTCTACTGTTGCTTCTACTGTTGCTGTGCTGCTGCCATGGCAACGGCATGGCTGCTGCCACTGTGCATGGTGCAGCATACTGTAAGCCGACAAATTTTCGGCCCATTCGAATTTCGGCCTCCCACGGCTAAAACACATTTCGGCTGCAACAAATTGTCAGCCTGTACTGCTGCCGCCTGCATACACTGTCGCACTGAACCTTGCAAAACAAAATTTCGGCTGCAACAAATCTTCGGGCAGATATGATCAGGCCGAAAATAGGCGAAAATAAATATGCGCCGAATATTTGTTGACTCACAGTACACATGCTCTCATTGTCTTGATGGGTTGGATCAGGTACTGGTTGGTTCACTCTCATCATGGGCGTGTGTACTTGTGATAAAACCGGGGGGGGGGGGGGGGGGGGGTGCAGGGGGCATGGATCCCATTCGTACACTTCCACAGCACACGTTTGGTTCATTCGTATCATCATCCAGGGTGAATTTATTAGTGCTGAGACGGGTAGCGTTTTCTTCGGGTCCGGGTAGGTTTCCACGGGTAGCACGGGTACCCGATCGGGTAATGTTTCCATGGTAATACCACACTGCACCCCTTCCCTTACACACTGGGTGGACGAGCGGGGTATTACATGAACTTGTACACATGCACCGCACATGATGTCGTCTGCGACTTCGGGTTTCGGGTACTATTCTTCGCCCGACTACCCAAGGTCCTCACGGGTAGCGCGGGTACCCGACTACCCGTGCACACCACTAGAATTTATGCAGGGCTACCACCATTTGCCAGTATGACGAGGGCCCGCGTTGAAGCCTATGTATTCTAACTGAAGTAGCGTGGCTTGCGGTTCACTGCATAGAAACTACAAGAAGGCAACCAACACATAGCCCCACACTATGGTCAAATGGATTTCTTAAAGTTTTCTTTGAAATGAATGGTAGTATCACGAGAGTCTTGTATCCATAAAAGTGGATCATATCTCTCTCTCTCTCTCTCTTTCACGAGACACGGATAAGCAGTGCACACGGAACATTACTAGATGCCTAAGTTAGCCACCGAGTACATGTACAGTCAACTTCGCTATAATAACGACTGCGGATATAACGACAATTCGCGAATAACGACAGAATTTCCATGCCCAGAGCAAAGTCCCATCTACCTGTATACATATAATGAGACTCGGGTATAAGGACACTTCGCGAGTGAGGACACTTTTCTGATGCCCCCCCCCCCCCCCCCGATTGTCTTTATATGCAAAGTTGCCTGCATGTTGCCTCTTCTTTCACGGTTGTGTTTTGGCAGCTGCGGATGCGGCCGGTAAGCCTGCTAGCGGTCTGCTGGCATTCAACACCAAGTTCTGGGGCGACTACGGGGAATGCGAGATCTACTCCAACGTGTCCAGGTACTGCCTGGTATCGGCCAGCCTGTACGTGTTCAGTGCATTGGTGCCTGTCACGCAGTACCTTGGTGTAAGTCTGTGGGTGGGGAGGGGGGAGTGTGTGTAGGTGTGTGTGTGTGGGGGGGAGTGTGTGTGTGAGTGTGTGTGCATGTGTGTGTGTGTGTGCATGTGTGTGTGTGTGCATGTGTGTGTGTGCATGTGTGTGTGTATGTGTGAAACCAGTACATGTGCTACACAGTTTTTCTCTTTCATCTGGGACAGACTCGTGAAGCAGAACAGTTGTTTTTCTAGCACCCACACACATTTTAAAAATTATGTAGATGCACTGGTATTACAGTGCGTTACAAAAATATACACGTGGTTTCAAAAAACCGTTCGGCCAGCATCTGTACCACATAAAATCTGTGGTCACTTTGTGCACAAAAATTCCGAAATTGGGCGTTTGTTGTCCGATCGCTTAAAAAATCTATATCAGAGTAATTGGGGGAAGGACCTGAGTAATATTCCGAAAAAATTCTCAAAAACTCCAGCCAAATTTGAAATATTTCAAAAAATACCAGGCGTGTATATTTTTGAAATGCACTGTGATGTTGTCTCTGTTGTGTGCATGGTTGTGTAAGCTTGAAATGGGGGGGGGGGGGGCTCTATTTAATAGTATTTTATCCTGTCCGTGGTGTCGTGAGCAGCGTACACCCCCTAGTGTGAGTGTGTATGTTTATGGGTGTTTATGTGCCCATGTGTGTGTGTGTCTGTGTGTGTATGTGTGTTTGTGTGTGTGTGTCTGTGTCTGTGTGTGTGTGTGTGTGTGTGTGTGTGTGTCTGTGTGTGTGTGTCTGTCTGTGTGTGTGTCTGTGTGTGTGTGTGTTTGTTGCTGTGTGTGTGTGTGTGTGTGTGTGTGTACGACTCTGAGCATTGGCTCATGGAATGTTTGCTCTGTTGTGGAGAGTGATGGACCAGTTCGAGCGGCCGCCGTGAGAGGAATCGTTTCCGACGATAAGAAAATCTTTCAAATAGTTGAACATCTTGACAATGTGTGTGTTCTCTGCTCTGGTGGAGAACGGTTGTACTTTTTCGGGCTCTTGTTTCTGGCCTCCGTCCGTGCTTGTTCTCGCCGTTGTGGACGGCCTGGGGTGTCCCCAGCCGTCCAGGCCAACAGTGCCTGAGGTGGGGTATTCACCGACAGGAGACTTGGTCGGATAGTTACGATGCCGACACTCTCCTCGTCGCCCCCACCTCGGAGTCCTTCGCGAGGCTTTGCAAGCCCGCGAGTGGAGCAAACTACCGCACGAAGACGACAACTTGGAACGACTCTGAGCGTTGGCTCATGGAATGTTCGCTCTGTTGTGGAGAGTGATGGACCAGTTCTAGCGGCAGCAGTGAGAGGAATCGTTTCCGATGATAAGCCAGATCCATAGCTGCTGGAGATGGCTCTCTCGAACATGGTCCCGCTCGTCGTTCTATATTGTCGGCCCCGTAAGGGGACACGTGACCGTAATGGCAGTGTTTACCAGGACCAGGTGTGTGTGTGTGTGTGTGTGTGTGTGTCTGTGTGTCTGTGTGTGTGTGTGTGTGTGTGTGTGTGTTGCTGTGTACACGCGTGTATGTGTGCATGTATTGGTGCATGTGCCTGGTCTGCTGTTCAGTATCAGCCACATCAGTGGGGTTTCTGCGTGCCCAAGGAGTGCACAGAGCACGACGTGTCACTACTCTTTACGTACGGCACCTTCAGTAAGTCCACGATGCGGGTATGAATCCAAGTCCTGTATGCTACTCACTGTACTGTTCTCTAACTTACCAGCTGAGAGATGTAGCACCCAGTTCAGCTGGTCAGGCCATGACCGGACCTTATATCGAAAAAAGTTGACCCACGCTATTAGTGGAAACCTGGGTTTTTGTGAATACTGTTGTCCCTCTTTAGTGCAGCAGTTTATAACCGGCACCCTCTATAAACCAGCATAATTTTCAGCAACCGAAATGTCCTTTTGATGCACAGTGCAGCAGTGGATCAGATTTTCTAATCCAGCACCCTAGGCTAATCCAGCAGAATTTCCGTAGCACAACTGGTGGCGGATGACCAAGGGGCCACTGTACTGTTCATTTCAGGACCGCCGCAAGCAGTTTTTGATTGGTCCGGTAGTATCGTGGCCTTTCATACAGTTTGTGTGTGATATGGCGGGTCTACATAACCTCCACAGTACTAAGCGCATGTTGGTGGCCAAAATGTTGGTCCGGTAATAACCTGACCAACCGGACCCGTTCCGGCGGGCCTGCGTTTCTGGTGAAGTATCCCATTTGGTCGGACCACCTGAAGTCCCAGCGCTACGACCCTGACTGGTCCAATGAATCAACATTTCACTGGTCTACTGTTCTCAGTGGAAATGAATCCATTGCACATGCACCACCCACTGGTACACCAGACACTGCTCTGGCCATGTGATGCCGGACTTCCAGAATTAAAAAAATTATACCGGTAATAATACATTAATATTACGGGTCCGCTAGCAGGGCAGGTGAAGAACCACCTTTCTGGTCCAGAATGGTGTTTTCTGATAGGAAGAAGCTCTATTCTGTAAGCCGAAAAGTGCTGAAGTGACCCACATACAACTGCACAGTGCAGATTCTGTACGAAGTTGTACGCGATGGCTCTCAAGCTCGCTCGTGTGTGTGTGTGTGTGTGTATGTGCATGTGTGTAATCATGTACTCGCAGACGGGACATCGATCCCTCTGAAGGACCTGTACCGCATCCAACCCAACACTTCCGTGAGCGCGGACTGCACACTGGAGATAGAATACGAAGCCCGTCACATCGCGTCCATGTACGTACACGTAGCTCGGATACCGTCATCAATGCTGGGGCTTGTATGTATTGCATTTAGTAGTTTGTCTCTCTTTTTGTTGCATTTGATAGTATGTACTGTTGAGGCAATGAACTGAAATACTGTAATTTCACAAATTTTCGGTGTACTTAAATTTTCGGTACTTTCGGTGCGTCTGTTTCATACCTAAAATTTCAATACACCGAACAAACACTAACACACATAATCCAATAGGGAACTGCTTCTCTGTACCGAAAATCTCTGTTCACCTAACCTGGCCTGTTGCCCTCATACCGAAAATATTGAGCACCGGAAATTTCTGAAATTCGAGTACTACTAGTAAAACCAAAACCAAGTGAAACATAGTACCGACTGCATTCTTCAGTATCATGTGGTGAATTGCCCAAGGGGTTTTATTTTTTAAAAATGTCACGAAGTGCAGCCGCTACAGCTACAAGATACCGGCATTTTCTTTGAGAAAGTACGGCGCATGTAGTGTCTGTGGAGCTCGTGAGTTCCCACTTGAGGCCAGCGCAGATCTTCCGGGATAATTATGTGAGTCCAGTACTCTCTGGGTATAGTATAACTTACGTCACCCTTTGCATTGGACAAAGTACTGTACATGTATATTAATTAAAGCAGAAATATTTGTCTGGAATTTAATTTCATCCAAGGAGCTTTTGGACTAAATTAAATGCTGGACTAATGTTGATTTGTCCAGCTTTTCATTGCACTATTATGATCCATGGACGAAATTTGCAACCGGACGAACTCCCTTTCCTTGGAGTTGGACGAAATTATTGACCGACGAAATTTTCTGCCTCTGCAGTACAGTGAAACCTATCTAAGACGACCGCTCAAGGTACCTTCAAAACGTGGTCTCTGTTACCAGGTGATCTCCGTATCCAGGGTCATTTGACTGGAAATAGCATCCCTTGATCCTGGTTTCGGTGGTCTTCTAGGACAGGTGGTCGCCCTATCCAAGTGGTTGCCTTGACAGGTTTTACTCTACAGTAAAACCTGTCTGTACAGTAAAACCTGGTGTAAGCGACCTGTGGGCTTAGCGACCACCTGCTCTTAACGACCGTTTTTCCATGCACCGACAGTTCTGCACAGACACTGTGGGACCTGGTTCAAAAGGCCACCTGGCTTTAGCGACCGATTTTGCCTGCACGGCGTGGGGTGGTCGCTTAAACCAGGTTTTACTGTACTTTGTTTGTGGACGCTGTGTATCATTGTCCAGTCCTTTATCTGTAGGTATACAGTCTGCATTGGCTATACAGTACAGATTTGTATGTTCCCTGAAGGCACAGCTGAAGTTTCTTTGTACATAGTAGTGATAGTGCTGAATCTTACTGCACCTATTCTGCCTGCCTTGTGCTCGTTCGTTTTCCTTCCAAAACAGCTTCATCTGCGCTGCCCTGGGTCTGTTTGTCTTGCTCGGCACGACGATCGACTGGTTGGACGAGTCGTTAAAGGCTCCCACGCCAGAGGAGCAGGACGGGCCAGCGATAGCGTACACTCCGCCGCCCGGCGCGCCTCTCAATGCTCCTGTAGCGACTCCCACCTCCAACACCAGCACATCGACAGGCGCTCTCACAGGCTCGCGTGTGATTACAGAGTCTGGTGCCGGTAGAGAGAATCGTCACGCCAACGGTGATGTCCTGGTGGAACGTGGCACCAGTGATGGCGATGACAGGCTGTTGTTTTCCGCTGACGATGCACCAGGCGACGATGTGCCCCTGCTCAAGAGGCAAAGTGGTGATCTGATGACATACACTCCGCTGGCGGCGGCAGGGATGGTTACGAGTGGCGGGGCCTCGTCTCCGCTTGCTATCTCCATGGTGACTAGCCAGCAAACCATGCTTAGTAAGCAGTGTCATGCATGCATTGTACGTAAACATATTATATGTCCTTGTCGAATTCACATCTTTGTTCTCACGATAGCCAGTGGCAGTGGTCAATAAGAGATTGGTGTTGGTGTTGGTGGTGTTGTTGTTGTTGTTGTTGTTGCTGCTGCTGCTGTTGCTGTTGCTGTTGTTGCTGCTGCTGCTGCTGCTGCTGTTGTTGCTGCTGTTGTTGCTGCTGCTGCTGCTGCTGCTGTTGTTGCTGCTGCCGAATGTTGCTGTTGCTGTTCTCTGCCACAACATTGCCAGCGGTGTACTGTAAACCGTGAAATTATTGTGATGGTCTAATTTCTGCGAAATTCGCGACCGCGTGGAAATCGCGAAATTTAGACAGCGCGAAAAGGAGATCCATAGAAGGTGTAGCATGAATGCCACAGTAGCAAATTCTGCAATCGCAAAATTAAAACCTCGCAAACCGGCCGGATTCCGAAAACGCGAACGAAAAACCCCGCGAAAATTTCACGCTTTACAGTAAAGAAAATTACCTAGCGTGAGGGTATTGAAAAGGGAAAAATAAGAAAACAACATTTATGGCAACTTAGACTACAACCCACTGTCTTTGCTTACCACTGTGCATCACAGGTCAGGTGATGGACAATCCCCTTGCCCGCTTTCTTCTCTGCTTCTCCTTGCTGCGCAACGCACGGCGCCTGCTGGACACCAACGTGCCCAAGGGAGCCATCACCTGCATCAACGGCATACGCGTGCTCAGCATCACCTGGGTCATCCTCGGCCATACGTTTCTCATGTGTAGTAACTATCTCAGTGAGTACAGTGCCGCTCAATCTACTGTATAGCACGAAATTTTCGGACGGAATTTATTTTCGTACGATTTCGTACACGGCCTCTTTTGTACTAAAATTAATTCCGTACTAAAATTTGTTCATGTGAAATTATGTACACTATACATGCGTACTGCTTGCGAACACGTGCATTTAGCATGCAGCACTGTACGAAAATATAATCCGTACGAAAGGTCGAAATGTGGCTTTGTCCGAAAATATTTCCGTCCGAAAAATTTCCTGCTATACAGTAATTGGTCATGCAAATCCACCGACACAGTACAGAGCACATATTTGATTACGGATGTGTTTTCACACGACTGATCGGTTTCACCAAAAAAATGGATCATCAGAGTGAGGAGTGTGAATCAAAAGAACACAATTTATAGCGGACCATTTCTGGTCCATTATTTACTATACAAGCTGGTGCTAAAACGCTAGTACAGTAGCACCAAGAGAGGCTTGTGGTAAAAAATATTGTGTAATGTTGTAATCTAGTGTATACTATATTGTTGACCTGTAGGAATAAACCACATGGATGTGAGTATTATCCTAGAGTTGTAGTCTCGAGCAGGGCGCGAGATAAATACAAATATAAAAAGAGGTCAAGTAGCAATTGCGGACTCTAGTCGCGTGAGTCAAGTTTGCGCCTTGCATCATTTCGCAGCCCACTGTTCGCAGGTCTAGGACTGTGCAACGCCCGGCGTGTACTTGAGTGACGCTGTGACTGGATTTCATAGAGCAACACTGTAGTAACGTAACAGATGTGTGCAATGTGCACGCTACAAAGTACAGCTGCTCTGGGTGAAATCCGACCCAAAGTGCATATTTGGCACCCTCGACGTGCACGGCTCTTGAGTGGACACCCTGGAAGTGGTACGAATGCGGCTGGACGTGCACAGCTCTTGAGTGGCCACCCTGGAAGCGGTACGAATGCGGCTGGACGTACACATGATCCAAGTACGGTGATGTAATCCGAACTGGTCTAGGGCGTCGTCAGTTTTCCACATTGGGTCGGATTTCACCAAGCTCAACTGTACACGGTTTGTCTTATTCGGACGTTGATGCTTTGAGCTGATTTAAAAAATGCTTTGTTGTTCGCTAGACGTTGTTACGATCGGTTCAGCGAGTCACTCCGAGCTCCGCTCTTTAGACCTATGAACAGGATCGACACAGCTAGTGTGTTGCCCAGACCTTGCTTGGAGATCAGATCTACTTTCTCCCGGAGAATCTAGCATATTTTGTGGATAAGGGGTCGTCCGTAATTTTCGAAAAATACAAAAATCCGTCCTCATGCAAAATGTTCTCTGACCCCCCCCCCCCCCCCCCCCACACACACACACACATTTTCCCCTACTATTTTGATTTTTTCCAGTCAGCCGACACCAGGGAGTCTTAAAATACCGGTATTTTACGACTCCCTGGCCGACACCTATTATTCAGCCGTGAAACACGCTTTTTTATTTTTTACTGAAGACACCCAACTTCTTGTTAGAAGTAACGGGACAGTACAACGATGGAGAGCCTGAGTAGGGGCTCCAAGAAGGAACCTGTGCTGGTGAGGCAAGCACATTTACATAGGTACAATCCGCAAATTGGTTTAGACTTGTGCAGGTCTTCACAGTATTAAACCGGACAACGGCACAGCACTAGCATGAACGCAGACTTGCTGAACGCAGACTTGCTGAATGCCAATGAACGACAACAGCACACAGTACAGATGATCAAGGACTATCAGCACAAAAAAACCCATAACTATAACGTGAATACTGTCTCGGATCGCGATGCCGAATGATACCATTGAACTGACAACATGGCCCAGGCCACTGACTGCTTGGAACCTTCTTCTTGCGGCCCCTGCTGCACTTGTGGCCCGTTTCTTTTTTGTGGCGATTCAGCTGGTACACAGTGGCGAACTTCTTCCCACAGCCGTCAAAGTTGCAAACATGGTCCGGACGGGGGTCATCAGGAGCACGGCGCTTCTCTGACCTCTTGTCATGGACAAGCAGCAGATGTCGGGACTTGTCAGCCTCTGACCGAAACACATAGCGGTGACATGCTGAGCAGATGAAGTCCTCAGGCAGTTTGCCCGATAGCGATGGCACTGTGATATCCAGGACTTCCTCAGTAGCAGTGCCAGCTGTGCTGTCAACATACGTGCGGAAGAGGCCACCGTGCGTTCTAGACACAGCAGGCGTTGGAAGGTGGCCACCCATCCTCTGCTGCAGAAGAGTTGCAGCTTCAGCTGAAACAGGTCTCTTCGAGCAATGTTCGCAGGTGGGCGACTTGCACTTTACAAAGGACAAAGAGTAGCAGGTGCGCGCGCAGTGTTGCATCAGAAACTGCAATTCTGCTCTCAATGTGATCGGGTGCTCTTCCTCACGAATTCGTGTGATACCTGTGCACGAGACACCAAAACGAATACACCACATAGCACTGATAGCAGTGAAAGAAGGTAAAATAATCGAGACGATTCAGGAACACGCCATTTTGTGTATGCCATACACCCTTCTTCAGAAGTCCAAGAGTCTTTTGCAGCCTTTTCTTGACATGCAAAAGCACCTCTACACCAAACTATCAACTGCCCAGAATGCAATAAATTACCAATACGGACAATAGACATCGTCTGGACACCATTGTGGAAGAAAAGGAAAACATTCAAGCATAGATATGCCACTATTAAAACAAAAGGATGTCCTGACACAGGACCTTTGGATAAGGCCACCTATTGCACCGTCGGACAATGTACATGTATGTAGGATGTACGCAAGCATCTTCTGGAAAAACCTGAAATGTTATTATGCCTTGGCCATGTAAAATATATTGATTGTTTATCGTCAGATTTTCCCGAGAAATCGGGGCGGACGGGAGGTTTTTATTTTTATTTTTTATCATGCATTTATGGCTGTAGGGCAGGTGTTCGCAACCCCAGAGGATAATGGAAAGTGGAACAACCAACGTTACGCAGAAAAACCGAAGAAAATCAGGCAGATTATGATCAGTTTCACTTTTCAAGCCCATGGCAACTAAGTTATGGTTCAGTCTGTGGACTTGACCTTCGAAAATCTACGGCCATGCCGATTAGAGGCTGTAGACCGCAGTACATACAGTACATTTACCAGTACTAAAAAATAAAATAATTCGGCGGGGAGGGTGAAAATTTGGGGCGGGCGCGGACGATAAACAATCAATTTTTTTACTTGGCCTTAAGTACAGTGCATGCATCACTCGACATGCAGAGTGAGTTGGCTCTCCCATGGTTTTGTTTTCACCCACGCACAGCCAATCCCTACCGAGAGATGCAGATTCTGGAGCGCTTCACTTTCCAGACGGTGTCCAACGCGTTCTTCGCCGTTGACACCTTCTTCTTCCTGAGGTGAGTGCAGGACAGACAGCACGCCACAGTGAAGTGCAGTCCAGTGCAATAGTGAAACTAGTGATATGATGAAATTTAATTTTTGCCAGAGAATAATAATATCCCATGTAACTTTAGATGTGCCAATGCTGAATACTAGTAGCTGTAGCTGGTCAAATTATCCGCTTTTTTCTTGAAATAATCTACTAGTAGCCCGTGATGCTTATTATGCCTTGTCCAGAAGCTCTAGAAGGTTCAGACACTCTAGCTGTTCCAGACGCTATAGCTGATCCAGAAGCTATAGCTAGTTCAAGCACTCTAGCTGTTCCAGACGCTATAGCTGATCCAGAAGCTCTAGCTGGTCCAGAAGCTATAGCTAGACCAGACGCTCTAGTTGGTCCAGAAGCTATAGCTGGTCCAAGTTCTCCAGCTAGTCCGGATGCTCTGGTTGGTCCAGAAGCTATAGCCAATCCAGAAGCTATAGCTAGTCCAGGTCAGGGTGACCTTGTATGACACATGCTATGCACACTGTGGACCAGATAGTATGCCTGGGTAGTGTGGCGCTTCCAACTTGTGGAGCCTTCTATTCTGCTGTTCAGCTTGGTTGTGCTGTGTGTTGTTGCAGTGGACTGCTGGTCATGTACTTGTCTTTGAAGCAGCTGGACAATCATCACGGAAAGATGCCCTGGTTCAAGTTCTACTTCCATCGCGTCTGGAGGTAAGCACAGAGCCCTGAAACGGCTGAAAAGGAACTGACTGTGCATGCGTGTAACTCTAGTGTGATGATTGCCCAGTGCGTGACACTTTCAAGTTACACTGAAACAGTCGGCTGTCCCTTGTGGTTCTGAAACTCTAACCTATTTAGCTATTATGAGCTTGGCAAGCAGGGTGCTCCGTCGCTCAATGTGTGTTACGCCCTGCTTCCCAGTGCGCTTGAAAACACGAAACTTGCAGTTGCGATGAACCTTACTCTCCCTGCGGTGTATCAACTCAAGTGTAACTGTTGTACACCGTGTGTCGGCGTTCTGGAAATCTCTATTGTGCATGTGGCTTCTCTGAGAAACACATACGTCTTGAGTTCCTTGGCTCAGTTGGTGGTTATCACAGCCATCCTTACGTCGTGTGCTTCATCTCGGTGCCAGCAGTATGCACGAACAGGGGAACCTGTCTAAGGCGACCGCTCAAGGGACCTTCAACATGTGGCAGCTGTGTACAGGTGGTCTTGGGTCATTTGACTGGAAATGACATCCCTATGTCCTATGTACAGTCAAACCTCTTTAGGACGAACACCAAGGGACCGATGGTATTTGTTCGTAGTAACGGGAGTTCTTCTTATCCCTATTTTATACCCAGTGAATACACAGTGATTTATCCAATAGAGCTATGAACACTAGTTTTTCTAAAGCGAAAGTTTGTCTTATCGGTGTTCTTCTTAACGAGGTTTCACTGTAGTTAACGTGGTCCTCTAGGACAGGTGGTCCTCTAGGACAGGTGGTCCTCTAGGACAGGTGGTCCTCTAGGACAGGTGGTCCTCTAGGACAGGTGGTCGCCTTGACAGGTTTTACTGTACATAATTGCACACTGTACAAGTACATGCATACGTACGAGTTGTAGCTCCCGAACTGAGAAACCCTTGCCCTGCTTTCTCGGTGTTTCAGACTCACTCCAGCGTACATGATCGCCCTGATGATTCTGTACAACGTCTTGCCGTTCTTCGGCACGGGGCCGACCTGGCCTGGCACCGTCACCTTCGCCGACCAGTGTAAGAAGTACTGGTGGACCAACCTGCTCTACATCAACAACTTCTACCCGAAGAACTTTAACGACCAGGTACTGACCAGTTGATGTGCAGAGCACAGAGGAGTTGTTAGCGTGTGTCGGCCAGACAGCTTGCCACACCGTTCACCAAGAGTTTTAAAAAAAGAAGTGAAAACTGCAGATCAACGCTTTAATTCTTCAGAGACAATCGTCGCGTGCATGCCAACATATTGCACAATTTTTGTCAACTGTCAGCGCACGATTTGGATAATGGATATAGTATGTTGGAGGTGTTTTTCTGTCCTCGTCTTTGCTACAAGTACGCTGGAGCCTCCGTTACAGGCATTTCCTTTTGCATGTCATTGGACATGACTTCATCGTGACCTGATGGTGTTGGGTTACCAGAGAAGTATTGTAGAGGAGTTGTTGGCTTTACACGACCCTTGTTCAGTCAATGCCGACGCGTCTCTGGAGATACAGTATGGCGTTAAAGCGCACTACAATAGACACTTGTTGTTTTTTTGTGTTGCTGGTTATGCAGTGCTTCAGCTGGGCATGGTATCTGGCGAATGACATGCAGTTCTACATCATCAGCCCTCTCTTCCTCATACTCATGTACAGGTGAGGCACAAGAGTGACAAGACACACCGATACATGTACAATGCTGCTCAATTAAATCCGATTGAGTCACTCACGTACGCGCCGGACGCTGCGCAGCCCTAGACCTGCGAACACCGGGCTGTGAAATGGTGCAGGGCGCAAACTTGACTCGCGCAATTGGATTTCATTGAGCAGCACCGGACTTGTTGTACTACGGTGCTGCTCAATGAAATCCAGTCGCGTCACTCATGTACTCGCCGGGCGTTGCGCAGCCCTAGACCTGCGAGCCCTGGGATTCGAAACGGTGCAAGGCGCAAACTTCAGCGCCGCGACTAGATTTCATTGAGCAGCACTGTATATAATTATGTTTTGTTTCTTTGTTTTTTTTTTACTAGCTGTGCCGGCTATTATCCCGTGTCACGTGACTGATCACGCGAGCGATCGAGAGCTGCATTGCATGTATGGGCAGCGCAGAAAAAGCGAAGGCATACCACGTCTTGCACAAACAGCACAGCTTACTTGGTCAGCATGCGTGTTACTCAAACTGGTGGAAACGTCTTTGCAGTACGGATAGCAGGCACATATGATAGTGTATTGTACTAAAGGCCGTTTCCATCAGTTTAAAAACACACGTCGTGACTAAGGTAAAGAGACACCAAGCTTAGCGAGGTTCCTCAGCTGGCTGCATTCTCGTTGTATTTGAACTCCAGATTTTTCATTGATGCCCCGTGATGGAGTACCGTATTTTCCAGGGTATAAGCCGCACTGGAGTATACTGTACAACATGTAAATTTCGGTGTATTCAAATTTCGGTATCAGGGACCTGGTAGGTTTCAGGTGTAACTTAGAGTTAGGTGGCGAACATTCCCTTCACATACAGCACATAATATTGTGCCATTTGGATGTAATCTAAATTTAGGTGCCTTGTATTTCTACAGAAGTCACCGAATTAAAGTTACGCCGAAATCCCCCTCCCTCTCTCTCTCTCTCTCTCTCTCTCTAAGACTGTCAGGGACCTACGTAAGCTGAAGCTTGATCAACCTATATTATTTGCATTTGTTTTTTTCTGATCTTCTCTTTCTCACTTCTGTTGCATTCTCAGATGCTCTCATAAGTCTATCATTCTAGACTGTGAGCCAAGTGCATGAATTCATGATTTTCGTTCCCACTTTGGGTGTACCGCGATTTTGTTCTTTTAGCATGTGGAGAGACCTAATAGAAGATCATTTTTGATTGTTGTCAGTTTGGGAAGCTTGCAGGGAAGTCAAAATAAGCAATTACCTTAACATACCCCGTTTCCATAGCAACTACATAGCAACTGACATAGCAACATGCTATTTTGAAGGTGTTTCTTACTTTTTTCAGCAGGCAACGGCACTGGACGAAGAAATGTATATCAAGCGTCATTGCAGCTGGGTTAAAATAACTATACGAGCCAAAAATTATAGAATTACGCATAAGTGCATTGTATAAAGTACGTGCACATTTTAAATATTACTCGAAGTGACGATGCACTGGTAGGTAAGTGCACATGAAATGGTGCCGACAACCACGAAATGCATTTCAGGAATGATAATGTACAGAACAAACAGGTGGCATTCAATATACAAAGCCCAGCAGCAGCGAATTCTCCAGACAACGGTTGGAAAAGACCATCAACAACAGCCAGGAGAATCTGGTTTAATCCGGTGCAATGCTCATTTCACCCTCTACATCTCTATAATATATACATGTACAGTATGGCAGAACAATGTTAAAGAAGTTGCTGGATACAGGATTTGTATATTTGCACTCATATAACTGATCAATGTAACGTTACTTCGTAAGTACTGCTGTATTGCTTCCTAACTTATAAGTGCAAAGGGTAGAGCAATGACCGTAACCAGTAACGTTAGAGGACCACAGGGGTATACCGGCAGATACAGATCTGTAGTTTATTTGAACTATAATAATTATTATTTTGAAACATTACCCATTGTATGTACAGAACACAAGCGGAAAGATACATGCATATTCATGTTAATCATAGTCTGAAGCACTTCAGTATAAAAGATCGAAACAGTTATTAGCTCTCCGGAGATAAGGTACATTGTACGTTCTACATGTATTTCTGCTCCAACACTGATTACAAAAACCTTTAGTTTAGCTTGACTGATCAGCAGCAAGCATGCTAGCACACTGATATGATGGACATGATGATGTTCGTACTGCCACTGCGCTGCACTAGCACTGCACACAATACTATAGTCGTATAGAAACCACGAAAAAACATCGTCATGATGCGGCTGGGTTTGCACCACCGTACATTTTTGCGAGGTCAGTGGTGCAACAGAAGTCCGCTCCAGCTCTTGTGACCTTGGTTCTTGTCGATGGCGGCTATTGATTTGGCCAAAGTAGTTTCTCCCTTCTATTTGGGCATGTTCGTGCCTGATTTGGAAGTGACAACAAGCTGAATTCGTATCTAGTCGAGTAGATGAAACGAACTGGGGAAAAAAATTGCGGTACGCTCAAGGTCGGAACGAAAAAAAATTCTAACAGGATTTTTGGTGCCTGGCTCACATGCACAGTCTATTCATGGTATACCCCCTTGGCCCGCACAATCCATGTCGATTCCGAGACCGAAATGGTCGGAGGAGTGCACTGCGTCTGACCAGCACAGCTCTTGTAGCACCTACTACTCCTTTGTTGTCTTTGTCTTTGTCTCTTTTATTACCCCTATTACTTTGTAGGGATGTGCACACAGTATATAAAAAATAATAATAATAACTTGTTTTACAGTAAGCCGCCCCCAGATTTTTGTCATGGCATACAGACCTGTATTTCACGGTTCAGTTCACCATCGTAGTATAAGCCGCACTGACTTTTTGGGGGGGGGGGGGGGGGGTGAATTGCGCGTGTTTAAAGTGCGGCTTATGCACTGGAAAATCCGGTACTCTGGCAAGATTGTATTGCCTACCGCATTGCCGGAGTATAGGCCGCACTTTGAACACACAAAATTCACCCCAAACGATGATAAAATAAACGGTGATAAATAGGGTAGATGTCTGTATTTCGTGGCCCAAAAATGGGGAGTGCGGCTTAAATTCCTGAAAATATGGTATCATGTAACTGCACTCGGTATACGTGTCTAACATACTGTGTTGTGTTGTTTCACTCCGTGCACACACACACACACACGCACAGGTCCAAGCTGGCCGGCACGGTATCGATGGCGCTGACCATGATCGTCTCGTGGGTGGTGACCGCCGCCCTGTGCGCGCACTACAACTTTGCCATGGGCACCCTGGCAAAGGCGCCACCGCCGGGCCACAACACCGACTACACGTCCATCGTGTACGAGAAGCCGTACTGCCGCATCTCGCCGTACCTGGTCGGCCTCTTCCTCGGCGCCGTGCTGCGACGCGGCGACGAGTTCCCGTTCGTGCGCAGCTTCAAGCAGCTGCCTCGCGGCACCCGGCTGATTATTGCCACTGCGGGCTGGCTTTTCTCCGGTGTCTTGTTTCTGTCGACGCTCTTTGGCCTGTACCATCAGGCGCACCACAATGAGTTTCTCAGCAAGGAGGCCATGATCTTGTACGTGACGTTTGCGCGGCCTGCGTGGTCGCTGGGCCTCGCCTGGATGGTCTGGGCGTGCCACTCCGGCTACGGAAGTAAGTCCTGAGTATGTGTGACGGTATGTGTGTTGGGGGGGGGGGGGGGGGGGGTGCGTGTGTCGCTGTGTGTGTGTGTATGCATGTATGTAATATTGTGGGTGTGGATGTTTGGGGTGGGGGGTTGGGTGCGTATGGTGCATGGTACATGTTGTACATGTGTGCTGTCATGATGCACTGCAGAGTCACTGAGTGCCCTGTGACATCATGAGTTGCCAGAAATGAGAAGCCTGGCTACTGTGCTGTGCCGACGTTGTGCCCGTACACTAGAGTATCCAGTCTAGCAGTAGGCATCACAAGCTAGTAGAGTAAAACCCGTGACTAACGACCACCCATTGGGGCCAGAGAAAGCGGTCATTAGTGGCAGGTGGTCGTTGGTTAGAGGTTTGCACCGCACAACCATATATGAATTGTGAGACCGTCCGTGCCTGACGAAGTGGTCTGTAGTAGCAGGCTGGTCGCTAGTCACGGTGGTCTGTAGTAGCAGGCTGGTCGCTAGTCACGGTGGTCTGTAGTAGCAGGCTGGTCGCTAGTCACGGTGGTCTGTAGTAGCAGGCTGGTCGCTAGTCACGGTGGTCTGTAGTAGCAGGCTGGTCGCTAGTCACGGTGGTCTGTAGTAGCAGGCTGGTCGCTAGTCACGGTGGTCTGTAGTAGCAGGCTGGTCGCTAGTCACGGTGGTCTGTAGTAGCAGGCTGGTCGCTAGTCACGGTGGTCTGTAGTAGCAGGCTGGTCGCTAGTCACGGTGGTCTGTAGTAGCAGGCTGGTCGCTAGTCACGGTGGTCTGTAGTAGCAGGCTGGTCGCTAGTCACGGTGGTCTGTAGTAGCAGGCTGGTCGCTAGTCACGGTGGTCTGTAGTAGCAGGCTGGTCGCTAGTCACGGTGGTCTGTAGTAGCAGGCTGGTCGCTAGTCACGGTGGTCTGTAGTAGCAGGCTGGTCGCTAGTCACGGTGGTCTGTAGTAGCAGGCTGGTCGCTAGTCACGGTGGTCTGTAGTAGCAGGCTGGTCGCTAGTCACGGTGGTCTGTAGTAGCAGGCTGGTCGCTAGGCACGGTGGTCTGTAGTCACAGGTTTTACTGTACATGCATTGTACATAAACTTGTACCGTAAAGTACCGCCAGAGCGCCCCACCTTGATGTTACAGCCAAGGGAAGAAAATCGTATGGCAGAGTACTACTAAGTTTGTACGGTGTGAGAACCTTAGTGTACTAAGGTCACAATTGGCATGTTTTTATGTGGCGCTCGCATCCGATTGAAGGTAAACTGGGTACGGGATTGACTGCACAACGTGCAATGTGTGTACAAGGTCCGTGCCGTATGCCCTACAGACAGGAAACCACGTCCGCAAGTTGACGACGAAAGGACGAGATGGTGGGGCGCTCTGGCGGTACTTTACGCTACATGCATTGTACATGCATTGTACATGAAGCGAAAAGGTAACCCAAGTCCATTTTCCTGTAGTGCTTTGTCACACGAAACGCAACATACTGGTGCAGCGCACACTCGGAACGATCCATTTGTAGGCGCAGTTTTTGTTGTGTGAACTGAAAACACAAGAATCGAAAGAATGAGCAGAGGGTGCGCTGTCAGAGTGAGGGGGGGGGGGGGGCTGTTAGTCTGTCCTTATATCGCTACACAGCAGTCCACTGCACGTTGACGTTTCTCTTTGACTTTGCTGGTCGAATCACAAGATGACACGAACAGTCACGTACTGTAAGTCAACAAATATTCGGCGCATATTTATTTTCGCCTATTTTCGGCCAGGGCATTTTGGCTGAAAAATTGTTGCGGCTGAAATTGGTTTTGCAAGGTTCAGTGTGACAGTGTAGACCGGCAGCAGCAGTACATGCCGAAATTTTAAGGCGGCCGCAGTGCGTTCTGGCCCAGGGAGGCCGAAAACATAAAGGGTTAAAGGCGCCGAAGCCAGGGCTGAGAGGTTCCTCTGTTCTTCAGAAGGCCAAAAATACATGATATCCTAAATGACGCTAACTTAGTTGGCATGTGGAACAAGGCTAAACGTGTATTGTTACTCTGGCGTTTCATGCCCATTAGGCCAATTATCAGACGACGAATTTTCAGCCTTGTTTCATTGCAAACGCGTGTGTCACTTGGCTCTGCCTTCACGGTATCAAGCACTTGACAAGGAATAAGCAACTTAGCTTATGATGTCTATACAGTATTTCCCTGGCTAAAAATCACGTCTACTTCGAAGTAATTAGTACCTTCCACTGCTTGTGTTTATGTGTGTGCACATGTGTGTGTGTGTGTGTGTGTGTGTGTGTGTGTGTGTGTGTGTGTGTGTGTGTGTGTGTGTGTGTGTGTGTGCACGTGTGCAGATATCATTAACAGCTTGCTGTCCATGTCGTTCTGGATACCGCTGAGTCGGCTGACGTACAGCGTCTACCTTGTCCACTTCATGGCCATCCTGGTCGGGTATGGTTCTCTGCTGAAGCCATTCGCCTACACCGACACATTCATGGTATGTGTACACACGGAACCCACACACTATCACAGATGTCTGAAATCCTCAGGCTGTGTACAAGGCGAGAGTATAGTGCTTTATGTCCAGTGGACAGAGCCAGGAGTACAATACGTGCACAGCCATGACACAACCTTCGTCAGAGCCACAACACCGGGTTTTCAGGTGGTCCAGCCACTGAATGGGATACTGCACCGGAAATGAGACTTTAAATATTGCGAAAACTCAGTTTTGCACGAGTTGGGTGGGTTGGCTTTTCCAAAACGAGGTCTGGCCATGCAGGGCCGTAGCAGGCGGTCCGACAGGTCCGGCAGCTGCCGGACCACTATTCGGCCAAAAAAATGTGGGGGGGGGGGGGGGGGGGCTCACCCATGTGAGCAGCTCAGGATGTCCACCCATGATGATGATGTGTGCAATAAGTAGTATAGAGGTAGTACATAGTAGTACCGGTAGTAGACCTACAATGTACATGTCATCAGGAGTATGACCCTGCTGAAGGTCATGTGGACAGTCATGCCCGTGAATGTTCCCACTCTGTACTTCCTGAAACGTGTTCGGATTCTTTTCTTCCTCCAATTCTTTCTAGATAGGGTTTGTACCAAAGATATTCCATTGCAATATCCTTTCGCCTCCTCCAAAGGTACATTTTGGTTCTTTTATCACATGCATTTAGATACTGTTGCTATGCCTTCACAGGCTTCAACAAGTTCTGTTTGGACGGACACAACATGCTGATGCCCTTTTTCCTGACTCATGCAGAACGTCCTTCTTCCTTTTCTCGCCCTATGTCACTATGCATGGTCACGATTACATGCATGTACATGTACATGAACAATGTATGTACAATCATGTACATTTTGTACATGTACCGGCATATGTATGAGTGGGGAGGGGGGGGGGGGGGGGGGGGGAGCATCAAAGTCGGATCTTGCCGGACCAACCAAAATGGGGCTGCTACGGGCCTGCCATGTCCTGACAGCCGAACCGGGTGCTACGGCCCTGTTCTTAATCCCTTGATCGCTCTTCCTGTTTCCCTACTACGTATCAGAAACATTTGCTGTACGTTCACGCAAAGAAATCACATGACACATGTACAGGGAATTTCCCGTTCCTAATTTGGCAGTTTTCTCCCGAGTTTGAATGATGCGCAGCAGATACGCACATGCTCTTGCTCATTGTCTTTGTGTGTCCTACAACATGGAGAACCCCGTCTCCACGTAGAAGCCTGGAGCGAAAAGTCGAAAACACACGAAGCCGGTAGACTCTAACCCAGACACCGGTCTTGTTCTCTACGTGATTTCTCTACATTTCACGTGGAGCAAAACCTCTCTAATATCGGAGGCCACTCAGAATTTTCATTCTCCTCTGTACGTATTTTTGTGGTGTTCTCCTGTTTTCAGATTTTCTTCTTTCTCGGCTACGTGTTCATGTCCTTCCTGGTGGCGGCCGCCTTGTACTTAGCTGCCGAAGCTCCATTCCTCGAGCTGGAGAAGATCTTCTTCCACACTCACCGCTCGGCCACGCCACCGCGTCCAGCCACCTCTAGTCCTACTACGGCGACGCGGGTCGTGAACCAGTGAGTCTGACTGGTCGTTGCCACGGTGAAGCTGGCGATGTCCGGTAAAAGAGTTTAAAAAACGGGAATTTCCCTGATTCACTCATTGGCGACTGGCCTACATCTCAATAAGCACTGCAGTTCACACATCATCAAGTAAATATTTCTCAGAATTTTGAAGGGAATTTCCATGACCATCTATACTAATGCACAGCTGGACTGTGAGCAACCATAGCAACGGAATGTCTAGTAGTGGTATGCCCACGCGCATTTTTTTTTAAATTCTCGCGCCCATGTGTAAGCCACCGCAGCCGCTCTTGGCCTAGAACTCCTTTGGTGCTGGTGATAATGCACTGTTACTCTTAAGTCTCTTCTCCCTATTTCCCTTTCTACTCACTGAAACTGATGAGTATTCTTCCGAACTACTTTCTTTTTTAATTAAGGATAATTTATTGTCAAACAATTTTTTGAGGAAACCTTGCTAGCCATCGCCGTAAGCCTGCAGCTGCCGGCGCGGGATGTGTTTGAGTTGCTGCTGGCGAGCGTCTGCTCAAGTGCCAACCATCCAGCGTGGGCCGTCGCCGCAGAATTAACGGTGACGCTATGCTCACTCAGTTTCGCGCGTGCGTTTGATTTGCACATGATAATTATTTATTTCTTCTGAACATGGTATGAATACAGCGCTGCCAAGGACTCAGCCGCCGACTTTGGTAGTGGCTGAACGAATAATAAAATGGCAGCGGGTGATTTTATTCACTGTTTTCGTTTCTCAATGCAGTCTTGTAGTCTGACCCCGTACGGGATGTTTTCTATTTTTACAATTTGTTCTTGACAAGAAGCCCAGTGGAGATAAGACCATTTTTTTTATTGAGGGGGGGGGGGTGAGCAAGGTGAAATCGCTAACATGGAGTCTCAACACCCTGTTATGGTGAAGTGTTGGGATGTCATGGGTTTTATTTTTGGCATGTCACGATTTTTTGACTGGTCACTAATACTCACTATGACTGCCGTCGGACTGGCCGAGGCGGCGCGGCGATGCATACAGATAGGTGGAGAACCTGATCGAGATGAAGTACATGGTACCTTTCAACAGGCTCCTTGAAGCTGGAGCACATTCCAGATCATCAATCAATCAAAAGAAAAATAATCATCGCCAGGAATGCAATGATCGTGATTTTGATGTCAAATCCCCCTCGTACTTGGGTAATATCCTACATGTACATATGTATACTTATAAGAGCAAGCCGAGTGGTAAAATGTCCAAATATGGGCTAAGTGCATACAGAAACCCATATATAGAGACTTTTTGATAGCGGCAAACATACTTTGTGACGAGTATTGAATTCATGAAAGGGGTTAATATTATACTCTTGATATCATCAGGTGGGCAGAGACAAGGACGGAATGGCGTGACATTGTTGCCACAGCAACCGGAATGGGTTAAAAAAATCAGCAGCAGCAGGTATTACCATAATTCTTCATTGGAGAGGTTCTGCAAAACGAAAATGCGTACATACTTTCGTTCTACATCATGAAGTGAGAAACTTCGCATGAAATCTCGCAACTTTAGATGCGAAACTTGCAGGAAATACAAAAATGAACTGTCGTGAGATTGGAAGTGGTCGACGGGTTCCCCAGGTGCAAACTGCGAAAATATGCAGAATTCAAAGTTTTATAATAGCAATAAAAAGAACAAATTCGAATTTGTTCTTTTTATTGCTATTATAAAATTGTTGTCTCCACGTCGATTAATTCAAAGTTTGTGCAAAAATTCACACACATTATCGTAAGGCCCTTCGCGAAATTTCGTGCTCATTTTCGCTGGCAGAACCTCTGTATTACTGTACAGGATACATGACAGTTTCGAGGTTAGCACCACGCAATGCCTCAGCTCAGAGGACCTTACACAAATGTGACAATGCACACACAGACACACACCTACACGTCTGTAGACATACACATAGTCATATGCATGTGCATGCACACAATCATACACCCCACACATGCACCTACACCTACACCCCCCACCCACTCACATCCAAAAAACAGCCACAAGCAACACGCAATGCCTCAGACGAGCATACACAGAACACACGCAACTAAAGTTACCCCCCCCCCCCCCCAACCCACACATACACCCCCACACACTCACATCCAAAAACAGCCACAAGCTTATTCGAATACAGTGCGTGCTCGTATACACAAGTATCAAGGACTCGACCTCAATCTTGTCATGAAAAATCCGGTGCAGTAAAAACCAGCAATAGTTGCGAGAGGTACGGGGCTCATGGGGGCAAAAAGTAATTGAACGGTTTCGCAGTAGAAAATAAGTAAGCAAAGACGACAACGCGGAGAAGCAAACATGTTACCGTTGGCTTGCATGGGACATACAACTGTACTATGATGAGGTTACGTACACACGAGCGTATATAAATAGAGCGTGTGCATTTTGTCTGTGTGTCGATGCTAGCACGGGCACGGGATTTAATTAACCAGAGGATGAGACGGAGAGAAACTAATCCACAATACGCTCATCACAGATGAGCATACGACGTTGCCAAGGAAACATGAGTGTTAACCTACAGTGCAGCAGGGCGCACCGAAAAGCAAATAACACAAAAATAATAATAACAAAAGCGACAAAATAATATCGCAGCATGTGTGAGTGAAACATGAACAACACGTAAACGCAAACATCGACAAATACGGACAAATATGGACAGACACGGATGGACTAGCAGAGCGTTCAAGTATCAGCGGCGGTGGACATGGCGGTTTCGTGCGTCAACATTTTTACGGCACAGCGGCGGTGTAATGGCACGGTGTGTAGTGTGGTGCAAGTGTGCGTACATGCACAACGCAGCACGGAGATGTGTGTGTGTGTGTGTGATAAAATACAGCAATACAGCTGCCTATGGATACACGTGGACATATAAGGCGGTTCGGCGTGTGCAGAGGGCAGGCGCAGTAGCAGCAAGCAGAATGGGATCCACTAACTACGCTACTCTACTAAATAAGGAGTCTTCACGGCCAACAAGGCGACAATAAACTATGATTAAAACAAACAGTGTACTCACAGGACGGTATATGGGCGCAGCGAGGAACATAAGCCCCATTCCGGCCACCTGAAACTGTAACACAGACGAGTTGAACTTGAAGTCACGAATTGCTTCGAGAAGACAGTAAACCGACGGAGAGCCCTCCGTTTCAATATATAAAGTGGGATTCCTAGTATTGACCAGTAACGGAGGTGGGTGACGAAGGTGAGATAAATCTTGATCGTGCTTCTTGCCTTGGTTCGTACCCAAGGACTTCGGACATAGAGCCGGTGAAAGAGAACAAACTATAGAGACCAGATACGAAACAGAATAGAGTCGGAGTGCTGGTGACATGAGTTGAGAAGGCACTGCCATACTCGTACTATGCACTGGCCGCAGTGCAAACTCAGCAAGCGCTGGCTTGTCAGAAGCTACGGCCACCATTACCACTCCTGCTGCTACGGTTACAGTGCAGTGGGGGTGTCCTGTGTCGTGTCCGGCAGGCCGTCTAGTCAGAAGCTGCCACCGCTGCGCTCCACCTCGATGCGGCGGTACTGCTTGACGATCTGCGCCAGGCGGTTGTTGGCCACGGCACCGGTCTTGTGCGCGCTCATCAGCGCCAGGAACTCGTCAAACTCGATCAGGCTGTTGCAGTTCGTGTCGACCTCGGCGATGAGCTCGCGCAGCTGCGTGTCGCTCACCTCCTCGCCGATGTCGGCCAGCACCTTGCGCAGGTCCACGATGCTGATGTGGCCGTCGCCGTCCGTGTCCACTCGCTTGAAGATCTTCTCGTAGGCGGTGATCTCCTCGGGGCTGAAGTTGATGGGCACCTCGCGGATCTCCTTGCGCGCCTTGCCGCCCATGCTCATCAGGAAGGTCTGCGCGGACTCGAGCTGCGCCTGCTTCTGCGCCTTGTTCCACTTCAGCTCCTCGGCCATCAGGTCGACGACGCGCGGCAGCACCTCCTGCGCGGCCTGGACGTTCAGGAAGGCGATGCGCAGGCGGTTGGCGATGACGTCGATCGCGGTGAGCGCCATCTCCTGCCGCACGGCGTAGCGCACCTCGGCCTCGATGTACGGGAACTCGTTGACAAGACGCCGACCGACCACTGGCCACCGGCAGCCAGTGAGGGACGCGAGCTTGGCCACCTCCAGTGCGCGGTCGCCGTAAGACTCGCACAAGTGCTCCGACACCTCTCCGTCGAGTCCGTAGTCCTGAGCAAGACAGATGCTGAGCAGCGGCGTGTAGCCATGTCCTCCGTGCAGCGTCATGCCGTCCGTGGCGCTCTCCCGCTTCGGCTTCAGGTCCTTGCAGACCTTGACGGCACGGTCCACCGTGTCCTTGGCCATGGAGCGGTATGTGGTCCACTTGCCGCCGGCGATGGTGATGAGGCGCGAGTCGCTGACGTCGATGACGTGATTCCTGGACAGGGACGCGGTGTTCTTCGACGACGGGTCCGATACCAGCGGTCGCAGGCCGGACCAGGCGGCCAGCACATCGCCGCGACGAACATTGACGTCCGGGCTCAGGTAGTGGCGGATCTCGTTCAGAATGAACTGGATGTCCTCCTCGGCGGGCTGCGGACGGTCCGTGATCGCAGTCGCAGAGTCGGTGGTGCCGGCGATCGTCCTCCCCTGCCACGGCAGGAAGAAGATGACACGGCCGTCGCTGGTGGAGGGATCCAGGAGGCCGGTGGACGCCGGACTATAGTACGCCGGCAGGACTATGTGCACGCCGGCGGACGGCTGGCAGATCGGCGCGCGCTCCTGGTCGTCCATGCGGCGGATACTGTCGGTGAACGGGCCGGTGGCGTTCACGACGCACTTGGCGCGAATGGTGAACTCCTCGCCGGTCATTCGGTCGACGACCTGGACACCGCGGATCACCTCTTTCCCACCGTCCGTTTCGCTCTTCTCCTTGATCAGTCCATTCACTTCAACATAGTTGGCCAGTGTAGCTCCCTCGCGAGCGGCCGACAGCGCTATCGCCAAGCACATGCGCGAGTCGTTCTGCTGCCCGTCGTAATACACGATGGCGCCGCACAGCTTGTCCTTCTTCAGCATGGGGAACTTCTCCAGGGCTTTGTTCTTGCTGAGGAAATAGCTGCGCTTGATGCACTGTCTGCCTGCCACAAAATCGTACATCTTGATACCAGCGTAGTAGTATGGCACCTGCCACCATCTGTAAACAGGCAGCATAATGGGCAAGGGCTGGGACAAATGCGGGGCGATGCGCAGCAAATTCGCGCGTTCGTGCAGCGCCTCCTTCACAAGGCCATACTGCTCACGGTCCAGCTTCATGATAGCATTCTGCAAGTACCGAACGCCGCCATGGATGAGCTTCGTGCTCCTAGCTGACGTACCGGAGGCAAAGTCCTCTCGTTCCACCAGCGCAGTTTTCAAACCTCGCGACGCACAGTCCAGAGCCACACCACTGCCCGTGGCACCGCCACCGATGATCACAACATCGTACTCGTCCTTGCCGTTCAAAGCGGACAGCTCCTCAACGCGGCTTCTCGTCCGCCATGTCAACGGGTCAGGACTGACGGGGCTCGTCTGAGCCTGCGACTGCGGAGACAGCAGTCTATTCCTGTCGGAGCACAGTGTCACTCCCGCTGCCGCTGCTCCAGCCAAAGCACAGCTTGTACGGAGACCGAACATACTGAATTATTACCAATTCAGCAGACTTCTGAACATCAAGAAAAGAACCAGTGACAACACCTCGTGTCCTCATAAGATGCGGAAAAAGCAGAACAAAGAGCTAGATCTAGGCAGCGCTCCTTCGAACTGAGGAAAACCAAGAGCCAAACAGGGACACGCAGGTATTACTAGTATGGGCACAAAGGCAGCAAGACCATGCATGCACGAAGAAGGCACGAACACTTTGTCGTTTGGAAGAGCTTTCGCATTTGACCGAAGTGCCAGCTCAGCTGATCAGATCGACATGCATATCGGGCATGGTTTCGCACGTGCGGCGAACGCCAAAAGCTGCATGCATGCCATGCCATGCTTGCACGCGTGCACGTATGCGCGCGATGCATCGCGCGCTAGCTGGGGCATGCATGCCTACACGGATGTGTCTTTTGCACGTGCACCAGAAATGTTGGATACTCTTGACTCTTGTATTGTACAAAATTAATATTAAAATAAAAATTTTAAAATAGTATATACCGCGGGGTTTCCCCTGTCATGGCTGCAAGTACAGTACCGTACTAGTATTTCCTTCGGATGGAAGAAATTCCGAGAGCATTTGGAGAAATGTTCTTCCTCCGTGATCAGTGGTACTTGTCATGTCCTACACAGGCGCTAGGCTACAATAGGTTGGTTCACGTGAAGAGAACAGTCAGACATGACAGTCTAGTCTTCCAAGCATGCCAGCGCGCATGCAGCTAGCTGAGCTGAGAACAAAGAAAAGATGACAGGACAGCAGGTCTATCTCTCTAGTCTAGGCCTTGCCACGAAGGTTGTCTTGTGATTCTTGTTGTGAATCATGTTCTCCTGTTGAGTATGACCTATTTCGTCATAATCCACGGTGTTCAGCCTTGGGATTGGCGAATTTTGGCATTTTAAAATGCCACATATCATTGGGACTTTGAATTCATGAAGTGTATACGAGTAGTATTCCTGTTTTCATTCTTCTCTTTTCTTTATTTTGTGTTGAAGCTTCATAATCTTGGATTCGCATTTGACATTATTCTGTTGTAGCCACCTAAACTCAACTTCTTCGTTGTCCGGTTGGCCAAAGTAGCGGTCGCAGGGCCCGACGTAAAACCCTATACTGTCCCCACATGCTATTTTCCGCGTTATTGGCTTTCATCCGCTTTTTTGAGAAATTTTGCATAAAACCCGCGTTATCCATGGGAACTTTGATGTACAAGAAAATAGTACATGATGTTGAAAATGTACTACAAAGTCGTACCCACCCATGAGTGTGTACGACAAAGTTGTATACTTGCATGAAAATGTACGCTAAAGACTAAAGTTGTACCATGTACCAATGACAGATAACTCGTGTATAATGACCGTATATTTGCCCCACAATCCCGCATTTAAATGGCCTATTTTATTAAAGAAAAATGCACAACTGCAGACAGCTACAGCAGAGCACAGCTAGCTGAGTTTGAGTGTGATACTCGTGCCGGTATGTCGCAGCTCCGCCGCCATGTGCGTGCAACGGACCAGTGACGATGTCCTGCTGTGCTTTCCTTGGGATGAAAGATGCAAGAGGGCACATACATAATACTGGTAAGAGCAGTTGCGAATGATGGCACGAGTCACTCCCAATTCGACGAGTAAGCACCCACGATAAAGACTGACCCAGAGAGCCCTATTGGTCCCACCTACAGCACTACTTGAACAATCAGGATGCTCCGCATTCAAAGCTACCGGCCATGAGTCCACCTTCGAAGACTGGAAAAGGTCCGGGGAAAACCGAACTAAAAAGGGGTACTTATATTTGTAGTAGTAAACTTACAGCCGGGGTTTAACCGCCATTGAACCAGGGGATTGAGGCCCCAAGCAGGGGGGGGGGGGGGCAACTCAACACCATTCATGAACACTGCAGCAAAAGAGCCTGGGTCAGCGCAGCGCACCACCAGCGCCACCCGAAAACACAGCAAGGAAGCCTACAACAAATCAACTCTTTAAAACGTGACCAGAGAAGTGCTGGATCTTGTGTCACATAAGTTAGCAGACAGATACTGATTTTTTTAAACATTCGCAAATAACTGTGGGAATGCTGCACTTATATTCCTTTAAAGAAAGAAATAAGAACATGACTTCGACTATTACAAGTCACTGATAAAAAATAAATTGACGTAAATTGACTTGTAGAGTTGTGCACTGCTTGTGATGTCTGACAGCGGCGTCGGTAAAAGCCTAAAACGACTTTGATCCGTGCTGTGTATTGCCAGCGGCCTTCAATAGCACAGAAGTGACCGGAGAAGAGCGGGGTGTGCACTCTTGGCAGAACACGTGATCACCAACAAACATCTTAGTAGCAGCAACACCCTTCTTGAATGACTCGGACCCATAGAGAACACGTCCATAGTCAGATTCGCTCCGGTCCGGGAGCGCTGTGCCATGCGTTTGGTTTGATAAGACAGACGCTACTTCCAGCAAGATAAAGTGGTCCAGGCCACGTAGCAGCTTCTGCATATTGCGCTTGTAGAAAGAGTTACCTCAACGCTCAGCCAGTTACTGAGTGCAGGCATACACACGCCACCAGTGACATGCCAGCCTGCATGTGTCGATTTCATCTCAGAGCCACCGGGTAGTCCAGGAATAACGCTGGTGGGTGGTAGGATATTATTCGGTTCTGTCAGTCGAGTACCGCTTCACTGATCTCCCCACGCAGAGCAGGCTGCCTGAACTTCTAAGCCGTACTTGGGCACGAATACAGGCCACCAGCAAACGCAGTTGCTATGTCACTAGACTGTTCTCAATTGCAGGGGCACAATGCTCCAGCTCTCCATTTAAACCTCTGCTGCCGCTCACGTAGCTACATCACGCAGCTTCATCGCAACAACGTGGATCTCCGCGCAACGGTAGTCCTCTGGTGCTACCTCGAGCGGCAGCTCCTCGACGAGGAAATGCTGTTTGGCCCGCCGAAAGAACTGCTCCTTGAGCTCTACCTTATTCCCAGTTGTTCTATCCTCGTAGCACATTACTATCTGCGTATTCTGCGTGCACAGAGCATGCAGTGTTTCCAGTAACGGCCCAATGGACGCGTCATAGTAGATTACGTCTGCCATCAGGACAAGATCGATGTGTCGACGCGAACAAGTAGACTCCACGAACTGCGCTACATCACCACCCCAAGCCAGCACAGCCGCTCTGGCTGAGCCGCGGAGCTTGGACTTGTTCGCGGCACAGTTCAACTGCATTAGCTCCATGCACTCCGGTAAGTCGGTGAGGACGACCTCACATCCCAGCCGTGCAGCGGCCAATCCAACCAGGCCCGTTCCCGATCCGAGCTCCACGACAAATGTATCGCACCACGTGACGTCTTGAAAGGCTTCGGATCTAGTCAGAACCTGGCTGAGCACAATAGCAGCATCCCAAACGACGCATCCAACATCTCCGACCGACATTTGATGGATGTCCAAGCTGGCTGCCTCCAGATCACTGGCCTCCGCCAAATCCTCATCACAAAGCGCCACACGTCTTACAAACGTTTGGTCCAATAATTCTTGACTACCCATTTTTATCTTTACGTGTCTCTTCCTCGCCTACCAGGCTTCAGTGCTACATGTACAGTGATGGAGAAACCCAGGGCTCCCTGGACAAACCTAACAAATAAGCGTGTTGACCGATCGTAGATCTACGTCAACAACATACACGATAAACAACAAAAAGGAGAAGAGAATAACAATCATGGAAATTTGAATTTCGAATATTTCGTCATCGAAGATTTCCTGTGCATACTCGGGAGCACGGCCGCAGGGCGTCAGCAGGATCAGGACACGCTGTACCAATGGTCGGCGGACGGGTTGGCGTCAGCTTTTCAACTGTCTCCTTCCTTTGCGTCACTAGAAAATCCTCCGCCTTCAGGTCAGCACTGATTCTTCAGGCTATGCCTTTACATGTACCGGTACTTGTGTCATGTACTTGTGTTAGGTATTAGCAAGAGTACATAAACCACGACTCTTGGTAAGTATAATTATACTCTTGGTATTACTTCAGTAGCAAGAGTCCATATTCCCCAGGGGAATTATGGACTCTTGCTACATGTACATGACTGTACCGGTAATAGTAATTCGACTCCCTGTCTGAGGGTCCACGTTGTACTTATGACTTATGTCACAATAAACACCAAGAGGACTACTGTACTGCATAACTAATATTACTTACACCATAACTCATAAGCTACTGTAGATGCAGCCGTCGCCAAAGAAATCCGACCAATGGGCCGAAAGCAGCGTCGCGCTTCCATTTCAATTACATCATGCATGATCCAAAAAAAAACATCTGAGAACCGGCCGCACGAGCCTTGGCGCTGGTTTCGGCACGCGAGTCGCGGATGTCTTTGGCCACACCACTGTAGATGGGATGGTCAGGAGAGCAATGCCAATGCAGGGCCGTCGCAAGGTGTGTCAGGGATGGTACGGTTAGCCATTATTGTAGGTACCGGGTCGGGTGCCATTCCGAGGTCCTCCGCTCAAGTTTAGAGCCAGGGAGTCGTAAAATACCGGTATTTTACGACTCCCTGTTTAGAGCCAAAGATGATTGTCCTCAATACCGTACAAGGTACTTGTGTAGAATTGATATCAGGGAGTCGTAATTTTACGACTCCCTGATTGAAATGTAGTGAACGTAGCATGTCCGACGCCTCCGAACGTGTAGATGGCGATGCAGCTTCTGAATTGCTGCATGGCGGAGAGCTCTGGTGGAACATCTCAAACATTGAAGTCAATTTTTTTATCAAAAGACCGATAATAATTATGTGTCTTGTGTTGGATCATGGAGTCCACGGCTGGCCAGGTCAATTCTCTGTATATTTGTAGCCTCCCCCCCCCCCCCCTCTCTTGCCGGGGGGGGGGGGGGGGGGTTGTAAACGTAGTACAGTCAACCCACCCAGTATAACGATATTTAATAAAGGCCCTGTAACAACACTACCCTTGCAAGGGCACTCAGTTTTACTGTCAAACCAAATCACTCCATTGATTTTTGTGCTATACAATGTGCTACCTCTATACTGATACAGCAGGGCAGAGCTATTGGTCGGCCAATAGCTCTGAGCTCTGCTGATGAGATGGAATAAGTCGGAAGCAGGCAGCTGCCCGGAGATCGAGTAATGATATTACTATAACGATATTTCATCGCCCCTTATAGTGATACAAATGGGCTGACCAATCCACATTTTCCTATTTTATAACTATCATTAACAGTAGCCCACAAGTTATCCGTTTTCAGTGTCCAACACTAACGATTAGTGTTGGACAAAACGGATAACTTGTAAACTTATGATCCTCTTTTTTTAATTTTAACCAAGGGCCTTGGTCTCTATCTGAGTTTAGCAGTAGCCCTTGGCGGGTAATGCCGGCAGAAAATTGGCAGGATTTGGTACTTAATTAATCTGGTATGCTTCATGACTGCTTGGTATGTGGATAAAGAAATGGAGCAAAAGTTCAAGGAAGTGTCTGCCATACTTTTTTTGAAGGTTTGTATAGTTCTGCCAATTCCACTGCTTTTCGAGCAGAATCTGCCTATCGAGCATTATCCATCAAGGGTATTTGTCCCAGTCCTCTACTTTAGTCCTCTTTGTGCTCAGTCAATATAACTATTATAATAACCTACAATTCCGTGCTGCAGTATAAAGAGTGTGATAAAGCAGTAGTAAAGTAGAGTACAGTAGTTCCAGTAAGATACCCATATATAGACGGCGTAGGTGGGCTATCTTGCATGGAGTATACTCAGTATAGTGTAGAGTTCACTGAATCACTGTCCAGGAAGGTCATGCTTTGCAAGATAAGTTGCTGGGAAATGACGAAATGCAGTGAGGCGGGCAACAGTGATGATGCGGCCTTCCTGTTTCGTACGCAATGTGCATAGAATACACGTCACATGATTGTACGGTGAGCCCGTCTACCGGTACTGCATGTACTGTGCACCAGTCAAATGATATCTACAGTCGACCTACCCGTATAACGATAACCTCTATAACGACATTACCCTTATAACGATATTTTTCTGCCAAACCAAATCACTCCATTGACTTTTGTATACAATGCCCTACCCTTATAACAATATTGCTGTAACGATATTACCCCTATAACGATATCAAATGGGCTGACCAATCAATCCATTTTATAACAATATCTAGCAGGGAAGATGTAGAGCCCACTATCCAGGCAGGGCAAGCTTCACTTGCCGATAAGTCGCTGGGACATGACGAAATGCAATGGGGGCACCAGCAGGCACCTTGCTGTGTACATGATGTGCATGTATGTCAGTTTTTTATGCTATGAAGAGTGTAAAAAAATTAAACAAAATCCATGCATTATGACGTATGTGTATGAAATGAACCAGTTACCCCTATAACAATATTTCTTGGTCTGACGCAAATATCGTTATAAGGGTAGGTCGACTGTAGCTACTTTGTAGTGTCTGGATTCTGGATTTACATGTACGTCACGTGTTGACTCTTGTCACTACTGCATGGAATCAGGCCACTGATTCTACACCTCAGACAATACGAATATGTCGAGCGAACATGATGTTGGCTGCACCACCCCCTTCAGCTGGGACCCTAACTCGTAACACTTCGAACCCTATACGGCTATAGCTCTAAACCAGGCTTTCCACAACCTTGCATGTGGAGGTGAGGGCAAGTAACAGTTTCGCTTGATATCGCTGGGTCAAATTGTTTCAGTTGTGTGGTCATTATGTGAGTGCACAGAACTGGGGTCGGATTTCAAATGCCAGTAACCACTCTCACGTCCATGCCACTCTCTTACAGTGCACATGTGCAAATCACAGTGTATAGAGGACACGGGCAGTGTAAGGTTGACTTCAAGAGCGGCCATTGAACATCTGGCAACCATCTGAAACTTGAGTCTAACGACTGGAGAATGGGAGCGATATATGATATATCAGATGCCTGAGGCTTTGCGTTCTCTGGACAAGTATGTAATTGGGTTTCGTGCTATAGCAGATCAAGCCTGTCTGCGGACAGCGTACACTGCCGCACTGTCTCTTACACAGCACTGCATGTATGAAATCCGAAGTCTATGTGCAGCTGGGCTTTGAGTTATTCCCGGATGCTGCACATTCCACGCAAGGGACTCTGTGCTACTTCAGCATTGCTGGTAATCGGGCTAATGTATTAGTATGGTCTGGGGGAAGTTGAGAGGTTCTGAAGTGGGTGGCACATTCCGGCTGGACACAATTGGCATGATTTCCAACAGTGCAGGTACACCATCATACAAGCCATCAAGAGTGTTTTGACCATTGGAAGAGCAACCCAAGACTGAATCCACTCACTCACGCATCCTGGCGGGGTGTCACTGACTCAGCAATCTAGTCGTGGGACATTCCTCAACCGTCAGAGTCTACATGCACAGAACAGCAAAGATATTCAGGCCAAGTTAGTGCCGGTCAAGTGCTAACGAAACAAAACTTGTATTGGTGCAGGTAGTACATATGCCCTTGTGAGTTATTAATATTAGTTGAGCTTTTGCGGCGTGGCACACTGTGGCCCTTGTACACCAAGTATCCATATACTGTGTGGTTCCCATGTAACGTAACAACCCAAAACAACAACAACAACAACAACAACAACCACAGCAGCAGCATTGAACTGTAGCTATTCCGCAAGTCTTCAATGTTCCTGGAAGGGGTGCATACCAGTGGGGGACAAATACGGATGGTTCCAAAAGTACACAACTATTAAGCCCTTACTCTTCCCTATTTGCACGGCTGGGCATATACAGTAACATGCATCTGCAAGATAGTAAGCATGACTGTGATTATGCAGCAATCCGGACTACCCGGCCATTGTCTCCTATTGTCCGTAGCACCAAGTCGGCAATCTGCCATCATCCGCCTCTTCAATACTACAGTAGTCCCACAACCCACACTGGACAGCACTGTGGCTACATGTACATGTACATGCACATGGCTGTAGTGCATTATGCCTACTACAGTATAGCCTATCCACTGTCCACCAGTGAATGTACACTACATGCACTGGTATTATCTTTGCCAATCTCTGCATAATCACTTCTTTGTCCCGGTCTATGCATCTGAGCTCTACTGTAAATATACAAAATTTCGGCGCTGCAAAATTTCGGCACTTCACGATTTTTGACATTTCGACAGCGATTTATTTTCGGCGTGGGGTAGAGGGCATGGTATAGTGCGACAGATGCTGTGAAAAATTTCATCGGCATTTTAATTTAGGCGTTTTGGATCGGTGCCGAATATAGCCGAAATTAAATAGCTGCCGAAAATTTGTATATTTACAGTATCTATCTAGCTCTCGGCCTGAGCTCTCTGAAAAGTATGGGTGTTGGTGACGACGGTGATCTGCCATGTACGAGATGTGTGCTGCATGTTGAAGCTCACGTAGTGTCTAGGTTTTAAGGAGGTATGGTACATGGACCTGGTACATGATACCGTCAACTTTCCATCCATGCTGTGTGAGCTTTCCTCTCTCCCGGGCAATCACCTAGTGGCACACGTGGGTGCTAAATGGCATGAAACTGCATCGAATACTAGTGCTTGCACTGCAAGTGTGCAGTAACCATGGACCCTGAGTACAGTACTAGTAATACATGTACATGCATAGCTCCCACACTGGCCGGCACTGTATACTGGCATGCACCTTTTACAGTAAAACCTGGTGTAAGCGACCTCTGTGTTTAGCGACCACCTACTCTTAACTTAACGACCGTTTTTCCATGCACCGACAGCTCTACACAGACACTGTGGGACCTGGATCTAAAGACCACCTGGCTTTAACGACCGAGTTTGCCTGCACGGCGTGGGGTGGTCGCTTAAACCAGGTTTTACTGTACACTGGCAAGAATAAATACTGTAAACCGTGAAATTATTGCCATGGTCTAATTTCTGCGAAATTCGCGACCGCGTGGAAATCGCGAAATTTAGACAGCGCGAAAAGGAGATCCATGAAAGGTTTAGCAAGAATACCACAGGTTTACTGCAAGAATGCCATTCTGCAATCGCAAAATTAAAACCTCGCAAACCTGTCCGGATTCTGAAAACGCGAACTAAAAACGCCGCGAAAATTTCACGCTTTACAGTACAACCCCAGGACCGTTGTATCCCTGCATTTTAGAAAGTGGCATGCATGCAGGAATCAGTGCAGACTGTTTTTAGTGCTTGCATTTGGTACCAATGTTATAAAGTTAGTTACTGCTTGAGCCTTGACTACTACATTACATGTACATGTACATGCACTGTAGTAAAGTGCTAACCTGTACCCTACACACATGTGCTTGGCTGTAAGCAGGGAATAGCCGTGTGCTTATGCATTGTCACAGAGACCAAAGAACCGTTGAAAGGATATCATGCAGTCTACACTGTACTGAACATGAACATGACTTGTACATGTATCTGGAATCCTCCATGGAGCTGACCATTTCGCTTCTCTGGTTGCGTCTGGTCTTGGTGCTAGCGCTGATAGGCCAAACACGAAAACATTTTACAGTTTTGTACGACGTACATATCACGACATGCATGATTTAAAAAAAAGTTGTTTCCTCATGCATGTACAGATGTAGAATGACAAGACATGAGCTTCATCATTTCCCTATCGTTATTTAAAAATAATTTATGTCAAGCGCAATCAGTATTGTCATCTAAATGTACATCTATCGGACTCCCACCTGCTGGTTATCGTGACTGGAACTACATGTAACCTAATGAGTGATGTTACTACAAACAGCAACGGATGTAGAAATACTACACTACAGTGCTGGCAACTGAAATCCAGGGGGTCGGATTTCAGTTGCCAGCACCGTGCTGACAATAATTACAGGCTGTAATTATTGTTTCAGGACACTGTGACCTCGGACAGTCAGAGCGCATGCAGCCACAGCAAGTGCTCAAAAAGGACTCACCTTGTTCTTTGCCATTGTCCGATGATGCACAGCTCGCTGACGTGACCCTGGGCCTCCATACCCGTCGCGCCGGCACTTTGAGCCAATCAGAAACTACAGAACCGAATATCTGCATTCCGATCATTCCACAATGTGGCCCGTGTCCACAATTCCCGAACGCTTCAAAATGCCTTGCAAGAGGACAGATAATTGCCCCCTCAGGCACTCAGGAATGCTGCGGCCGCGGAGTGACGGCTGACTACAATGTACATTATGTACGCGACGTTTCAGGACCATTACAAGCACAATCTCGCGATGTTACTTTTGCTAGCACCGCAAAGACCGCTGGTGACGTGTTGTAGATCTACCTGTCGCCCCCACCTCGCACAGGGAGTGGTATTTAGGCAGTGGTAAGACTCGCAGTCGACGGTGACCGTGACAAGAGGCTAGCTCGTTGATATAATAGTACGGTGGCTGAGCTGCTAGTAGAACTGTTCAGAAGTTATTAGTTCAGAAATGTTCTCCGACCATCCCCCTCCTAACTCAACTCAAGTGCCCTATTACACCTGCACTTACACATTGCTAAAATCTGTTTTGAGTGTTCATCGCGACAAGCCGCAGACATTCTTCAACTAAACGAGATGCAGTTCTCGACTGTCTCTAAAATATTTTGGTTTGTAGATTTTACGGGTACATACAGATTACAGAACGCACTAGTAGTAGTATTGCTCTGTTGCACTTGCAGTACAGTATGTATCTAATATTGAGTACGATCGTACGACTCGAGGTCAATAGGAAATAAAAGCCGAGTATTTAAAAAAACCGAGGCGAAGCCGAGGTCTTTTACGAGGTCTTTTATTTCCTATACTGACCAAGTACGAAGTCAATATTAGATTTATCACGACTGACCAAAGCATGTGTTCAATCGCTAAAAAGGGGTCAAATATAAGCGGTCAATATAGCCCTAAGGAGTGAAATATGCAGGAATATTTGACTGCTTAGGTATGGGAAAAACCTATGTGAGTCAATAGACTCAATACTAAGGGAGTAATATGAGGTTTTGCAACACGATATGACGCGATACAGGCTTGGAATAACAGCGATGAGAGACTTGGTCGTGTGCGACTACATTTTGTTGTAGATCTTCCTGTAATGAGCCAGGTCTCCTGTGGACTGTAGATCTTCTGGCTGGGACAGCCTGCCGGAGCGACACCTGTGCAATGCTGCTGGCCCTGGGCCAGTGCTGGCACATACACTATGCAGTAACATTACAACGACATTCTACAAGTGCACGAAGAGTTCGTGTCTGTCGTTCGGCCAAACCAAACGACAACCCATGCTGAGTCTGAGCCAGGTCTGACACGCATGGTGCCAAGGGACAAGCGGTCGGCAGACGTTCTAAAAAAGCTTGTATCAAGAATGGATCTGACATGCTGTCACCAGCAGTAGATTCACAAACCCGCCGAAAAACTCGGAAGATCGCGTGGCTGCAATTATGTCATTGCTCTAACTACTAAACTATCGTCTCTTCCTTGTGACACCTCCCCTCCACAGTCCACGCGCACAAAACCACCACGTGGAGGCTTTGACGGGCGATCTGCCACGATCGACCACAGACATGTGGAGAATGCCTACTTGCAACGACTTTTATCACAGCGAGAACACGAGTGGAGTCACCCTGTGCACCACTCCCGGCCCTGGTGGAAAGACCATGAAGGCTTCCAAGACTGAAGTCACTAGCTGTTTGTTGTGTTGACGATAGTTCGCGCTCAAGCAGGAACTGAGCTGAACGGAGCCAGGACACACATGTACACTCGTATATTATTGTCATTCAGCCTCGGCAAACGGGAAGGAAATGCCTAGGACAGGAAAAGGACAAAAACGAGATAAAAACCTGCCTGTTCCGTGCCGTGTTCATGGTGATGATGCATTCGCATCCCTAGCCCTGTAGCCTGTAGGAGTTGACGTTTGCTTCGAAGTAGTTGTCTGTCGTTGGGGTAAAAGACTAAGTGCTCCCTGCACGTGCGCGATGCGGCTTGAGTTGGCATGAACCGTCCTCGGGGAGTGGTTTAAATACGACTCATTACGTATGCAAGGTCACATTCATCTATTGTAGTCCTGTCGATGTTGCAGGACTTGTAGTCTGTACAGCTCGCTGCTCTGACCGCCCTTTCCAGTTCCCATGGCCATATGCCCTGGCCGAATACCCTGAGTCCAAGTGAAGATTACCCACACGGCCACAGCAACAAACACGCCAGAGTAGTATTCAGCTGAGCAACATGAGTTTGGCCTGCTTCCACTTTCACAATCAACAAGAAACTGCTCATGCTCAAGTGAACGAGTTGCTATTTCGGTCGCCTTTAGCCGAGGCCACAACGAGATACGTACGCATGACCATGACCTGACGACCGTGCAAAGAAACAAGTTAGTTCCGTTCGGGCTGCAGCCTAGAGTGATCCTCCTGAGTCGCTCCCCAGTAATGTTTCCAGCCAAGCTGCCTTCACTTCACTCTTTTCACTCAGTTCAACCTTCCAAAAAATAATAGACATCCCTCCACTCCAGCCTACCACCCCCCCCCCCCCCCCACACACACACACTGCGCGTGTACATGCACACCTACAATGTACATAGGAGATCAAACATACAAGGATTACCGATCATCAGTCAGCAACTGATCGGAAACATAGTAAGACAGTAAGTACACTGTTCAAGTGCACCAACACAGGTACATGTACATGCAGACCAGTGCCAGTGGTAGCCTCTTGAACTTGAAGGTCACACAGACTAACAGCTAGGCACACAACACGCAACAGGATACGGATATGGTCAATATCCATGTCCTTCCGTCATCCGCCCAGTGGCCATAGCGGTACCTAGCTAGTGGCAGCAGTGGTTCTGGTACTTGTACTAGTACAGTGGGTAGTGATCATAAGATCTGGACCTTCATTCTCAGGCGCGCGCACTATGAAAACCCCATGGACACAGACGAATAAAAACCGTACCTACCTCTACCTCGCCATGAATGATTGTTCTTGCTGTATAATTATGCAGGGCAGGTTTTGGAGTGGAACTGGCCGTGTACTACTACTACTAGTACTAGACCATAATCATTATTGTCGATACAACTGCGCGAGCAGAACATTGACAGCAAGAGTCAATTCCTGCCACAAGTGACGCTTCCTAATTGAGCACCACTTACGCACCAATCGAACGCGCTTTCTGCCTGCAAAAGCTTCTTTGCACTGTCGTATTCTACGTTCGTGGGCAGGCCTAGCCTAGCGCTTAGCAGCTGTTTGTCCGCTCAGTTTCTACTACTACTTACAGCGATCCTTCTAGCTAGCTAGTAACGCACCCAATCGTAGTTCCGTGCTACTGCTAGCTCTCTCAAGACGCAAGCGCGAGTGGTTCTACTCTGCGGTATTTACGCTGCAGGCGATGGCTCGTCAGCAACTCGCCAGCTGAGCACAAATTTTTGATGGATGATCGACCGCTTGACCATTCAAACGTAATGACATCGGTCGGAACACAGGACGTCAAAACTCTGCGTCAGCGCAAACTGCGAGCCATCCAGCCTGGGGATCTTCAAAACTATTTTCCCCCACTTGAGTTGAGCGTGCAGTATACCACCTCCCGCTGGTCCGCGGCACGAATTTTACATTTACGTTACGACTTTCCACAGTGAATACGAGTGGTTATCTGTGAGAGGTCCTCGGTCCAGTAGCTCAGCTTTGCCCACCAGGCTGACTCCTCACGACGGCGGACAGCCATAGTACACCGCCGGATCACGGGTCGTTCAACGAGCAGACTGCTGGGAGGAACTGAAGACATTGAAGTTACGCGGGTCGGGACGCTGGGGCTCCACCGAATAGCACTGCGGCCAGCTGTGGAGCAGGAAAGCATCTTTTGTGCCACTGACATGAACGAGAAGTGAAAACGTGGTATTGCACGGCTTGCAGAGGTCTAGGGAAGAAGATCAGATCAGTTTCAGCTGGTAGCCACTGCCACTGCACACAGCTAGCGTCAGACGACACCTTGCCCGCCGACCCTGCTAACCTAAGTCCTTTTCGCACATTCGTCTCGAAGACGCTGCTACGTCGTTCCACGGTCCACCCGGATCCACCGCAGAAAGACATTTTCTGGTGAAAAGGGGTCAAGTGACGACGTCATTTCTAGGCTTTTGTAGTGACGGCACTGGAGCATCACCGAAATCAGTTGAAAGAGAGGTGAAAGTAAATTGGCAACGATAGGTCACATCGTGCCGAGTACGGATTGGCAGGGAGTAGAAACGCTGCTCAAAGAGTTCTCCCATTTGTGAAGTGGTCCGCGCAGTTGAGCATCGCAATCGGTGGTCATCAGGCACCGCCGTTTCAAAGCGCGTGGCACAGTACTCTGTCAGTGGCGTGACCGGGTTTCGAGGCTTTCAGGCGTGTTGGAAAACTGCGTCGTTCGCTTGGCGAAGTCGCTCGGGCGCAACCGTGATAGCTCTCTGCCCAAGTGTGCTGCTGTTGCTGATGCCAGCGGTGGTGGTGGTGGAGGAGGTGGTGCCCTGATACGGCTACTGCTGCAGATGCTGGAGCCTGGAGGCGAAGAAAAAAGTGCGCAAACCTTGTCACTGCCGATGCTGTTCCTTGGGCAGAATCCAGGGTGCCTCGGGCTGATGTTACTGCTGTCCTAGCGTGTGCTGCTGGTTTGTCAAGTCTCACGCTAGCTGACTACAGCTAGTGCTACGAATCAGACGAACGGTAGACTAGCACTGCCTGCCGACGGGCGCTGTAAGGGGAACTTCTCATCTGCCAGGCGTGGGCAGTCAGTCACACGTCCTCTGGACCCGACGGCCAACTCGGGCATGTTGCTGCTGCCCATCGTGGCCAGGACTCGAAGGTGGAAGGAAAAATGCTCGGGACGACGGACAACGGAAGCCGCGCGATGTACTGGCGCTGAGCTGGAGAGAGGGTACTGCTGTAGACAGGAGCGGAGGGCACGTGTATCAATGAACTTCCGTAGTAGTACTGGTAGTGGTTGCAGTAGCAGAATGGCTGCCTCATTAGCAGCAAACTGTGTTTTACTGGCAATGGTTATGACCTGTTTACTGCAGGGCGCGCATGCACAGACACAGGTCCTGTTCAGCGTCAACGAAACGGCCGTGCCAGGAGAGTGTGTGCACGACCTGACCGGTCCACAGGGCAACCTACCACTGGGCACCATCTGCCTGCAGCCACCGCAGAACATCCCGTTTGCCATTGACGCGACCAGCCTGTGCTTTGAGGTGGCGCAGGGTCGCGACCTGGACTACGAATCCCTACCGGACGGCAACAATCAGATCACGTTTCAGGCGGTGTGCACACTGCCGTCGGCCATACCGCTGGTCCTGTCCATCACCGTGACGATACTTGACGTGAACGACAACGCGCCGAGGTTCTCGCCGTCGAGCATCAACATCACGCTGAACGAGGGCTCGGTGGCGGGGACGCTGGTCACCGGGCTGAACGCCGTGGATCCGGACTCCGGCACGCTGGGCCAGGCGGGCATCGTGTACAAGCTGGACCCATTGTCCAACGTGGATAATATATTCCAGATCATCGGCTCGAGCGGCACGTCGCAGCTGGTTGTGCGGGGACCGCTGGATCACGAGGGCCCGCAGCCGAACTACACGGTCACCGTGCTGGCGGAGGACGGCGGCGGCCGGACCGGCCGCCTGACGGTGCACATCAAGGTCGGCGACGTCAACGACAATGCGCCCGTGTTTGTGCAGCGCGACTACTCGGCCTCGGTCAACGAGAGCCTGCGACTGCACACGCCGGTGCTGACGGTGCGTGCCGACGACGACGACAGCGGGCCCAACGCCAACGTCCAGTACTCCATCAGCATGAGCTCGGCGACCGACGGCAACGGCTCTCTGCTGACCATCGATCCGCACAGCGGCGCCATCAGCACCACCAGGCGTCCGCTCACGCTTGGCGTGCACACGTTCGCGCTGACGGCCACAGACGGCGCGTTCGCGGACACGGCCACTCTGACGCTGACGGTGCAGGACGTCAACGACAACCGCCCCACCTTGACGCGCAGCTGTGCACACACGCTGGTCTTCGAAGAGCCTGGTCCGGCGGTCGGCACCACGCTGTGCCAGTTCTACGTGACCGATACCGACCTGGCGCTGAACGGACTCGTCAACATTTCGCTGGCCGGCAGCAACGGCATTTTCGTGCTCAGTCTGCCGACGAGCGAGCTTGTGTCCCCGCCGGTGACTGTGCCAGTGCAGTTGGCGGCCGCGTTGGACTACGAGACGGCCACTCAGCACACCATCCAGCTGACCGTCGCGGATAACGGCAGTCCGTCGCTGAGCAGCACTCTGGACGTGCTGGTGCTGGTCAACGACTCCAACGAGTTCCCGCCGCGCTTCCAGGCCGACGGCTACCGTCTTGTGCTGGAAGAGGACACGGCCACCGACGTACCAGTGCTGACGGTATCGGCCACGGACCCGGACCGCTCCAGCAGCTCCATCACGTACAGCATCGAGTCAGTGACGAGCCTGGTTGCCGGCGGCTGGTTCCGCATGGACGCTCTCACCGGCGTCATCTACACGACGAGCACCGTGGACCGAGAGATCCTGCCCGTGTTCAACTTGACGGTGGGCGCACGCGATACCGGCCTTCAGGGCGGCGTTGCCGTCTCACTGCTTTCCACCGTCATCGTGGAGGGTTTCCTGCTGGACGTCAACGACAACGCGCCCATGTTCTTCTCGCCGAGCTACTCGGGCCGTGTGCTGGAGAACAGCACCGCTGGCACATCGGTCGCCAAAGTCGTGGCCAACGATCAGGACGACGGCGACAACGGAACGGTGGTCTTCGCGCTGCTAAACGCCGACGGCACGCCGAGCGCCGACTTCAGCGTCGACTCGTTCGGCGAGGTGACGGTGTCCGCTGGAAGCGCGCTGGATCGCGAGACGCGCGACTCGTTCAGCCTGACGTGTGTGGCGAGCGATCTCGGTCAGCCGCCGCTGAGAGCTCAAGTGCCGATCAATATAACCGTCGTCGACGTCAACGATCACCCGCCCGTACTGTACCCTCTCGTGTATCATTGTAACATACGGGAAAACATGGCGGCAGGGCAGCTATGCACGACCATCTCGGCCACTGATGACGACCTGGGGGAGAATGCCCGGGTCACGTACCGGATTCTGGGGGGCAACACTGGCAGCAGGTTCACGGTGGACGGGTCGTCGGGCGAGCTGACCAATGCATCTCCTCTGGACGCCGACACAGTTAACACGTACACACTTACAGTACAAGCCGTCGATGCAGCCGGACTGGTGTCCCTGGTCAACGCAGTGGTCAACATCAGCGTTCTGAACGAGCGCGACGTACCTCCGGCGTTCATCAATCCCGAGTATTCCTTCTCCGTTGCTGAAAACGCCACACTCGCCACCATCGTCGGCTCCGTGATGGCCGCAAGCCAAGAAGTCGGAACAAGCTCCGGTGCGATCCTGTACTCAATAGCCAGCGGCGACCCAAGCAATGAGTTCACGGTGAACCGAACAAGCGGCATCATCACCACAAACATGCCGCTCGACCGAGAACGTCAGGACTTCTACGAGCTGCAGCTGGAGGCGGAGGAGGTCGGTAGCCCGCCACTTTACACGCTGGTGACGGTCAACATCAGCATTGTCGATGTCAATGACAACCCACCGTCGTTCGGCAAGGACATGGATGCGGCGTACGTCCGAGAGTGCCACCCGGTGAACGCCGACGCAATCTACACGGCCAACGCCACCGACAGCGACTTTCACAAGGCCGGTCGCGTGCGCTACAGTCTCCTCAATACGAGCGACTCCGGCTTCGCCATCGACAAGCTGAGCGGCGAGCTAACGCTGACACAGAGCCTGGACTTTGAACAGGCACGCTACGAGACCGTGCTGATCAAGGCGGCCGATCGCGGTGCCGTGCGTCTCACAAGTACACTAACCCTGTCCATTAATGTCTTGGTAAGTTTACACACACGTCCTCCCTCTCTTACATACACCTCTTCCCTCTCTTACATACACCTCTTCCCTCTCTTTTACATACACCTCTTCCCTCTCTTTTACATACACCTCTTCCCTCTCTCTTACATACGCCTCTTCCCTCTCTTTTACATACACCTCTTCCCTCTCTCTTACATACGCCTCTTCCCTCTCTTACATACGCCTCTTCCCTCTCTTACATACACCTCTTCCCTCTCTTACACACACCTCTTCCCTCTCTTACATACGCCTCTTCCCTCTCTTACATACACCTCTTCTCTCTCTTACATACACCTCTTCCCTCTCTTACATACGCATCTTCCCTCTCTTACATACACCTCTTCTCTCTCTTACATACACCTCTTCCCTCTCTTACATACGCATCTTCCCTCTCTTACATACACCTCTTCCCTCTCTCTTACATACGCCTCTTCCCTCTCTTACATACGCCTCTTCCCTCTCTTACATACACCTCTTCCCTCTCTCTTACATACGCCTCTTCCCTCTCTTACATACGCCTCTTCCCTCTCTTACATACGCCTCTTCCCTCTCTTACATACACCTCTTCCCTCTCTCTTACATACACCTCTTCCCTCTCTCTTACATACACCTCTTCCCTCTCTTACATACACCTCTTCCTCTCTTACATACACCGCTTCCCTCTCTTACATACACCTCTTCCCTCTCTTACATACACCTCTTCCCTCTCTCTTACATACACCTCTTCCCTCTCTTCGCTACCTTATTATTGTGAAGAACCTCTCGTTTAGATTTGCGAAATGCCTCTATTCCAAATCTCAAATCAGTCCATTCATCTCTTATTAGCCTCTGGCTATTGTGAGAATATAGGTGTAAAATGACCAAGATTTCTGTACGGCTCAACACAACAATCAGGATTATGTGCCATTGGCCCGTCTTGAAAATCAAGCTTTTTTTCAAACGCGACAGGCGTATAATAATGTCCACGCACATTGCGAAATTCAGCCGCAATTTGTCGCGCAGTAAAATGTACAATACCATTTTTGCACACGTGTTTGATGCCTCGAATGAGTCGTCGAAAATGTTAACCAGTGGTATCAAGCATTGGTGTGATCTATACATATGTACTTCTTCCTGCTCTATGTTCTCTGCAGGACTGCAATGACATTGCACCTGTATTCACGCAGTCCCTTTTCACAGGCTCCGTCAACGAGGCCGAATCGCCGCCGATGAACGTGCTGAGGGTCTCGGCAACCGACGATGACTTCGCCGGCAACACAACGCTGACCTACTCGCTTCTAAGTCCGGGCAAGGTTCCGTTCGGCATCATGCCCAAGTCCGGCTACATTTACGTCAGTCAGCCGTTGGATCGGGAAAACACGTCTGTGTATAGATTCACAGTGGTCGTGTCCGATGGTCTCCTGCGGAACCAGTCCACAGTCGAGATCAGCATCACGGACACCAACGACAATGCCCCGGTGTTCAGCACGCGCAGGTACGTGTTCAGCACGCCCGAGTTCGACTACAGCCGCAATCTGCCCGCGCTGCCGGCGTACGTAGGCACGGTTAACGCCACAGACACGGACCTGGGATCCAATGCAGCCGTGCGCTACTCGCTAGCCACAAACACGTCGGATTTCACCATCGACTCCAAGTCGGGCGAGATATCGGTTCTCTCGCAGCTGGACAGAGAAGCAGAGGACATGTACTGGCTGGAGGTGGTAGCCAGGGATAAGGGCAACCCGTCACTGAACAGCACGAGCATGGTGCAGATCATCGTGACGGACGTGAACGACCACGCTCCCGTGTTCGTGCAGCCGCCGCCGTCCATGAAGGCGCTGGTCAAGATTGACGAGACGGCGCCAATCGGCATGGTCCTCTTCACCGTCAAGGCGCAGGACGCCGACGACGGCGAGAACGCTCGCGTCACGTTCCGCTGGGGCGGCCACCCGCCCGCACTGTTCTCGCTCAACGAGACGTCGGGCGTCATCAGCACCATCGCGCCGCTCGACTACGAATCCAGCCAGCTGATAACCCTGAGCATTAATGCCACCGACGGCGGGAGCCCGCAGCTGTCCAGCTTTGCGAAGATCGACATTCAGATTCGCGACATCAACGACGAGCCGCCCGTCTTCGTCAACACTAGCGGCCTGACGCTGAGCTTCGTCGAGGACCACCCGGTCAACACGGAGCTGACGCGGATCATCGCCGTCGACCGCGAGGACATGACCAACGGCAATGGCCGTGTGAGATACTCGCTGGTCAGTCAGGACGCAGCCATCACCAGTATGTTCACCGTGGATGTGAACACCGGAGCAATCTACCTGCGCCGCGCGTTCAACTACTCGTCCGTCCGCCAGTTCACGCTCATCATTCAAGCCAGCGATCAGCCGACGATCGGCACGCAGATGTCGTCGACGTACACGCTCAACCTGGACGTCCTGCAGGACAAGGACACCGGGCCGTACTTCCCCAAGCCGATCAGCACCGTCGACGTCCTGGAGAATGTCACTGTCGGGACGCGCTTCCTGAGAGTGCTTGCGTTGGACAGGTATGTAGCACCACACCGCATTCCCACATTCCACTACGTGCTTGCACTGAACTCCGCCTTCCCACATTCCATATCTGCTTGCGCTGATGCAGTCCAGTACTGTATTTTCCGGAGTGTAGGCTGCGTTTTAAACGCTAATACTATGCCCAAAAGAAGTCGGTGCGGCTTATACCACGGTGGTCAAATAAAGTACAGGGCAGATGTCTGTATTTCGCAAATCAAAAATCTGGGTGCGGCATACACTCCAGTGTGGCGTATACTCCAGCGTGGCATATACTCCAGTGCGGCTTAAACTCCGGAAAGTACTGTACTACTTGCTTTCAGTTGGTCCTTCAGAGCTCACTGCAAATAATGGATCTTTCGCTGCCATGAAAAATTAAAATGAAGTTCACATTGAAACTATGCTGGCTTGCAGCGAAGACATCACTTGCGTTTGTGACGGTGTAGGGTTTGCCAGTGCAGTGGAGCTTGTACATCTTAGAGGAGTACAAATAGGTCCATGTTTCATTGCTACTCCAGTCTTCTATGCATGCATGGGCTTTTGACGTACATGTGTGTGTGTTGCCAGAAACATTGCTGCAATCATTCGGCTAGTTAACATACGAAGTACATAATACTCTGATGAGTGTTCGTGTTGTTGTGCATTCATTCTGCTATCCTGCTTACAGAGATGCCGGTTCCAATGGCAAACTCCAATACAGGATCTTGTCGCAGGTGCCGGAGCGCCAAGTGGGCGCCGCCAGCACTCTGGCTCACTTCGCCATCAACAACTCCACCGGCTGGCTGTCCACGGTGCTTCCGCTGGACTTTGAGAGCGTGCAGCGCTTCTACCTGGACATCCAGGCCACGGATATGTCGGCCAGCATGCGCAGCGCCAACGCCTCGCTCACCATCCAGGTGGTGAACCAGAATGAGCACTCGCCCGTGTTCCCGCCCGACCAGCTGCTGCGCCTGTTCGAGGACGAGCGCCTCGACCGCGTGGTGTTCACGGCCACGGCTCAGGACCAGGACGACGGCGTCTTCGGGCAGATCGTCTACGCGTTCCGCCTGAGTGACGGGTCGCTGGCGCTGCAGGACGGCCCGTTCTCCATCAACGCCACGACCGGCCAGGTGTGGCTTAAGAGCGGTCTGGACTACGAGAGACGACGCTACTACGTCCTGCAGATTCGCGGTAGTGACACTCTCGGAGACCCCAGCGGCAAGTACAGCGAGCTCATGCTTAACGTATCTGTGCAGGTGAGTAGCACGTGTGACCGTAGTACAGTTGGTCTATGTCATTGTGCACAGACCTTTAAGCCCATTGCGCATTGCCGGTCAAAATATGGAAAGTATGGGTGATGCGTGTGAGTACACTGGGATCAGGTGTGTGTGTGTGTGTGTTTGTGTGTGTGTGTGTGTGTGTGCGCGTGTGTGTGTGCGCGTGCAAGTGTGTGTGTGTGTGCGCGTGTGTGTGTGCGCGTGCAAGTGTGTGTGTGTGTGTGTGCCGTGTGTGTGTGTGTGCATGTGTGTGCGCGTGCGCGTGTGTGTGTGTGTGTGTGTGTGGTGTGTGTGTGTGCCAGCTAGTTCACTTGGTGGATGCACTTATGCCAGATAGTGACTTGGGTCTGGTGCCATCAGGCTCGACTACTTGTCGTACCTGCCACCTTTGTTGGTTCAGTGTCCATATATTTTCTATTCGAAGTATACAATACCTGTTGATCAATGAGCTACTTCTGGCAAGATTAGGTATTATGCACTCAATGGTGCTAGTGATGTCTAAATCAGATCCACTCTGATTTAGCCACCCAAACTAGTGGCACGTATTACCTTCACTGGGGCCAGGGGTAACTGCAGCGGCAGATCCAGCGATCTCTACAGGGGGGTTCCAGTTTAGTCAAAACTGAATAGCTGATACGTGTACATACATATGGCCTCCAGTAGTACATATGCAAAAATTTAGAGGGTTCCGCGGAACGCCTGGAACCCCTCCTGGATCCGCCCCTGAACTGAGGTTGGACCCCGGGACGGATACTTTGATGGTGCCAATCCCTTTTTAAGTGAGATCATTTCCGAGTCCACCCAGCATTTGGGGGTTTCAGGGTAGTCGGCCAGAGTTGCATCTAATTTGTGGTTGTGTTTGTGAATGTGCGTGTGTGTGTGTGTGTGTGTGTGTGTGTGTGTGTGTGTGTGTGTGTGTATTCTCCCGTGCGCATGAACACGTGTGTGTCTGTTTACATGTGTGCGTGTGCACGCCTCGATTTGTCTGGCTACACAGGATGTGAACGACAACCCTCCCAAGTTCATGAACTCCATGTACCTGGTGGAGGTGGACGAGAACGAGCCCGCGGGCCACATCCTGCTGGCCGTCAAGGCAACGGACAGCGACTCTGGCAACAACAGCCGCATCACGTACACGCTGCCGCCCGGCGAGGGCATGGGCAAGTTCACGGTGGACGCGCAGACCGGCGTCGTGCGCACCACGGTGCCGCTGGACCGCGAGTCCGGCGTGGAGCGCTACGTGCTGACCATCATAGCACGTGACGCCGGCAGTCCCGTCATGACAGCCAGCGTGGACCTGATCATCACTGTCAACGACGTCAACGACTGCACGCCAAAGTTCTTCGTGCCCTCCATTCTCTACTTCATCCAGGAGAACCAGCAGAAGAAGACGATCGACACGCTGCTCGTTCGAGACTGCGATAAGGGTCCCAACGCTCGTCTTTCCTACTCCATCATCAGTGGCAACGAAGGCAACCAGTTTGATATCTCGAGCAGGGGCGGCCTGTTCGTGATCCAGAACGCACTGGATCGCGAGAATCAGACGTTCCATCAGCTGGTCATCCAGGCGTGCGACTCGCCGGTCAACAAGAGCGAGATGCGCTGCGGCGTGGCCATGATCAACATCTCCGTCACCGACGACAACGACAACTCGCCCGTCTTCGTTCAGGCGTCGTACAGCGGGGCTGTGAAGGAGAACGCCACCATTGGCCAGAGCGTGCTGCGAGTGAACGCAACGGACGACGATAGTCCTCTCTACGGACTGCTGCGTTACGAGATGACGGACCCGACCGGGCATTTTGTCATCAACTCCACATCGGGCGTGATAAGCGTCGCCAAGGAACTCAACCATGAAGACCTCTCCGTTTACACGCTCACCGTCGAAGCGGCCGACAACGACCCGCACGGCGCGCGGCGTAGCTCAGTGACCGTCACCATAGCGATCCTGGACGTGAACGACTTCACGCCCACGTTCACGCACTCGGCGTACGCCATCAACGTGTCCGACTCCATTGCCGTGGCAGCGCCCGTCTTCAACCTGACCGCGTTTGACATCGACTCTGGCGAAAACGGCCGCATCACGTATCGCCTCTCCAGGATAAGCTCGGACTTCAACATCGCGGCCAGCAGCGGGCTCGTCACTACCCGCACCGCTCTCAGCGTGGCCAAGTCCCCGTACACAATCTCCGTGATAGCGACCGACGCCGGTGTGCCGTCGCGAAGCGGCAACACAACGCTGACGGTCAATGTGCTTCCGGCGGTGCAGGCTCCGCCGCGCTTCCTGGAGGACGTCACGACCGTTCTGTACAAGGTGGGCACTATCCGCGCCACGGAGCGCATAGCCGAGGTCAGTGCCATCACCGACGACCCGACCGCCACGCTGTCGTACAGCATCGTGTCCACGCTGCCGCCGTCGTACCGCGACTCCTTTGCGCTCTCCGCCGGCACCGGGGTGCTGACGGCCGTCAAGGACGTCGCGCTCATGTCCAGCAATCGCGTGCAGGTGCTGGTGCAGGCACGCAACACAGCCACGGGCACGGTGGCAAGCAGCACGGTGCAGCTGCAGCGCGACCTGCTGCAGCACACCTTCCTCTACTTCATCTCGTCGCCGCTCGCCGACATCCCGGAGACGGCGCCGAAAGGCACGCTGGTGACGACCGTGGTGGCCAAGAGTGCGTTCATACAGAGCGTGCCTCAGTACTCCATCATCGCCGGCAACACACAGCAGGTGTTCACGATCGACGGCCAGTCCGGCTCCATACACACGCAGAAGGAGCTGGACTACGAGATGACGACGTCGTACACCATCTCCGTCATGGCAACCGACGTGGCCAACTTCTCGCGGCCGGCCATCGCCGTGATTCAAGTGGACGTGCGCAACGCCAACGACAACCCTCCGGCGTGGAGAACTCTGCCCACCGCTCCCGTCGTCATCTCGGAGAACTGGCCGCCGCACCAGTACCTGACCACTGTCCAGGCCGTGGATGTGGACATGTCGCCACTAACGTATCGCATCGTCAATCAGCCGCCGTCCCTGTTCACCGTCAGCCCTAAGGGCGAGATTCTCCTGGGCACCGTCGGCGTGGACTACGAGGCTAGCGCAAGGTACGTGCTGAATGTCACGTGCACAGACGGAATCAGCACAATCTCGGCACTGGTCGTTGTGGACGTCACTGACGACAACGACAACGCGCCCGTCTTCTTTCCCAAGCAGCTTAACAAGGTCATCGCCGAGAACGAGCCACCAGGTTTGGTCATCGCGCGCGTGCGCGCAACCGACCGAGACAGCGGCGTGAACAGCGAAGTGACGTTCCACCTACTGGACAACATCAACAACTCGCTGGCCATCAACAGCAGCACCGGTGAGGTGACACTGCTGAAGTCGATTCCGTTCAAGCGCCACGCCAACAAGTACTTTGTGACGATCGTGGCGCGCGACGGTGGCACGCCGCAGATGAACTCCACGCTGATCCTGATCCTGGACATCTCCGACATCAACGATCACAGCCCGGTGTTCGAGCAGCCAGCCGGGTACGTGTTCAACATCTCGGAGAACACTGCCACGCAGAACCTGGTGGGCAGCGTGCACGCTACTGACGACGACTCACAGAAGAACGCGCTCATCTCCTACAACCTGGTTGCGGCCAGCAAGTACTTCAGCATCAACCAGGGCAACGGCGACATCTACCTGCTGCGCACGGTCGATCACGAGGTCGACACCGACTTCACGCTCAACGTGAGCGCCAGCGACGACGGCAACAGCATCCAGCATGTCACCTACGTCCTGGTGACCATCCGCGTGCTGGACGCCAACGACAACGCGCCGCACTTCGAGAAACCCGAGTACGTGGTGCGCATGCCCATCGACCAGCCGCTGAACGTCGAGCTTGTCCGCGTCAAGGCCACAGACGCCGACGAGGGCTTCAACGCCAAGGTGTCGTACTCGATCAAGAGCGGCGACGAGAACAACATCTTCTACTTGGACTTCAACACCGGCAGCTTGTTCCTGCACCGCAATCCGCGCGACCAGATCAGCCCTGGCCAGGCCATCTCACTGGGCATACAGGCCACGGACGGCTCCTTCCTGGCCACCGCCAAGGTGACCATCATCGTCTTCTCGAGCAGCCAGACCGACCCGTTGTTCACCAGCCAACGCTACCAGGCCAGCGTGCCGGAGAACGCGCCCAAGGGGAAATCCCTGCTTCAGATCCAGGCCTTGCATCCGAACCCGCAGCTCGACATCAACTACTACTTTGCACTGAACACGTCGGCGAGCGTGCGGAGAATATTCATGCTGGACGAGATGACCGGCGAGCTTACCATCAAGGCCGCCAACGCTCTGGACTACGAGACCAACAGGAGCTACGCGTTCTGGGTGCAGGGCCGCGACCCGGACACGGCCGAGATCTCTGCGTACACGCAGGTCATCATCAATGTCACCAACATCAACGAGTACAAGCCGAGGTTTGCGCAGCGCAGCTACGAGTTCGACGAGACGCTCCCGCTGCCGGTGGGCAGCCGGGTGGGCAACGTGATCGCGACCGATGATGATCACGACCCGGTTCAGTACTACTTCAATCGGCTGAACAACAGCCAGATCGAGGACGGCCTGCTTCGCATTGACGTCGACACCGGCCTCATCACCCTGGGCAAGGAACTCTCCAAGGACGAGGTCATAGAGGCACAGGTGATAGCGTTCGACGGCCAAGGCACGGCCGTAACCAATGTCACCGTTAATCTCCAGTACGGCAACACCGGCGCCAGCGAATCCGGATCCTCCAACACCTCCACCGTGCTCATCGTGGCCGTGGTCATCGTCGTGCTGCTCCTGCTCTTCGTTCTGATCGTGGTGATCCTGGTGCTCAGAAAGCGCTCCAACCACAGCAAGGAGCTGCACCGGCTCGACTCAAACTACGGGTACGCGCCGTCGTCGTCGGGTTCCGGCGGTGGCGGGACTGCCGTGCGTCAGGACAGCCAGCGCGCACTGCTCAACAGCACGTCGACGTCCATGTCGGCGCCGGGGGAGATCGGCTCGGACTCGCCGACCGGTATGGCGGACGAGATCACCCTGCAGCGCATCAACAGCGGCACTAACAGCACGTACCTGACCAGCGCCAACGGCACGCCGTACCCAGGGCCAGGCGCGGGTTACGGTATGCCTGGCGGCGGCATCGCAGCTGCTGGCGGTTTCCCCATGATGGGCAATCATCACGAGCAGCTGCACGAGTTTGGCGAGGAGGGAGCAGGTGAGGCCTGGGGTGGTCTGGGCGGCGGCGGAGCCATGGATATGAACACAATGATCTATTCGCGCCTGGCCGAGATCGAAGCGGACGAGCACGAAGCCATCATGGACGGAGTGCGCGCGTTCAACGCCGACACGCTGTCCTACGCCGGTTCCATCGGGTCGGTGGCGCGGCTGGTGGACGAGGTGCGCGGCAACACTGGCCAGCAGCAGCCGTCACCCAACCTCCGACAACTGGCCAAGGAGCTGGGTGCACTGTCGGGCACGCCGCCCAAGCCCGTGGCGTCACCGCGTGCACAGGGCAAGCGCGTCGCGGCAAGCACGGCTCAGAAACAAACCGTCACCGCCGTCGGACCTAGTACTGTCGCTGACAACAACTTGTACACCGCGTCGCCGTCCTGGTCCGGCTCACCTGCATCACAGCTCTCCGAAGTTCTCGACCACGACCAGCAGCAGCAGCCAGCCGACAGCAATGCCAGCAGCGTGGAACCCAGACTGCATATATCCATGACGGATCTCGGCGCGCCGGAAGAGATCATACTCTCGCCCGGCAAGCCGCCCAAATCGCCGTCCAAAGGATACTGGTCGACGGGCAGCAACGAGCAGATACCAGAGAACGCCGTGGCAGCGGCGGAACCGGCCAAGAACAACGAGCAACTGGAGCAGCGGCAAGACGCCCTGGACCAGATGATCGACTTTGGCGACGATGAAGAGGACGAGCGCAGCGTGATGACCGAGGACCTGACCGACGAGATGCGCTTCAGCGACTACGAGTGCGAGGAGGTGTGAGCCGGTGCAGTGCCGTCTCCGACAGCAGCAGCACATGCGCGGTCGATGCCTGGCTGTGGGAACAGCAAGACAAGATGCTCAACAATTCCGTTCAACGATCTTGACTAGAAACAACATTTTTAAACAGTTTTCTAAATTAAAATGTTCAGTCTGCGAAATTCAGCAATGGAGCCAGCCACACTGACTTGATAAAATTGACTTTTTTGTTTAGACATGCAAGCATCTCTGTCATAGACCCCACCTGAGCATTAGAACCAACACACAGACACACACATACACACACGCACACACACGCGCGCGCGCGCGCGCACACACACATACACTTAACTAAGCAGCTTCATTGCATTTAGCGATTCTGATGTTGCAACTAACCAAATCTACTGCATCGTCCCAGTACGATCCTCTGGCTTGAGCTGACAAGAAAAAGCCCCCGCCACCCCCTTTCAGTTCCTTCCCATTCCAGGACTATTTATTTCCAAAAAACACAGTTCTCTAAGAATAATGAATAAACGAACGCAAGTATGCCATGTATCGTCATCTGTTATTACCTGGAGCGTGTGTGTGTGCATGTGTGTGTGCATGCGTGTGTGTGTGTGTGTAAGGTCACCGATCTAGTCGGCGTTCAGAGGTATTCCACTCACATGGTCCACATCCACACACCTTGAACCTTGAACGCCCATTGCCGTAGCAATGATAGCGATGGCTTCCTCACGCTGAGGCTCTAAACTCGAAATCTGCAGTATGGCGCATGCCGCTTGAGGTCACCAGGACGACGGAACACTCTGTCACAGCGGTAGTTGGGGCACGGGATGTCTGGGGCTTCCTTCTCGACCCTCTGTCGACAACACTGAAACCAGGTGGATCTCTCCTGCGCTGTGTCATACCAGTCCGCTTCAGGTAAACCGATGACAGCAAAGTCCGAGGACACAACATCCCGCCAGCGCTTCTTGGGACCATGTTGCGGGCGTTTGCAGGGCAGTTCGCCGAACAGCATCTGCTTGGGCAGCCGGGTCTCCTTCATCCGTGCAACATGACCAAGCCACCGCAAGCGGTGCTTCCTGATCACATCGGCCATGTCGACGTCCACCCCTGCCAGCTCACTCAGCGATGCTGACGACAATCCACACACACACACACACACACACACACACACACACACACACACACACACACACACACACACAGCAGCCCACTTGTTCACATTCCGAACACGACGGTACTGCAGAGCTGTACACTGCATAGCCATAGGTCGACAACTTACTTGTCAGTACAGAGCAAGGTTTAGATACCAGTACATGCACAATGCACAGAGCCCATGGCCTGGGCGCAGCAGGTACGGCCATAACCAACAGCAAACCAGAAGCACATGTACCATAAAGTACCGCCAGAGCGCCCCACCATCTCGTCCTTGCGTGGGCGTATTGTGGAGGTGGTGTCCTGTCTGTATAGTGTAGGTCATACAACACGAACTATTGTACACACATTGCACGTTGTGGAGTCAATCCGCACTCAATTTATCTTCTAGCGGACACAAGCTCCACACAAAAACCTGCTAAGTGTGACCTGGTGTACTAAGGTTCTCGCACCGTACACACTTCGCTGCACTCTGCCATACAATTTTCATTTTCCTGGCCGTGAAATCAAGGTGGGGCGCTCTGGCGATGCTTTACGGTATATGAATGATTATGTCTTTAATAATCCAGACTAGTGTGCAGTGTACGCATGCATCAGACTCAGAGGTATCTCGCACAACCAGCCAAGAAGACACAGTCATCTGTATTGAACGCTTTCGTTCCCTTCTTAACAACATACTACAGGAATTGGAATGATGAAATTACTCAGGAGACCACAACTATAAAGGTTGAGTATAATATGTCAGACAAGTTTGTTCGATGAGAAGCGCAAAGAGAGCGGAAAGAAAAGGAAAGGGATCTGACAGGGCGACACACCAGCGGTTGCAAGAAGAGAGAGAGGGAGAGAGAGAGAGAGAGAGAGAGAGAGAGAGAGAGAGAGAGAGAGAGAGAGAGAGAGAGAGAGAGAGAGAGAGAGAGAGAGAGACAGAGAGAGAGAGACAGAGAGAGATACTGTCTTGTCAAACAGATTGCAAGATCAGAATAAAAGTACACAGCAAGTATTTCTAAGTCTAAGGCTTCGATGAGTGCATCGTGCCCACTGACCATGGTGCCAGGTCAGGCTTACGTAGAACTCTGCGAGAGAAGAAGAATATAATTGATATCTGGAATAATGAAGTACACGAAGACAAAGGCACCTGACGAGCATCAGCAGAGGCGATATCCGTAGGAGCAAAGGAGCTTGGGGAAACGTTGAAGTGCACGGGGACTAGTCAGACGGTGGAGAAGCAAACGCACTGGGCGAGAAAACAAAAACAAGACTGCTGGAGGCAAACATACAGTGCCTGTAAACCGGTGGTGAATAAATCTAAGGGAAGTGTTCGTTGGTGGTCATTAATCTGGGTAATCTCGATAGCGGACAGAGTCATTGGTTTGGTGAACGAAGGCCGACGATTTGCGCACGGCCAGGAAAGAGTACAGTACAGAATGGAGGTCGGGCGCCTGGCAGATTCTCAGTGCCCGTCGGGAGAGGCGTTCACGCGGGATGACTGCGGAGACGCACGCTCGGCGCTCCTTTGTGCTGGCACTGTAGTGTGGTGGCAGTAATACTAATACATGTACATGGTACTACTAACGCTACACCGGATACATGTACAGGAAATTACTACACGGGATTCACGTACAGGATACTAAGGATACTTACAGTACAGGGTATGGTGTTAGAACATGCTGTCAACCACACAACATGTACAGGATCCTATATACACAGAACTATGTACACCGCAAGTCTCACGGATGGGAAGGAAAGTTGGATAAACGGACGGAAAATAAACGGACGGAAAATAAGCGGCCAGTCAATGACCCCAACCTAGTGTTACAACACGCATAAGTACAGCGAAGAGCTGCCCGTCTAAAGTTGGACAGCCACTGCCATATCCAAACCTTGTACGCACGCTTTACCGCACGCTCAAGGTTGGGGCGAAGAGCAGCTCGAGGACTACGCGAACGAGGGCACGGCGCGACTACGAGCCATTCAGCGTCCAGTCGTAGGCCAAATACGATACCTTGGGGTTCGCCGCCATGACTGTATCAAACTCTTGCTTGAGATCACAGGATCCCATGTTGTTGCCTACAAACTGAAGAATCTACAGTGCAAGAAAGAAAGAAAGGAAGAAAAAAAGGAAGAAGAAACATTGTTAGCGACTCACTATTTACAATTGTTAGAATCACATTTCCTGACGATCACATAGTGTAATACTCGAATTGCAAGAAAAGCTTTGTTCTGCTTTCTTCGCACTGACACCCGACTGAGTGAGAAAGGTGGTGAGGGGGTGAGAGGCAATAAAATAAACAGGGCTTGAGAGTTCTACGTCACAGCCAGGTCTGAGCCACAACAGCGCTGACGTTTGGATCCACTTGAATCTAGTTCTTGTGTGGATCCATGCATGCTTCGGTGGCATTCCTTCACAAAACAGTGGGACCTACCCGCCGCCCTCCTGGTCAGGTCTCATTTCTGGTGCAGGAAAAGTCACACCTGGATGTGACAAGAGGGACCTGCCTACCATGATCTACTGTGTTATGGTCAGAGACTCTGAGTGGATCGAACTTGACCCAGAAGTCAGTACTTGTTGCAGTCTGACATAGCTATCAATCCCTATTTCTTGCGCAGTCAAGGACCGATGGTCAGCAGGGAATGCGCTCACCGGCATACTAGTACGTGACCCTCTGCCTCTGGTATCAACAATGCATGCATCATCACACGATGTAGTCCCAAACTCCAGGGCTACAGCTCCACACCGGGCTTCACGAAAAATAAATAGCATTCGGCAGAACGCAGGGCAATGGGCGCAAAGAAAATAGTGAGCGCAACAGATCGACGCAGAGCAAAGGATCAACATACCTCCTTGGTGTTGCTGCCAAAGTCAGACTTGTACCAGGCCAGTATACGGTTCAGGCTGATCTACACGGCAACAGAACCCAGCAGACACAGACAAAATGGTGTTTAAAGGGACGTACGCATCAATTTCCCGCCACTAGGTTTTGCGGGGCAAGTCTACTACAACTGTACACACTCTGATACCAACTCTGCATAAAAGATCATAAACTTTATACGGTCTACATACTCAATCTGCAGACAGCATATAAATGTGCTAAAACGGGTTGTACATTCCAATTATCGGACAACTTGCCCCGCACAAAGGTGACGGCCATCTTCGATGCATACCTCCCACTAAATAAGCAAAGCAGTGCTGCCATCCACATAGAGCCAACGCAAACGGACATCGAACATCGGCAGCTCACCTCGTTTTTCTCGACAGAGACCTGGACCCCTCCATCTTGTAAGAAAGAGTTGGCAGCCAAAGAGAGTTCCTCGTCAAGACCCTGAACCAAAACAAGACAAAGAAGAACAGAGGCAATACATTGGACAAAGACACATGTCTGCTGTATAACAGTGCATTTATGTAGTTACATTTGACCAAAAGAATGTCACGGTTCGCATCAGCCTCGGGTAGAGGCTGAGTTTTCCGCATCCGTAGGAACGCCACCACCCTTCAAGGATCAAGGCGCAGATGCAGCTCCTTTTAAAAGCGGTGTGGGGGGGGGGGGGTAGATCAGACCCACCAAAGTAGTCGAAGACCGAGAATCCCATTCGTTGCATCCATGCTTTCCTCCAAAACCCATCATGTGTAAAGGCTTAGCACACTTGTTGCGCGACCGGTTTGGCCAATCACCGTAAGCTTTGCTGTAGAGACCTAACAAGGCCATGCACGCTAGCTGTCCGGGGATTGGGTATTTCGCTCCCTCGCCTTGTGTCCGGTTTCGGCCTTAGCGATTCGCATAGGAAAAGTTGAACTGAAATGCCACCAACAGCATCACGATCAGATTCCCAAAGGAAAAGTTGAAATGAAAATGCCAACATCAACACCACCATCATTGTCTGCTTACCAGTGCCGTGTAGGTCTTGATCGGTGGGCAGCTCTTGGCACCGCACACCAGCGCAAAGTGAATGCGATAGTCCGGCTGTTCCACGATGCTGATGCGGCGCGGGTCGGTCTTGCCGAACGGCTTTCTCAGCGCGCCCACTCCCTTCTTGTTGCCCCGGAGAATGCCGTTCTCAATGTCCTGCAGCGAGTAAACGTGACCTCCGATCGTGTAACAGCTGGTGTTGAAAAACTGCAGACAACACACAAAAAAACAGCATAAACTCTGGTGCTGAAAAACTGCAAACGCACGAAGCAGAGCACAAGCAGAGCACAAACTCAACAGTGTTGCAGTCAACTTGATGTACATGTAGAAGAGAGATGACCGGAAAATAGAACGCTGCATGGCTCATGCAGTGTGTGTGTGTGTGTGTGTGTGTGTGTGTGTGTGTGTGTGTGTGTGTGTGTGTGTGTGTGTGTGTGTGTGTGTGTGTGTGTGTGTGTGTGTGGGTGGGTGCAACTGTGCTTGAAGGGGACGGTTGCACTTTTTGTAGCTCCGTTTTATCTGAGTTTTCAGTCGTTCCTCTTACTAGTCTTAGGCCACGGGGTGGCTCTGGGTCCACCAGAGTCGCCCCTGGCGTGTTTCTGAATTTGCTGGAGCGAGAGTTCCGCGATGCGGTCGCCAGGGCAGTATCTTTTCTGTCACGACCGTTGTCGTCCTCGTCTCTCCATTCGTGGTGGTGTAGCTGACCCCCGAATGGTTTCAAACTGCAAAGCTCGGAGTACAGTGGCAGAGGCATGAGCTGTGAGTGGAGACGGTTGCTGGAGATGGATGGTGATGCATGGAGAAGAGTTACGCTGCCTGACGACGCGTGGGAAATTGTTTGATCCTGCAATTTCAGTTCGAGCGCGGTGGACTTCTAGACGATGTGTCCCCATGGCTGTTTTTCAATGCTTGACCTATTGCTGATATCCCTGCGTGGGATGTTCTTCCAGTGGAGTCCAGGTGAGACTTCGGGTGCCCACACTCCATCACCTGGTTGATTGTTTCGGAACTGCAATAATACAGGTTCAAATAATTATTGTTTCCTTTTTGTGCGTATCTCTAGCTCTTGTCATCTCTCTTTCTATACGTCGCACACCAGATGTACTACTATCGCTGTCTTTCTCCTGCTATCTCTCTCTGCTTGCTGTTTTTTTTTTTTTTTTGTTGCCACTGTCCCTCATCATACCCATGCTTGGGTGGAGGGCGGCGTGACCCGTTAGGGTAGCTGTCAATACAGTACAGTACAGTGTGTGTGTGTGTGTGTGTGTGTGTGTGCGTGCGTGCGTGCGCGTCTTCTCTCATCATTATGTAGTGGGAGATGATTGTCATCATGTGCACGACGACTGAAGCGATCTTGAACTTACTTTCTGCCTGTCCCAGGCACTCTTGGGAGGGCCACGCTCCACATTTGCGTGGATGACAAGCGCATTGTAGACGTTGATGAAGAAGGCGATCTTCTCGGCGTTGTCCGTCAGCTTGCCAATGTCCAGCCGCAGTAGCTCGGCGGTCAGCTGCTCGTACTGCGAGAACAGCTTGCTTGAAGCCAGCGATGTGTAGTCGACGTGCTACACGCACAAAACAATGGAAAATAGCATACTGCTTGCCTGCACCTTTGAAGCCATGGCTTTATAAGTTAATTTATAACTGAGAGACTGACTTTACAACCGAATATACCGTCATGGCTTTATTTATTTTATTCCAAGCAATACATGGCTGGGGTAGCCAATGACCACTTTGCGTGGCGATTGCAGGGTTTTTATAGCCAACCACGGCTAACAAGGAAAAGAGTAGGAAGTCAAAAAGAAGAGAAAAAGAAAGAAGCAAATATGGACTAAAATTGTGGTCTACTGGGGGGGGGGGGGGGGGGGGGGTGTCTTTAAAGGTGAGGACATACGCAGGGGCGTCGGAAGGTATTCCACATTGATGCGGCAGCATGAGTAGGTGGGGGTCCTTCCCCATGAAAATTTTAAGGGAAATTGGACCCAAATAGCCCATATTTCATTGCTTCAAAAGTCACGAGATGAAATTATTGGTGCGGCTTTGGCCGGACCTGCCGCACCGGTTCCGACGCCCCTGATACAGTACCAGTTTCATGCTTCACATTTTCCCCAAAACCGCTGTAAGTGCATTGCCTCTGTGAGATCAAGGGCATCAGATTCCCCTCCCCGCGGTGGCTAGCTAAGGTGAGTAGAGATCCGACACGCCACCAGACGTCAGTGAATCCACAAGGAGGACGATGTGTGCGGTTACATGCTGGTAGCACAGTGCTGGTAGCACAGTGCTGGTAGCACAGTGCTGGTAGCACAGTCCTGGCTCCAATTCCAAGCGTGCTCTGAATACTGTAAAGCGACAAACTTTCGCGGGGCGCGAAATTAGCGTTTTCATAAATTGAGCTGGTTCACGATGAGAAACTTTTGCGATTCTATCTCTTCAGTCGGATCTTGTACTGTCTACAATCAACGTATAGAGAGGTTTGCGGCGGTTTACATTCGCGAATGTGTGAAGGTCGCGAAAATAGCGAAATTTAATCTCAAGCGAAAGTCGCTCACTTTACAGTACGGAAACTGTGAAATTATTGCGATGGTCTAATTTCTGCGAAATTCGCGACAGCGTGGAAATCGCGAAATTTAGACAGCGCGAAAAGGAGATCCATGAAAGGTTTAGCAAGAATGCCACAGGTTTAGCAAGAATGCCATTCTGCAGTCGCAAAATTAAAACCTCGCAAACCTGTCCAGATTCTGAAAACGCGAACTAAAAACGCCGCGAAAATTTCACCCTTTACAGTAGTGCATCCATACAGTTGCGCTCGGTGAAATCCAACCCAAAGTGCAACGCTTGCGCCCTGGACCAGTTACGATTACATCATCGTATTTGTACATCATGTGTACGTCCAGCCGGATGCGTGGCGCTTCCAGGGCGTCAAGGGCCGCGCAAGTTGAGGGCGCCAAATACGCACTCCGGGTCGGATTCCACCGAGCGCAACTGTACATGCATGCGTACCAACAAAAGCAGCACGGAAGCCATATTGTTTCGACTAGGCCTTTCGTAGAATTACTTTTCAAGTCGAATACAGCGGTGATACGGTACGAAAGGCCTACCAGTAATCGAAACTATAATGGCCTCTGTGCTGCGTGTGTTGGTCTGCTTCCGTCCAACCAAGAATTTATTCCTACATACATACTGAATCTGCGGACAGAACTGTTTCGTCCTTTGTGTGTGTACATACATACATACATGTACAGCACACGGCATGCACCGCGTGTAGTGAGCTCACTGCGACACTTACCCGTCCATCGATTGAGAGATAGTCGTTGTAGAGCAGCACAATGGAGCTGCGCAGGACTTCGGCTACTTCCGTGGCTGTGGGTTTAAGGGTATGCACACATACAGGTACATGTACATAGTCGGTGACAAACCGAGAAACAGACAGACAGACAGACAGACAGGCAGACACACACACACACACACACACACACACACACACGTGCACATTCCAGCTTGATAAACGGCTGCAGGTAGAGACCAGGCACCAGCAGGTCTCAATCTCATGTACGTGAGTTAGAATCAAATCACGTACTATGAAAAGATCTACGATATGCGTGGCTGCTGTGATATGCCCACCCCCAGTGTATGGTCCACGTCCCATACGATCATACTGTAAGACCAGTAATGTTAACTGAAGGCCGAGTTTTCCGTATCCGTAGGAACGCCACCACCCTCTATGGATCAAGGCGCAGATGCAGCTCCTAAGCGGTGCACGCAAACACGGCCAGCAAAACGAGGGCCAATGAGAACAAGCTCTCTCCTTGAAAAAGACATCACAAACAATAGGACTTGATGAGAAAATATCGGGCTCAACGTACCAGACTGAGGTTCACACTCTGAGTGGTGCTTGGTGTTGAGTGAGTTGCTCTCGTCGTCGTCCAGTAGCCGGTAGAAGAAGTAGCCGTCCTTGAAGTCGTGGTCGTTGCACACGTGATGGCCAAACTTGCGGCTGATGAGCTTCACGCCAATCTCCAGGGCCTCGCTGCGCTCTACATAGCAAGCCCACAAGCAAAGCAAGACACGTTATCAGCCATTAACCCCTTGCACCAGCAACAGCAGCAGAAAGGACAAAAAGTACAACATTTGCTTATCGCTTCCGCTCTTTTTCTCCTTTGTTTTAGCTGTTCTATACGGGTGCCCTGCGTTCTCTTTCTACAAAGCTTTTAACACTTTGTCTGCATGTTTTCTTTGTGCTGGATGTGCTACAGATAATTATGAAGATTCCGGATAAATCAGCGAAATACAGTTGTAGCGTATCAAATTACCACTCTGAGCGAACTGATGCGTTTTTAGAAAAAAATTGATCGCCTGGCAAACAACTTGAACAACGATGTGGGCATTTGTTTGCTACATGTTCAATACCCGTGTCTCCTACTACAGTCCATTCAGAAAAAGATGGACTTCTAGCTTTTGGCCATAAATGGGTCAAACTTTGAGTTTTTTTAGAATTTTTTTCTGCAATCCCCTATGGAATCCTCTTCCAATTATGTTTCTGAAGTCTATTTGTCCAAAAAGCAAGCCATAACAAGAATAGGATATCGGCCAGGTTTTGCCCCAGAAGCATTGAATTGGAAAAAGCCATCAAAATCCAGGCCGTTTGACCCTGCCTGCAACAGTGCATTGTGGGGTTCGAACCCCAGTTCAGGTACCCTTTTTGGACTCTTTTTCAACTTTTTCAAAGTTCAAATTTCGCAGCACTGCACTGTGTACAATGAAATCACGAAAAATCGCCAAATACGGGAGCTCGCCAGAGCCAGAGCCCATCTTTTTCTGAATGGACTGTAATCGTGGCGTTTCGACCGGGTTTGAGCCAGATTGGGATACCACTGAGCACGCAACCCCAATCCAATTGTGTGGGAGAGATCGTGAATAGCAACTGAATAGAGCGATTGTCATTTGACAACCCCCCTTTCTTTCTATAATGCAGTTTCGTGATGTCCATAAATTTCTTACTGAACTAATCAACACCTGAGAAGTGTATCGAGCAGCTAATACAGACTAAAATCTGCCACGTCTTAGGGGTCGTCCATAAATATCGAACTTTTTTCACAAAACGAAATAATTTCGTTATGGGGTGGGAGGGGGTTGACCAGTTTCGTTTCAGAAAACATTGATTCATGTACATGGCCGTTGTATGTCAACATTTTTTACGTTCTGAGGGGGAGGGAGGGAGGGGTTGGGTCTAAACTAAAATAATTCGTTTGGTGAAAAAAGTTCGATATTTACGGACGGCCCCTTACCGATCTCTTTTGTAGTACAGAGCCAGTCGACAAGTTCTCTGCCGACGAAGCACTGCTTGTAGAGACGCAGGTGATAGTAGCGGTCGGCGATCAGATCCGATTTGCGGATCTCACGAACCAGCAGCGCGTACTCGTCCTGCTCGCATTGAAACTGAAAATCGGTGTAATCGTCTGCATCGTACGAGAAGCATCCATGCGCACACACGCACACTCGCACACACACACACACACGCACACACGCACACACACCGGATACTCAAAACCAGAGGGGGGGGGGGGGGGGGGGAGGGGACTACCTAAGTGCACATAGGTGTGGTGAGAAACTGCAGCTGGTGGCCAAATCAAGTAGCAAGGTGGTGTAACATGGTTCAATACTCTTCCGCAGCCTTTGGTCAATCCTTAAAAAATCAATCAGCTTTCACTTGCCAGAAGCCGAATACACACAGTCACTGGACACTTGCCCACTAATCAACAATCCATTAAAGAAATTCACAGTTTGCTTGAGACTCAGACTGAGTTTTCAGCATCCGTAGGAACGCCGCCAACCTGCAAAGATCTAAGGTGCAATCCTTAAAATGAAAATCAATCAATCAGTCTTCCCTTGCCAGGAGCCGAATACACGCAATCACTACGCACTTGTCTAGCAAACAACAATGCTAAAGAGGAACACCAATGGCCCGTGCAAGTCTATGAAGCGGGGGTCTAGCTTACCGAGAACGTCGAACTCCCGCTCCTGCCGTGGCACCTTGGGTGCAGTGTCCGGCGCCCTGTTCTCCAAGACCTCTTGCAGGAAGTCGTCGATGGACTCATTTGATATCTGCCAGCGGAAATGCATGCAAAAAGGCCACAAATCCAGATGAACCTATGGTTGCATTGTTAACTCAACTCAACGCAATGATATCTGAAGTAGACAATCATAGAGTTCTGGCAGGACTTTATGGCTGAATCAAGGCCGAGTGCATACGGCCAAGGGCGCAGGCCAAGGCGCGTAGCGCCGAGGCCTGCGCCCGCGGCCGTGCGCACGAGGCCTTGATGAAGGTGGAAAGTCCTGCCAGAACTCTATGATCGTGTTTCAGGTTTCCACTTACATCCTTTGAGCCGCGTAGACGGTATAACTATAAGCGCGATACCACATACTGACATAGAGTGGAGGTTGGGGACGTGGTGGCTAGACCTGTTGCCTTTTTTCTTTGCTCAATGCTCAAGAACAAGTAGGTTGGTCGGGGACGTGGTGGCTACACTATCACTCCTTTGCTGACACGCGATGATCTTATCAGTTTTCGCTTACATCAGTACATGAAGGCCTCGTGCGTAGATCTACTGTGCTACGCGCCTTGGCCAGCGCCCGGGCCTTGGGCCTGCCTGGCCGTACGCTCATCGGAGTCATGGTCATGTTTTCACTGGCATTCTTTGAAACTGTATATAAGCGCGACACCACCTAGGGGTGGAGGTCGGGGACGTGGTGGACGGATCTCTTGCCATTTTTTTAGAAGAAGTAGTTGCAGAATTGCCAAAGCTCATGCGTACGGCCGCGGGCGCAGGCCTCGGCGCTACGCGCCTTGGCCTGCGCCCTTGGCCTTGATTCATGGTCAGGTTTCACTTGCGAACTGTATATAAGCGCGACACCACCTAGGGGTGGAGGTCGGGGACGTGGTGGACGGATCTCTTGCCATTTTTTTAGAAGAAGTAGTTGCAGAATTGCCAAAGCTCATGCGTACGGCCGCGGGCGCAGGCCTCGGCGCTACGCGCCTTGGCCTGCGCCCTTGGCCTTGATTCATGGTCAGGTTTCACTTGCGAACTGTATATAAGCGCGACACCACCTAGGGGTGGAGGTCGGGGACGTGGTGGACGGATCTCTTGCCATTTTTTCCAATTATTTACTCCTCAGGTTAAGTCGTCCTTTGATGCTCGTACTCGTAGACTGTATATAAGCGCGATATCACCTAGGGGTGGAGGTCGGGGACGTGGTGGCAAGAACTCTTGCCATTTTTCCCTTGGCCTTGAAGAAGAAGAATGTTTTGAATTGTTTTCAGGTTGTAGCTGTTTAGTTTTGTCACTCCTTTACTGACACGCGTACAAACCTGTTGTCAACATCGCCATTAGCTTGTAGAATACTGGATTGCTTACTACATGTAGCCACCTTTGCTACCTTACATCATAGTACTTGTATGTTTATTACATCAATGAACAGAACTGGGCATGAGGTCATGTCTACAGGCATGCCCAATCTACACGATTGTAGACCTGGTTTCAACCATGTACTTACTCTACTCTCCTCCAAAGCCAAGGACGGCAAGGTCCTGAGATGAACTGAGATGGCAACGGAAAACTGACGCAGACCCCTGCACTGTAGAGCTAGGCTGACAGCGTGCGGGCCTTTATCGGCTCATCAAGGCCACCGCGGGAACGTCGCTCATTGGCTACAACCATGGAAACGGCACTGTAAAAACCTGAATATGACAATCGCTACACTGTCATTCCGTACGGGTGTGTGTGTGTAATGTGCGTGCGTGCGTGCGTGCATGTGTGTGTGTGTGTGTGTGTGTGCGTGTGCGTGTGCTTATATCAGATCCACTCTGATTTAGCCACCCACACTAGTACTAGTAGTAGCAAGTATTACCTTCACTGGGGCAGGGGTAACTGCAGTTGGATCCCGGGATGGATACCTTGATGCCGTCACTCCTTTTTCTGCACCTTGTCCTCACCCACATATTGAGGTGTGGTGAGCCCATAAGTGGGATCATTTTCAAGTCCACCCAGAGTTTTTTTGGGGGGGGGGGGGGGCGTTGGGCGGTTCCACAGCCAATTGAGTTATCTTTCCAAGATTCCTTTTGAGTCTCTCTCCCCTCTCCCGGGGAGATCCACGTGACCAGTTTTGGCAGTGAGCAACAAGTACAAGTACAAGTGTGTGTGTGTGTGTGTGTGTGTGTGTGTGTGTGTGTGTGTGTGTTTGTGTGTGTGTGTGTGTTTGTGTGTGTGTGTGTGTGTGTGTGTGTGTGTGTGTGTGTGTGGCCATTTGTGTGTGTGTATGCAAGAAGGCCACAAATCCAGGTGAACTTACATTCCTTTACGGATGCGTTGTTCATCTAACGCAACACAATAATTATCTGAAAATGAAAACCGTTAAACTGCCCTTCCGTACAGGTGTGTGCAGCTATGAGTAAAAACTCTCAAACACAAGATCTCATTCAGGACCAGACATGTCGTTTGAGTTATTGATGAATATGAAATAGCACAATGTACATGCACTGCTTTAGGTCGAATTTCACCCGGCACAGCCGTAAATGTGTTGTTACAGAAGCTACATGCATGCACAGTAAACCTGAGAAGACGACCGCTCTGATAGCCCGACCACCTGTCCCAGAGGATCACTACAACTAGGACCAAGGCATGTCATTTCCAGTCAAATGACCGTGGATAGGACGGCCACCTGTACACGGGGACCACATTTGCAAGGTCCATTGAGCAGTCACCTCAGACAGGTTTCTCTGTAGATGTTTTTCTCCTCAAGTCAAGTCTCCACATACCGTAGTGTCTTGTATAAAAGCCTGTCCCGTATAGAAGCCTGTTTTGAATAGTAGCCTGATTTTGAAGATACACTGTCGGCACATAAGCCTGGTTTTAGTATAGACATACATAGAGATACGTGGTTCGAATAGAAGCCTGACTTGAATAGAAGCCTAGCACTGACATCGGCTTCTGCAGGAATAAGCCTGGCGTTTATACGCGACATTACGGTATCCTCCGCACTACCGCTAGCCCAGTAACTGTCGTCTGGAACGCCTTTCCTATAAAAAGCGGTCTGTGAGATTGCTGAGCACAATACTACGTGTAGTACACAGTAGAGTGCCGAATATCCAAACGATCAATTATACGAAACGCCTAGTCAAACCGGTTGTTGGAGGGGGGGGGGGGGGGGGGAGGGGGGCAAAGGGGAATTTTCCAGTGCTTTCCAACCCACGATATTATGATGCTGGTGCACACAGGTAGCCAGACAGCTGGCGTTGTCGAAACTTATCTCATTGCCAGGAGTCGGAGTGTTTATTTTGTCCTGCGTTTAAATACTGCCAAAAGGGAATGAGAAATACTGAAGGTCATAAGTGAATGAGCATGTTTGTTTTTTAGATGTGTGCATGCCCGCTCCCTTATCCAAACATATTATACTCCTCATGCGAACCCAATGGAATCGGCCTGCGCCCCAAGGGGTGCGGACAAGCGACACTCAACTGTAATTGAACACGGTAAAGGTTGTTTGTGACATGCGCTGCATCCATACATGTCGTAGTCATCAGAAAGTTCGAGACACTAACCGCAGCTTCCAGTGCCTCAAAGCCACCAAGATGCTTGTCGTTGAAGAATATCTGCGGTACAGATGTCTTTCCGCCTGTCATGTCCAACATCTCCTGTCGGTGAGTGTTCGGCACATCGTCAAGATTGATGATGATAAAGGGCAAGCCCAGAGAAGACAGCCTGGACACCGCTCGACGGCAGTACGGGCAGCCTGATATGGTGTAGACAACAATGCGACCTCGGATAGGCTTGGTGGTGCAGTCAACATCCGATAAAGTACTGGAACTACATTTAGAAGGCTTCACCGCGGAGGACATCGTGACCAAAACACAGGAACACTGATTCGAAAATTAGAGGCTCGTATCCATCAACTAGTTTCTCCTTCTGGGAGACTGAGAGTACTCAACAGACGATAACTCTCCCAAATCACTAAGGTTAGGAGTGTGTGGACGAAATGAGAAACTGTTCCACGTCAAAAGTCAAAAGGGAAATTCAAAATCATACACTGAACCACCATCTGTTACTGCTCTGCCAGTTCTGGCTTCGTCTTGCTTTGTTGTTTCTCTTCTCTTCAGTTCAACCAGGTTGGAAATTATTATTTTCATTTCGAAATTTTGTAGATCTACCGTACGGTATACAGTATGCATTTTTTTAGATCTACCGCTTTTGAGTTTTGTAGACCAGTCGCGTATGGACTACCCGGTACTACTCGCTGTAGACCATCCATAACCATGATGACCAGTCAGATAACCACACAGGTCAAGGAGGTGCAAGAGTCACAGACTCGCACTGTAACTCTTGACTTGAGATTGTAACTCTTCACTCGTGTCTTGTAGGACTACAAGACACGAGTGAAGAGTTACAATCTCAAGTCAAGAGTTACAGTGCACAGTGCGAGTCTGTGACTCTTGCACCTCCTTGACCTGTGTGGTTATCTGACTGGTTATCATCAGGGAGTCGTAAAATATATTTACGACTCCCTGGTTATCATGGTCATGGATGGTCTACGAAACTACAGCGAGTAAAAAAAACTGACTATGCAATATTTGGCCAAAAAACATACCGTTTGTCAGAACGATAAATCAGCCCCCACATATGTACATAAACGTTTTTACTCTGCAGCTTCAACGCTATTTGGGTGATCAAGGTACGAGTACAGTAAAAATAGCGTTACCGGTGTTTGCTAAAAGGGTGTCTACTACCAGGGAGTAGTAAAATACTTTAATATTTTACTACTCCCTGCTACTACTAACTGACTAAAGTACACTACAACACGTAACCAGTCACACCTCCTCGATCAAATCAAAGAAGATTCTCTGGCAGCACCACCTTGATCCTTGATCTGCCCGGCGCAACAAACAAAAACCCTGGGCCAGCAACGCATGGCACTTTCTACAGTGCCGCACAATGAAACCCGAGGGCGTGAGCCAACTCGTGGCGGCCACTGTGCAGCCCTAGACCTGCAAACACTCCTCCGAGCTGTGCTCTGGTGGTGGGCGCTGACTTATTCACACAAACAAACACCCACACACGCAGACACGTAGCACAGACAACCCGACGTCACAATGTAGTGAAGAAGACAGAAACTGTGTTGCTTTCACCAAGTAGAGAAACGGTGGCGGCATTAGCAACTATCTCATTCAGACGCTGCTGTACAACAGGTACCTCACAGCAGAGAACCTGAGAACAGGGACATGAGCACAGCAACACATCCTCAACGAGAGGAAAGTCAAAGAATGAGATCTAAAAGCGAACAACTCCTACTACTACTGCCAAGGAAAGAATTCGAAGAGTACAAAATCAGTTCCTAGGATAAGTTACAACCAGCCAGTACAGCGGCGTGCTCCGTCAGTACACACCTCGGCTGGAATAAATACGTCTGCGTGTATCATTGGCGATGTTCCAGAGTCGAAACAGACAGAATTCGCCACCAGAACGGTGACATAAGCAGCCCAATGAGCATAGTTGCTAGGCGAACACACCCTCCAGCTGCTATGCCCTAGGTCAGGGCTGCGGTGGTGGTGGTGATAGTGGTGAGGACTACAATGGTGTTGATGACGGTAGAGCAGTTAGGAGAAGTTGGGCACCTCGGGGTATGTGCAGCCACTCCTCTGGATGATCAGGTTGGCAGCATAGTGTGCACAGCGTACACACTCGCTAGTCTCGGATCCGCGCACAAGCTCGGAGAGGTATCCTGGAGAACAAGAATGGCAGCAGAAAACATGCTGTCTAGTTTCAGGTACATCGCCCAAATTTCAACAACGTATTGAAAACACACCACACGACTTGACTGTCTACAGCACTGTCGAGCACTGGTATCGAAAACGGGCAGGCTGGAGTTTCAACAGAGCTAAAGGAACGTGCAAGCCTCGGGTCACACTGGGGCCACACAACTAATAAGAATATCTCCTGGCTGGAGCGATGCACCCCACGTGTTTCGGGGTCCGGCAGCGTGATAGCAAAGAAACCCTGCTGAGCATTGCTGCGCATTGAGACGAGAACACTGCGACACCTGTACACGTCCAAAGTTAGCGGCGGCAAAATAGAACCGAGGACACGTCGCACCAGTTACGCTAGCATAGTGTAGCAACCAAGCCCAGTGTATGTGAGTGGAATAGCAATGAATTGAATGAATCCCGGAATCATCGCCACACATCATCAAAGTCACAAGGGGTTTCGATGACCTGCGACGATGACAGTGGCATCCATTCTATTCAATGCTATCGTCTCCACGTCGTCAACTCGTTGCATACTTGAGCAAAGCAAAAGCAAACAGTTGTCTCACCTCCAACGAAAGCATCACCCGCACCGTTGGTGTCCACGATATCGTCAGCAGCGATCTCAATGACTGCATACTCCTGCACACTGTCACCTGTCAGGCACATCAGCAGCAAAGAGAGGAGATACAAATAATAATAATCAGACGCACCGCTACATGCATTAGTGTAGCCATGATAGCAGAGGGTATTGTCAGGAGCCACCGCTACGCCAGGGTTGTGAACACTATGTCTATGAATGCAGTGAGTATGGGACTAGGGGCACACATTGGCTGGTGCTACAGTACTACTCAATGAAATCCAGTCGAGTTTCTCAAGTACGTGCCGAGCGGTGTGCACCCCTAGACCTGCCAACACTGCGTTGCGGAAAGGTGCACGGCGCCAGCTTGAGTCTCGCGACTGGATTTCATCAAGCAGCACTGTAGTTGTTTCCAGTGTATAGGATGCACAATCGTACGTGGTTTTGGACAGCGCCATTCGCTACTCCATGACTTTCCCCATACATTCTGACTGCTATCAGCAGGCCAGTTCGTCTATCCCATCCACATGCACATGTGCACTTGTGCACACACACACATACCTTGAACAACGATGGTGGGCTTGTCACCCTGGGTGATGACGACCTTGCGTGGCACGTCACCGTTCTCCTTGGCAAGTGCGCTGATCTTGCGGCCGATTTCCTTCAGGTCCTCAGTCTACACCCAGACAAAGGAAAAAAAGAAGAAAAAACCCACGGTGATCATCCAAGTGTTCAGCACACTGAACAACACACGGCTGTGCTTCAGCGGGCCGCATACCACATGCTAAAATAGAGTGGTTTCACAGCTGTCGCATGACCATACACAGCCGCCATGCTAGTTCCAACTCCACTCAATCCCTGCATCTACGGTTCACATGACGTCGGCCATATTGGTTCCACTGTCCACATCACATGATCACTTTCTGCACAACTTTAGTCACACGACCAGCATCTGAAACCACGCTATCGACAAGCACAACAAGAGCGCTGAAGGAAACACATGGATATTGGCCTAGCAGAAGTGTCTCAGACTCCCAGTACACCGCCCGGTACACATCATCGCACAGCAGAAAAGAAATCAACAGGGCTCATCAACACCTAGACCCAATACAGTTGAGTAATTCCAGAAATTTGAGGTGCTGAATATTTCGGTATAAGAGCAAAAGGACAGGTTAGGTGAACAGAAATTTGAGGTACAGAGAAGCAGTTCCCTATTGGATTAGGGGTGTTATAGGGGATTCACACACACGGGTAAACCTGAGGTCACGGGACAAGGTAAAAGTTAGTTCAGACCTTCGGTCAACGGAGTGGGGCCGTTCACACCCGTGGTCGGTTTTGCCTTGGCCGCACGTTTGGCCATGAACTTGTGGCGGGGCAACTAAAAAAATAATCTGTACTGCATTTTTGTAGTACATTCTGTACTGTATCTTGCATTCGCCATGCACGATTTTCCGATGGGCACTGTCTGAAAATGCAAGTTGCGATGCACTCGTACAACTAGGGTTCAGAGTTCTCGCCAAAGACAAGATCTACGCATGCGCGTCTTATAGCCATGGGATTTTTCCCTTGACAAACGCCCCGAGGCCCACGGCCACGGCTTTGCCAATTTTTTTCCCGAGAGGTTCTTCCTTTCCCCCAGTACCATAGTTTCCATAACAACTTTCCCATAACCGTGGTTTTACCCGTGTGTGTGAATCCCCTATTAGTGTTTGGTCGGTGTATTGAAATTTTAGGCATGAAACAGATGCACCGAAGTACCGAAGTTTTGTGAAATTACAGTGTGCTTTTAAATTCAGAGAAGATGACTTACACCAAAGTCCTGGGCCTTGCCGAAAGCAGCCATTTCCTATGGGAAGAGAACAGAAAGCAATACACGATCAGCATTACAAAAAATTCTCCCGAGGAGCGCGCACACAATGTGCTGATGCATAGTCCTTAGCTACGTGCATGATCGAGGAGTGTGCACATGCCAAGCCAATGTAGAATAACACAGAGCGTCAGTGAAACACTGCCATTTGTGTACAAAGCACACTGTATTTAAGTATCTAGGCAAGAGTATTCCTTCTGCTAGATCTGGGATGGGGTTGTGGGACGGCGTAATCCGCGATGTACGTCATTTTTTTGGGTCGGATTTGTGTAATTCCGTAGACGCGGTCCACCACGGAAACACACTTCCCCTACTCATGATGTCACACTATGATGTGCGACACGGATTTCGCCGTCCCAGATCTGATCAGTGAAGTTACGCACTCTGGGGGATTATGGACTCTTGCTGTCAGAGGTACCACAAGCCATTGGGGCATATGCACAAGGAAAGTGTGTGTAAGGCACAAAGTAGCAGCAGCCAGTTGCCTACTCACAGTTTCGTTTCCGAAGAGGATGTCGACGTAGGGCATGACCTTCATCATGGGCTCCAAGAAGAACTGGGACAGGAACGGTGCGGACAGGTTCATGCTGAACGTCTGCAGAACAGCACGGGAGCAAGTACAAAGACAAACACAATAGCGGCAAAGCTGCTTACAGGATCTCTTCAGCAAGGTGGATAGAAACGTCAGGAGCGGATGAATAAAATGCTAGCAATAGACATCTGGCGATACCAGGTCAAATGTGCATGCACAAGCAGAGTCAATGGAGAAATTGTCCAACGGAACAAAAGCCGCCAGTGGCAGTACGGTACTGATTATTATTAGACACAATCTCATAGCATGTGACAAGCATAGCTAATGTACCTTCTTGTTAGCGGCGGCATGCTGGCCAACAGCGACCATGGAGTCCGGTGACACTGTCAGGAAGAATCCCTTGGAGAGATGGAACCAAACACACGTGCAGAGAGAAGAGAAGAAATTTAAATAAATTTGTGTAGAAAGTGATCATGTCATGTGGACAGTGGAGCCAACATGGCCGACATCATGTGACCCACAGATGCAGGAATTCACTGGCGTTGGAACCAAAAAAAGGTGACCCGTCTGGCCGTGTGATAGATGTCAAAACCACTGCATACTGTTTATTTCACCTGCTGGTGAGCGGAGCAAGTACACCTAAGGTACAAAGTCATACAGTGCGCCACACATGCATGTTGGAAAGCCGTAAGGGTAAAGTACGGGGAAAAATGCAGCGACTTGTGCGTTTGGAAAATTGAGTTTTCGGATAGCTCCAGTTGCAGGTAGGACAGCACCTAGTACCTACTCCAATGTAGAAGAAGTTGGCACCCTCGACGAGAGACCAGATTTCCTTCTGGTCCAGATGGTCCTTCTTGTAGCAGTTGGCAGCAGCCAGGTTGGCCACCATGCTCCTGCACAATGCACACAACACGGCACACACAGAAAGGAAGACCAGTTGCGGCAATGCTACACGTACATGTACTGCAGTCAGACTTTAAAAGTGAGTAGCAGTCTAGAGCGGCTGTAAGTGGTGACAAGCACACTCCTAGCGGCACGGTTGATGACAATCACTTATAGGCGATTTAGACTACGGCCAAAATCACATCTGAACTTGAATGTCCATGGTGATGCAGTCGTGTTTCAAAATATATATATGCACATTCGCTGATCAAACACGTCCGAGTCGTAGAAACGTGGTCACAGTTGGCCGTAGTCTGAATGAATAGCCTATTAGTCCTGTATGCAATCTACGGCGCAATAATCAATGAGGTGACCAAGTCAGGCAGTGACTATAAACAAAGATTCAATTTGATTAGTTATCAGTTTGAAAAGCAGCACAAACCAACTGTACATATACACATGCAGCAATAGATCTAGTCAGATGCAGACAACAGAGCTGATCAGGAAGTAGACTCTCAGAGAGAACTGTACCTGTTCTTGCCGGTGATCAGGACGGCGCAGGTACCAGTGGGAGTAGACTCGTCAATACGGTAGTTTGTGTTGACGCCATCACCGGACGCCTTGGAGCTCAGCTCTTTGCCGTATTTGTCATCACCTGAATACACCGACCACAGCAATGACGTGCATCTTAGGTATACAGCTGTTTGCAGTATAGTCGCCACATGGCTGCCACGACAAGAATGAGATATCCAGTGCAACCGCTATTCATAAGCCCGGATTGGGGCGGTTTGGCTACAACATAGGAGTGCAGATCAAGCATGCTCTCACCTCATAGGTATACTCAAATTGAACGAAGGTTTGAACATTATACAAGATTCAAGGTGCTAGCTCGTTTCGAGTGCCAATGCGTTCTAGCTAGACGCCAACAGACAAAGCAGCTTACCAATGCATCCAATGTACCCGGTGGCGTGCTTCTTGTGCAAGAGCCACTAAACACACACGTCACAGAAGAAGACGGTACACATTAATAAGTACATGCATGATACAGAAGTGAATGTAGTGATACTCTCATGAGACATATTTTCCACACCCGTGTGTTATTATCTTCCTAACATACCCTGGTTTCTCATCATTGTGTTGTCTTTGCCCGCAAAAGAGGCTGTTGAACGAATGTAGTTGTTCACCTGAGATTGTTTAATGTGCGGGTAAAGGATTGCTTGTACATGTACACACGCACGCACGGTGGATCAAACTGCATGCTCGCCAGGGAGGTATACCATCTAAAGGGATGAAGACATACCTGTGCTACGCGGATGCTGTTCTGAGTTGCACCGCCGGCAATGTACTCGACCTTGTGGCCATCGACCAGATCATCATAGCTGCAGAACGAGCAAGAAGGTGGAAAATGCCATCTCAAACTTGGCCGACAATCGCCACCGCATCCAAGACGATTGTAATCATCAGAAACAGTACAACCGTGTGATGGAGAATATTCGACACATGCACACAAAAATCAAGCTACTGCCCTAGGACCTGTATGCCCAACAGGAAAATAACAACTGGCGATCGTCTTCTCACATGGTCTGATGCTTGTCCTCGGCAAGGATAGCGTTGTTGGCCTCCAAGCCATACCTAGGCACAGGAAAAAGCAAGCAAAGGATGCAAGAGATTGAAGTGAAGGAACAGGATTAAAAATACTTCGGGGGAAAGCATACACTTGTTTGTTTGCAACTGGCAACATGGCTACAGTTTACATTGATATTAGCAAACACACCGCAAACACTCACTCCCCTAATTTGACTGCAACCATTGATAACACCAAATGCAGGCAAAGCAGCTTTGGAACCAGGGTTATCACAGGCTTTTAATGCATGTAGTCTTTGAAACCGGGATGACCATTGCACAGTCAGCGCATTCGTTTCCCGAGAGAAAATTCTGTACAAATAGGGTCATTGTCGAAAGCAGGTTGGTCGATGTATCCTGTTTACATGCCCTAATAACGGAAATACAGGGAGTGCTCGATAATGTTCTGCAGCCAGTGCGCTGCGTCAACCAGTCGTGCATGGAACTAGGTCTCGACTGATAGCCAAACAAAACCTTTGCGAACAAAACAACTTCTTCCAGAACATTTGGTACACGAGTGTGCATCTGTTACAGGAGCTTTCAAGCTTGCCACTTTCATCCTCCTTCTGTTTCCAAGCATTTCAATGGACCCATGTGTAGCAGCATGTCACGGAGCTGGCAGTGTCGAAACCTTTTTTTCAATTCACCGGATCGGATAGTGTAGACAATCAGCACACCCTTTGCCTAGCGGTTGACTTACTTTTCCAGAAGTGAAAGCTCAACCTCGGCGGAGATGTCCAGAAGGGGATTTCCCATTCCGAGGAGAATTCCCTCACTAAAGAGTGGGTTGATAAGGGGCACACAAATCCAACAGACGGAGAACGAGTCAAAGTGTGCCGACACGTGGGTGTGTATGAGTAAGCACTACGCGCGCGCGCGCGCACACACACACCACACACACACGCACACACATACATTTTCAAACGCATGCACAGATTCAGACACGCAGGCACAGCAAATGCACCGCACACACCCACTCATGGCAGTTGCCAATGTCCATAAGTTGATAACGATGGTGCGTTCATAACATTGGAGAGACATCAAAATGTTCACGACTGCTGGCGCTAGCCAGTAACGTGCAAAACCCAACAACCAGTTCATACACAGAAGCAAACTCCATACATTGAAGTAGGTCTATGTTCACAAATTCACTGAAGTGCTTGTTCAAAGTCATGATCAAACGACTGGTTCCCATACGGGCCACAGCAAATCTAGCAAATTGCCTCAACTTTGCCACGGCAAACACTTGTATTCATGAAAGCATTCTAGTAGACTACACTGTAGGTGTCGTTCAGTCAGTCCCACTGAGCCTGGGCGTACCGGTGCGTGCAGTGAACTCTTTACAACATTGAGAAAACTCTTCCATTTTTTTTCGAAAAAGGTGCGTTTGGGCTTGCAGCACAACTCAGTAAAGCCAAGGAAAATCAAGGGGAGTGAATCCTGCTTACCGGACATCCTCCGATCTCCTTTTGGCGCTTGGCTCCGACATGATTCCGAAGGAAAATAGAAAAAAGGTTAGGAGAATGGGAAAATAATGTACGGCCACAAGGAGCAAGAGAGAGTTCCTCGTTTTCATCAAAGTCGATTTCGGCGCTTCCTTTTGTTTTTTTCGCGTTCGGCACTCGCGCACCGGTGCACCGCGCGCACGTGGCTGACAAAACTCAAAAGGGCAACTGGGAACAAGGGTCACAAGGTGACGGGGGTTCCCCTTATCAGCCTCTGTCACCAGTACTGCAGTGGTCACCAGTCTGTGGCATGGCACCAGTCTGTGCAGGGCTTGCAGGGGTCGTGAAAACTTACTTACTTGAGCCTCAGCTCAAGTCAAAGGTCCTTCAAAAATGTGGTCGCTGTGTACAGGTAGTCTCCTAATATCCAGGGTCATTTTGACTGGCAACCCTTGTATTGGTTGGCTTTTTAGTTTGTATTGGTCCTGCTGTAGACCTACTGGTTGCATGTAGTGGTCCCACTGGCATTGGACAATTGGTCGCCTCGACAGGCTTTACTGTACTACAAGGTTTTTAATAGCCGACGTTTCTGAACTATTGGACGATGAATGTGAGAGAACTCATGCTCTTCCCTTTCCACGTACTGTAAATATACAAATTTTCGGCAGCTATTTAATTTCGGCTATATTCGGCACCGACCCAAAATTAAAACGCCGATGAAATTTTTCACAGCATCTGTCGCACTATACAATGCCCTCTACCCCACGCCGAAAATAAATCGCCGCCGAGATGTCAAAAATCGTGCAGCGCCGAAATTTTGTATATTTACAGTACATGTATCCATGTTGAGACAAAACTAGGACAACGTGCAATACGACTGCCAGCTAGGCCTGTGCATGTGGCGAGTGCCCCATTCAAACTGGAGAGTAGAACTTCCCTCGACCGAGCACTAGCTGCAACTCAAGAGTCAAAACCATACATGCCAGTATGTACTGTTTGCATGCAAGAACATTTTTTATGCCAAACAATTATTATTTTGGACCGACCGACTCGGCCCATTGATCGGATGGTAAGCCAATTGCACTTCAAACATTCATGCATAAGAAGAAGAACACAATGTTACGAGCTATGACTAACGTTTTCTGGTGCCGTTTTTTCGTTGCAAAAACTAATTTTTCCTTACTCAAGGGGGTCAGAAGGGTGCCCGGCAAGGAACAGTAAAACATCCCCCCCCCCCCCCCCCCCCCCCCAGACCACCTCCAACGGCGGTGCTACGCGCCTGCAATGCCAATCAATACTGTGAGACTTTCGCCCATTTTGCAGCAAAGAGAACAAACAGTGCTCTTCACAGAAGGCAACCATTTTATCTAGGAACTACTTGTGATCTACCGTTCAATGTCCAAAAAGGAAAGGAATACAACTGTGTGATTTGGCTAGAACAAAAAAAGAAATATGGAAAGAGGTACGAAAACTCGAAAAATCAAACCCTATTTTTTAGTGAGCACTTAACTTGGAGTACGCATGGCAAGTCATACCTCCTGCTTGGACTTGCATGGCTGAACACAGCAAATACAGTGTTCGCAAGGCCTGAGGAAAGTGTTACAATAGTATGAGACTGATTGCTTTAACAGGTGCTATACAATCATGTACATAGCATTTCAATTTTCACACATGGGAGTTGACTCAAACCTAGGATTGGTCCATGCTCGTGTTCGACACCTCACATGCCGCGGGCACTACGGGCAGCGCAGTACGCCAGAAGTTGAAAGCGTTGAAAGCCGGCGGCGGCGACGGTGAAGATGATGACATGGATGTGCTTACATCAGTTGTACCAGCACTCTTGTCTTGAGCAGGTGCAGCAGAAGACGATGGCACTAGCGACGGGGTCGCCTTGTTGCTTCTTACCTGATAATAATCAATATGTGTGGGAACAAGATCCAAAATGGAGATAAAGAACAAGAGAGTCAGGCATATAGATACATGCGCACACATGACGAGATAATGAGAGTTTCTGCGCTAACAGAAAACCCCCAGACACTGACGTTCCTCATTCCTTGCAGGGGCAAACTCACAGACCTACCTTGAAAGCAGAAGCCAAGCAGTTTGGGAACATATCAAAAGGAAAGGCGCACCAAATACATACCTGCCAGCCTTCCTGATTTGGCCGGGACTGTCCCGTTATCGAGGGCGGTAATAGGCACCCAAAAAGGAAATTGTTCCATGCCTCACAGGTACATTTGTACATAATTTCATACCTAGGTCCCGTCCCGATGGTCCCAATCTCAGGTATGCAAACATGGCCTCGCGTGAATCAGGAACGCTCAACATCGAAACTGTCAAGGCATCCAGTAAAACATATTTTTGAAATGACTTCCTTGCCTTACTGTAGTACCGTGTTGTACAGAGGCAGCAGGTGGTCTGACCCCATGAATAACGAAGCGGAGGTACTTTCACTGCACAGCTAGCTCCATGTCTATGTTGCCTAGGACTGTGTGGCCACTATTATAATTACTGACACAGTGCTTCACTTGCCTCCACTGCCCCCCCCCCCCCCCCCCACACACACACCCTCTCACCCCCAAGCATTGCTAATATAGAACAATAATTATGCTAAAGCGATTACAGTTACAGTGAAACTTCAGTATAACATACCACCAAGGGAGGTACTTTTATATTAGTGATGTTCTGCTCTACGCGAAATGTAGGGAAATCAGGTAGAGACCAGGTGACTGGTTTCGGGGCCAGATGGATGCGGGGAGATGAGGTTCTCTATGTTGCGCACACGCAAAGAAAATGCGTGCAGATCTGGTGAGCATCGTTCAAATTACCAAAAAAATTGCCACACTTGGAGCGGGAAATTCTCAGAACACATTCCATGTGACTTCTTTACTTGAACGTAGAGCACAACAGGTTTCTTATACGTTACGGGAATGAGACGTGTTGCCGGGATTCTTCGCATCGCGTTTCCATAGCGTGGAGCAGAACATCGCTATCCAGGTGAAAAGACTGGAAAGGATATGCAGAGTCTTTAATGTGTGTTTAATATGTACAGGGTATTTGATAGTCTATACTGAAGTTTCACTGTAGAAGTACACAGTACAGACTGATTATCCTAGCTTTACAGTACTATTGGTCTTCATTTCGCTGATAGGTCACGGGTGCATGCACGTGTACTTACAGGGCTTACATTCTCGTTCCCGGCACATTCTCGTTCCGCTGCTTTCTCTCTCTTCGAAGAGGCAACACCATCATCATCATCCGCTACATAATGCTTCCGCTTTTTACACAAGGAACTCAGAGGTATTCCTTTCAGTTCATCATCCCGGATCACAGATTCGGTCCAGGGTGAAATGTTGGGCAAATGCTTACAGTTGTTTCGGCCATCTTGTGTTGGACGTGGCGACGACTTGCAGGTGCACAGTCGCTTCAGGCCTTTGGCTTTGGAAGTGCCTAGATCAGGAGAAGTGTCAGGCTCCCAGCGACGCTTCATTCATATCACAAACAAGGAAGAGGAAAGGCACCACGCATACGACAATGAAAACGGGGAAAATGATTTGGACTTGGCCATATTTCATGCATGCACTCGTATTTTTTTTATTCGAGTCTTTTCAAATAATTTTTTAATTCATAATCGTGAAAAGTACGTCATTTCCTGTCTATTTATGATGCCATGCCAAACCTCAAAGAAACAAGGTTGTTTTTCAAACTACTGTACACAACTACATGACACTTATTATCACATTTCGGGGATGATCCCAATCTTTGGCTGTCCTCTCATCACTGCTCATGATCTTGTCGGAGCTTGAAGGATTTTTATTCTTTGGGTAGTAGTGGCGAAGTTGCTGTTGGGAATTGGTGCACACGAAGGATTTATCTCCTTCTCTGTAACCAACAGACATTAGTTGCTATTCGTAATAGTAGATCCAGGGCGACAGAAGCATGGCTTTTCGGCTGGCGAGCAATCGCTTGCTGAGAATTGCTGTACCAACAACCCGATTCGCCAGTGATAAGGCAGCGCCCTGGAGGCTTGGACGACTGAACCACGTTGCTGTTGCTGTACCTGACTTGCAAAAGGCAACGGCTTTCTACAGAGATGTTCTTGGTGCTAATGTGAGCGATGCTGTACCTCTACCAGAGCACGGTGTGACCACAGTATTTGTGGAGTTGGATAACACGAAAATTGAACTGCTGTATCCTCTGGGCGAGAAGAGTCCTATTGCTGGATTCCTCAAGAACAAACCAGACGGTGGAATGCATCATATTTGCATGGAAGTGGACGATATTCAGGCGGCAGTCGAAAGCGTGCGTGCTGCCAACGTCCGAACCCTGGGCGCCGAGCCGAAGATCGGTGCCCACGGCAAGCCAGTCATGTTTCTCCATCCGAAAGACTGTGATGGTGTGTTAGTTGAACTTGAGCAGGCATAGTTGCCACCACAATCCCAGCACTCGTATTTCAACAGATAGGAGACATTGCAGCGGTGGCTAGTTTTAGTTATTTTTCAACTTTTTATTGATAAAAATATTGACTGCAAGTGCTAAATTATAAACGCACCATGATTATTACAGAAATAAACATTACCTTCTGAATACAAAGCAGGTCTGAAAAGTATTCTAATAGCATAGGCAGTGAGCACAGATTGAGAGAAAGCTATGCAACCGGTATTAAAACACACACACACACACACTACACCAGCATAGAGAAGAGACAATTTGCTGCGGAAATATAGACGAGAAGTGGAACACAAGGCCGGGAAAAGGAGAATAGGGTAGCGGCATCTAAGTGATTACTGATTACATCAGCCAAGCAATGGATAATAGCGCTCACGCAAACTGTCAAGTCAGAGCGTGCGTGGAGATTGTTTGCGTACGTACGGCCAGAGACTATGCGGCGTGTGCACGCTCACAGGCAGAGGGAGAGACGTGCACACACAAGCTCTCTCTAAAGGGAAAACAATGCGGAACCACTATCTGCGCAAGCACGGATAGGAGAAGCACTACGTTTGTGTGACAAAAGCACTTCAGTCAGAATGAGAAGAAGACTCAAAGATCAAGAGCAGAGATAGACAGAGAGAAACAGATCAGCGGAAAATCAGCAAGAGAGAAAGGAGATGAAACAGAGATAACAGAATTAGAAAATGAGAAGAACGTATCAAATAGCAGGCTTACTTGCCCTTGGTGGACAAGATCAGAGCGACAATGAGACCGTACAGACCCAAGACTTCGGCGAAAATGAGAATGAGGATCATACCGACGAAGAGTCTGGGCTGCTGTGCAGTGCCACGCACGCCAGAGTCGCCAACGATTCCAATAGCAAATCCAGCTGCAAGTCCACTGAGACCGACGCTGAGGCCAGCTCCCAAATCCGTGAAGCTCCTGTAGAATGCAACAAGTAAACGAGAAAGCCACACATTGATCAGCAAGAGGGCACCGCCATATGAAGATCCAGTCAACAATACGTCGTTTACGGAGACAGTGGAATGCTGCGGGAGTACTGAACAACAAGCTGTCGCCCCATTGGCTGAGATAATAGGTAATTGGAAATGCAGGTATGTCTCGCTTGAATTAGAGCCTGCAAAAGGTTAATTTCTTGCGAGGGAGATGAATAGTCACCCATAAAGAATGTCTAAGAGAGAATAAGAGCCGACACGAAGTCGAGAGAAGCCATAGCAACCTGCAAGCCTTTTCGTAACAGCCCCCAGAAGTCTAGATACCATAACGTCAAGTATAAAAGCCAGGCATAATCCTGTAGAAGCCGATGTCAATTCCGAGTTTCTGTTCAAATGAGGCTTGTAGTAAAACGCGCAGTTCCTATGCATATCAACACTGAAACCAGACGTATGTGACGATGTTCCATATTGAAAATAGGCTTGCACCCAAAACAGGCCTCTATTCGAGACAGACTTTTATACAAGGCAGTACGGTAACATGATTCTCCCAAGAAGATAAAGGCTCAATGTGGAAATGGAAAGAGAGCTAGCAGCTTACTTGAACAGACTGTAGTCGGTGGCACTCACTGCAATGGGTAAACCAAGAACACATAGACAGTGAAGAAAATCAGAACCCACAATGTTCAGAAGCATGCTAAAACACAGGTGCACCAGTGCAAAAGGAGAGGTCAATTAGTTAGAACCAGTTTTCAGCATCAGTAGACCATGATTATATCCTTATATGCTAATCAAAACCCTAAAGCCAATAGTGTACAATCATTTATAGTGGTATTAAGCGTCCCGATAACCCGTGGTATGCATACCACATCTGGTTCGAATTTCAAGGATGAAACTAGTCACTTCCCTCAAATAACTGGCATTACATGCACTACGTCATTGCAATCATGGTAGTGAACCGTTTGTATACAACGGACTGTTTCATAACTGAGTTGCCTTTCGCATGCATTTTGTGTACTACTCATGTTCAGGATCACGATCAACACTTACGTCCGTTTCCAATAAGTACAGCCACCACAAGGCCATAAATTGCAATGATACCAGCCATGACAACTGGAATAATCGACTTCATGATCAGCTCAGGTCTCATCACACTCATGGCGGCGATACCCGTGCCACTCTTGGCTGTGCCATAAGCAGCTCCCAAGGCTGTGTGCAAACAAACAAATTCGAAGCAATCCAAAGAATCGCGAACAGTGAGTTGACGCCATCACCCTCCTTCATTGTTGATCACCTCAACAGCTCCCCACGCACGCACGCACGCACCACCACACGTCAAAACGACAACAACAATCGCCCCAGAACACTTACCACTGAACACCATGGCGGATGTTGCGCCCATAACGCCAAAGAATCCTGCATATGAAGGTGTCTCAGCCATGATTGCTGTTGTATTCTACCTCAAAAACACTAAACTGAGCAGATGAGAACCTCTTTGAGAATTGCCGAGGAAGTGAACTGATCAACAACCTTATCCTGACAACAGAAATGTTCCGTCGAGCGTTGCAAAGATCTTAAGAGCTACAAGTGGCTGCGTGCATTCACTGATTCAGTCAGAGAGATCACGAGGACAGTGCACTGCTTTCTTTCACGTTGATGGATGGGCCACAAAGTTACGTCATAGCCCATGATCATGACAATTTTTTACAAAGAAAAACGTCATAGATCACGTGCGTACAGGATTATACATGTAGGTGTAGAAAACGGGTTCAAACTGCATTCAAGAGTTATGAACTCTTGATTCAATGCAATAATTATTATTGCAATTGACCCCAACTCGACTCATCTCGATTTGTCTGGTTGTGTGACGAATCGACAGTGGAGCTGACGGTCACTATTAAATTTTATTTGACAGATTGATCTCCCCAGAAGTACTCATTTGTTCGTCCGACGAGATGGCTTTGAACAAACTAAGCATTGATCAGGTCGCCCTCAAGGGAAAGCGCGTGTTGATGAGGTAGATTGCATGTGCATTTGAGATTTTGAGCTCCGAGTTCAAATTTCGATCGGGCGTGTCTACTTTTCCTCAAACCTGCTTGGCTGTATTGCAGGGTAGATTTCAACGTACCTCTGAAAGGAAAGGACATCACCAACAACCAAAGGTCAGACGATTGCAACTTTGATAGTCGATTTCGATTTTACTGCTTTGCAAATTTGACTGATCTGTATTATTTTGCTGGTATGTACATGTATAGCTATTAATTTACCATGTAGCGATGGGACACGATTTACCGTGCAATAGTTGCTCGGTCTAATATAGCCTGACAGTCCATTGTAGTGAAAATTCACAATTCAGCATGTGGTATATACTCTATATCCGAGGTCAAATGACTGGACCATGGGCTCGGGAAGGGATATGCAGTGTCTTCGAACAGTACGTTATATCCGATTCAAAGAGAAACGTATGTTATATCCAGTGTGCGTAATACTGAAATTTCACTGTATTGTAAGTATGTCCAGCTATTGCTTTACTTGATATACTTCACGAACAGCTGCAGCGAATGCCTGTACAGGGGCGTAGCACCCGCTACGACTGGTACGACCATGGCCGTACCACTTTTCGAAAAGTGTGGTCCGTCCGGAACGTGCAAAACCGTAATAAAAAAATCAGGATCCATCGATGCATATGCGCATCACCGCCATCAGACTTTGACCTTTTTCTAGACTCGTACTCGTAGATCTGCCATGCATCTGTGCATGTCCATGCACGTCTCTTCTGCCCGTGAAATAATTCTATGACTTATAAACTGTGCCAGAAGTGTGCCAGAAGTTCCCAGAACGCAGGATTTTGTGTCTATTTTACAAAATTTTCCCGGGGGAGGTCCCCCGGACCCCCCTCCAAAACGGCCTTCGGCCGCGCCCACCTTTGGTCGCACCACTTCCAAAACCCCTCCTATGCCCCTGCTGTACATTGTGTAACATCCATGCCAACATCTCCTCAGTTCACTTCCTCCTTGGTGTACAGGCACAGTACATGTAGAGATCAGTTCACTTCCAGCAAGAAGCTAATGACGTAATGGATAGGGCTCCCCGTCGTGCGTGCAAGGATATTAGGGACCCACGTTATAAGTTTGAACGGTCCCACACAGTCTCTATCACACATTGGAATAGGACATTTGAAATCCAACCACCACCCCCATATACCCTCACTGGCCTGGTGCTTTTTGAATCTAGTTCTAATAGAGCCACCGTGGAGTATTTAGAATTTGACAGCAAGTGCGGTCTCCGTAGGGTACGATAGTTGCTGTTTGCATTCCTAACTCGAGCGTTTAAAAAACTGTAATTTCAAGTTTTCGTGTTTACAGCCGACGTCGCGAATAATAAGTTTTAATACCCTTGGGTGTAACAACTTGTGGATATTATTATTACATAAAGAGCACTATCTTCCGAAGTTCTGACCTAGTTATGATTGACTGCTAATTTCAAGTTTCAACCGCATGGACACACAACCACTGGCGGCTAACAATCATACAGCACTTTTCGCGTACTCAATCGAGGGTCGTTTTTCCCGCAAGGCTGACTGTTTTGTGGCTGTACTCATATGTGTTAAGTTGAGAATCTGAATTGAGTCCCATTGGGTGTTTGTACCCATGTATAGACTGTACGGTGCATGACCTGGTACCCAATATGGACTCCTGTCACTTTGCTTTACCTTGAGTCTTGACAAGAAGCCTTTAAAAGTAACATTAGTTATGTCCACATTCACATGTTGTGTAATAAACTACCCATCTTCAGGGTCGTTCACGACAGAACAAGAACCTGAAAACGCATAGGGTGTTGTGTAGGTTCTGTATATGCTGTATGTGTCCTTACTTGAACATAATGTCACCACGACTGCAATACCCGGTTTCTGTGTCCATGTGCATTGGCCACTGAGCGGGGGGGGGGGGGGGGGGAGGATACTAGTACATGTACGCTGTACATGTACGTATACTGCTTCACACTACTACGTCACTAGCGATAGCCTAACTGACCGGAAGTGCTCCCAGAGAGTCACAGTGAACCAGGGGGCCTCGGTGCAGGGTTGTAGCACTAGTAGTCAAGTGGTTTTTAAGTGACTGGCCATTGATGCAGAGCCAGCTCATGTTCTTTTGCTGTGTGTCCCATCCATTCATCAGCTTCAGAGCATGTAAATGTGACAGCTAGTCACCCGTCAATCAAATAATAATTAATTGTGTTGCCAAGCTGTGCCCTGAATATTTGAGCCTTCTGTTTTCCTGGGCTCGAGGGCCGTAGTACAGTCAGACCTCGCTTATCTGGTCCTCTTTTATCCGGATCCCTCGCCATCCGGAAGAAAATCGCCGGATACCGATTTACAGCATATGCCATGCATACATAGAGTATGTGTGTTCGATTGTCCGGTTTCCTCACCTATCCGGATATTTTTGTGGAAACGGATGTGTTCGGTTAAGAAGTGTACTTTTATTTTCCATCGGAAGCCTCAACAGTAATGAACACAACTCTATAATATGAATCCCATGTGTGCTGGAGGGGGGGGGGGGGGGGGGTAGGCAAAACTTGATCGACCACACACACACGCACACATCCACACACACATACTACCATCGCAGTCTATCACTAAGCCCTACCTTTGCGCTCATCGCTGGTGTCCTTTTCTCTGTTTTGAATCTTCACGCGCTGTGCTTAGAATTGCAGCTGCCGTCCCAAGTATCCGGTATGCACTCGACCAAGGAGCGCAGAGCGTTGTGCTCATGAGTCATCTGGGCCGCCCTGATGGACGCCCCAACGACAAGTATTCCCTGCGGCCCGTGGCCGATGAGCTCAAGAGTCTGCTTGATAGGTTCGTTTGCAATGGATAAGGGGCCGTCCATAATTTTCAATCTTTTATTTATTTATTTGTTCAACATCCTATATGGCTTCCAATGGCAGCCAAAACGGGAAGATGTGGGTGATAGCCAACACAAAAAAAAGTTTCTCTTGTGGGTGGGTCGTGGAGAGTTTCGTTGCGAAAAATGTTGATACATGTAGCTGAAACATCAATCCATTCTAGCTGTCAAGTCCATATATTTTTCGTTCAGGGGGTAGGTGGGTGGGGGGGGGGGGGGGGGGGAGGGTCAAAACTGAACTTTTTCGTTTCGTGAAAATTATCGATAATGCCGGATGGCCCCTTACGTAATTATTATACAGCCTAACCTCTTTTATCCAGCGGCATCTGTTTGGCAGATTTCTGCCCAATTACTGAGAGTGGTGGTCACTGGACCAACAATGGACATCCACAAATACGTGGCAACAGGCATGTCAACTAGTGAGATGTGTGCACAGGGGTGATTCTGACATGTTGAGTTACATCACTGAAATGTCTACTGGTGTATGCACTTGAGAGCAAATGCACTACATATCGAGATGTGGTAGTAGTCAGTCGCCCGATGTCTTACCTGCCTGTATTGTCATCTCGAAGACTGTGTGTGTCCGGTAAGGTGTGTGTTGATTACTAATGCCTGAACGAGTGGCTTGCACTGCTTCTCGAGTCTGCTGTAGAGTCAGCCTTGATCCGCTTTAGTTGATGCGTATCATTCACTCAGTGTGACATATATGTCTGTCTGTCTCGGTGTACTGATCCGGTGTTGTGTGGTGCTGTGTGCTTTCTTAGGCCGGTGCAGTTCCTGAACGACTGCGTTGGCACCGAGGTGGAAGCAGCATGTGCAGCTCCAGCAGAAGGTGAGATGCAGCCCCATTCGTATTCCTCGGCACGTCTACACACCCATGTCAAGTATTCATGGAAGCATATAGGTGTTTTAAAAAGCAGCAATGAAAGTATTATTTCCGGAGTCATCACCATATATCATCAAAGAATCCGATTTCAGTCCAGAAATAGCTACAGGAAAAGTGGTTCTGCAAACACTTGTATGTATGACTTCATTCCAGCTCTTTGAAAATTTTAGAATTTCACCCATGGAGATTGAGAAGCCCTGTCTTTCTTCATGGAAGAATGGACTGTTGGAGACTATTTTTACCCTCGTGTCACAGCTCTGTGCTTTGCTCACTGAGTACTATTCCGGCAGGTGTTGCCGCTTTCGTTGTCATAATTAATTGTGTGTATTCATAATGGCCTCTTCTGTGTGTGTGTGTGTGTGTGTGTGTGTGTGTGTGTGTGTGTGTGTGTGTGTGTGTGTGTGTGTGTGTGTGTGTGTGTGTGTGTGTGTGTGTGTGTGTGTGTGTGTGTGTGTGTGTGTGTGTGCCTCTTAGGCAGCGTCATTCTTCTGGAGAACCTTCGCTTCCACGTCGAGGAGGAGGGCAAAGGAAAGGATGACGGTGGAAACAAGGTACGGCTGCTACGTGAAAGCTTTGAATCTGTCGGGTTCTAGGTGCGGGCATCATTTCCAGGTCACTCGGCATAATTATGCTCTACGATCTGGACATCCTGTGTGATCATGGCAAGCCGTACACATCGTTCATGCCTACGAAGCTGTTGAAGCACTGTTCACGGCATGTGCTGTGTGTCGTGGCAGCAACTCATTCGAGCTGCGCTCTCTGGGTTTCATTTGCCGTACTTTCCGGAGTATAAGCCGCACTGCAGTATATGCCTTACCCAGACTTTTGTCACGAAATCCGGACATCTACCCTGCTTATCATCGTTGATTTGATCGCCATAGTAAAAGCACTTTTAAAAGTACAGTAGACTTGTACGCCCAAGAACGCGGTGTCAGAGGGCCAGCCTAGCAAAGTTCTTATTTTTCAGCGCCCCAGGCTACGTTCTTATTTCGCGTTCTTACGCGTCCAACATGACCCGTGATGCTCATGTACAATGCACTTTGCGCTACATGTACCAGTTGTACACTTTACATGCACGTGTAGTATGTAGCGCTGCACTGGGTGATGTTTTCGCGAGGACCCGACAAGAGTTTGTGGTTGCGGACTTGTTTTTCGTGTACTCGGACAGGATCATGAAGGTGCAATCCGCTTGCAAAACAAACCGGCGCTCAAATATCACGTCTCTCTCTCTCTCTCTCTCTCTCTCTCTCTCTCTCTCTCTCGCGTTCTTAAAAATCTTGGAGTTCGTTCTTAAGTCCAGGCTGGGGCGTTCTTAGATTTCCAGCCTGGACGTTCTTGGGCGACACGTTCTTGGGCGTACAAGTCTACTGTACTTTTTGGGGGTGAATTGCTGATGTTAAAGTGCGGCTTGTACTCACTCCGGAAAATACGGTACTCTTGCTTTGAAGCACTGTTCACTACATGCCTCTGCTTGCTGTGTAGCCATCATTCATTCGGTTTTGTGGTGATTACTACATCTACATGTACATGTACCTTCGAAGCACTTCACGGACGCAGGCTGGTGCATCCTGGGACCTCTCAACTTATTGTTGTTTTTGGTTAAAAGGTTTTGCCCTGATGTTGCTGTGACTGGTGAGTTTGTGGTGCAGCACTGACGCCTACGTTACTTGTGTGTGCGTGCACGCGCGTGTGTGTGCTGTGTGTGCTGTGTGTGCTGTGTGTGTGTGTGCGTGCGTGCGTGTGTGTGTGTATGCGGGCGTGTGTCTGTGTTTGCTTGTGTTTGTGCTGTGCCGTGTGTTCAGGTCACGGCCAGCCAGGAGGCGGTGGCGCAGTTCCGCCAATCCCTCTCTGCGCTCGGCGACGTCTACATCAACGACGCGTTTGGCACGGCTCACCGCGCACACAGCTCCATGGTCGGTGTGGCTCACGCCCAGCGTGCCGCCGGCTTCCTGCTCAAGAAAGAGCTGTCCTACTTCGCCAAGGCGCTGGAGTCCCCCGAGCGCCCGTTCCTGGCCATTCTCGGCGGCGCCAAGGTCTCGGATAAGATCCTGCTGATCGAGAATCTCCTTGACAAGGTCAACGAGCTGATCATCGGCGGTGGCATGGCGTATACGTTCACCAAGACGCTCAACGGCATGGAAATCGGCGGCTCGCTGTTCGACGAGCAGGGTGCCGAGGTGGTCAGCCGCATCATGGAGAAGGCCAACCGCAACAACGTCAAGATCCACTTCCCCAGCGACTTTGTCACGGCTGACAAGTTTTCAACGGACGCGGAGGTGAGTGGCCGGTAGCTGCGTGCAATATGTGCTGATCGTGTGTGAACACTTGACTTGTACCCGTGTCATTGTGTGCAAGTGTATCACTGTCATCACGTTCTATCTGGTGCGCATCTTGTATTCTTGGTACAGTACTCGATTAGTAGACGAGTACTCCTCATCGTGAACCGTAGAGCCCAATAAGGGACAGTCGGGGCAGCTTGGAAATGTGCTCACTGCTCCAAGGCGCAAAGCGGTATTTGTCATTGAACAGAAGAGCCTACGCAGCCTTGCATCAGAAAAGCATCTTTGGTACCTGCGCAGGTGTGGTTTTCCAGCATTGATGCTGCAAAGTCAATGCTCACATTTTCAGTCGTTTAGGGCTGTCATGTGGAAGTTCTTCATTGTGGATGCTGATGCTGTATTTCTAATGCAGACCATTTTCTCGGTATCATGAGGTGGTCGCACGGCGTTGGTGTCACTGAACGCAGTCATGATGTGTGGATTTGCCTGCACGTTGTTATGTCATTACTTCTCCTCTGCTCTTTGTCCTCTCTTGACACCATCCCTGCTTCTGTATTGTGCATGCCTATGTCCGTGTGTGTGTGTGTGCCTGCATATGTGTGTTTGTGTGTGTGTGTGTGTGTGTGTGTGTGTGTGTGTGTGTGTGTGTGTGTGTGTGTGTGTGTGGTGTGTGCGTGTGCCTGCATGTGTGTGTGTGTGTGTGTACGTGTACGTGTGCGTGCGTGTGTTCGTGTTAGGTCGGAAGTGCTACAGTCGAGTCGGGCATCCCTGCAGGATGGATGGTATGTGCAATGCAGGCAGCAGTGTGACTGTGATTTTACTCTATAGCAAATTCTTAAAAGGGAAGTTAAGGCAAAAATTAAAATTTCACCAGTTGTAGTCTTTGGGGTGCTGAGTCGAATGGTCTTGGTCCGAGAAAGCTGAGACGCTCCCTTCCTACTTGAATCCCAATCGAACTCGCGCACTTCCACCGAAACTGGGTGACTGCGCCCTACTAGATGGGGATTTGTATGCAAAATGTCACTAAAAGCGCCATTTCGTTCTTATAAAAGCACGGATGACTGCGATTGGCCCATTATGTTGTAGTCTTTTGGACGCTGAGTCGACTGGTTTTGGTCCGAAAAGGCTGCGATGCAGCGTTCCTCCTTTATTCCCAATCGAACATGGTTGAAGAAGCGGTCACGTGCTCCTGGGTGCCCAAATCACCTGGTCACCACGCCAGCAGGCGACAACTTTCACACCAAGGTTCAACTCGAGTTCAACTCGAGTGACAGGACTGCACCCAAAAAAGGTCAAACAGGCTAGTAAGTTGTACCCTGCGGGCACGGTGACCAGGTGACTGGTGTACGCAGCAGCACGTGACCACTTGTTCGACCATGTTCGATTGGGAATAAAGGAGGAACGCTGCATCGCAGCCTTTTCGGACCAAAACCAGTCGACTCAGCGTCCAAAAGACTACAACATATGGGCCAATCGCGGTCATCTGTGCTTTTATAAGAACGAAATGGCGCTTTTAGTGACATTTTGCATACAAATCCCCATCTAGTAGGGCGCAGTCACCCAGTTTCGGTGGAAGTGCGCGAGTTCGATTGGGATTCAAGTAGGAAGGGAGCGTCTCAGCTTCCTCGGACCACGACCATTCGACTCAGCACCCCGAAGACTACAACTGGTGAAATTTTAATTTTTGCCTTAACTTCCCCTTTAACCCTTTATGGACTGCCAAATTTGTACAGGAAAGAAGCGACATGCGAAAATCAGTAATAACTCGAAATCGGTGTACATTAGCCAATACAACACCATACATTTTCGGAAAGTAGATAGGATAAGCTGTCCAACATCATCCTCGCCGCCGCTCTCGCTACTAGCAGTATCAGCAAATCCATCAGATAAATTGTTTTCTTGAATTTCTGGGATATCATCATCACTATCACTGTCCACTTCGAACTCGTCGTCATCAGACTCGTCAAGTGGGTCGCCAGAACTGTCCTCGTCAGAGTTCCAGTTCAGAATCATGCCGATGGCATCGTCCGCATCGTCGTGCCATGACAGTACTCGTACTGCAATTTTAGTTCTGCATGCTCGCGCAAGCTCTCAATTTTTTGCGCGGCCGATTTGGTCAACATTTTGACTAGGGACCCCCGGCGAATTTAGCACCATTGGAAAGATATGGATTTCGTCTTTCGATTTGTGTAAAAATATCGCCGAAAACATGCGGTGCGCCCAGAAAAATTCGCGTTTCAAGTTTCGATCTTATTAGATCGAAACTCGTACAGTCCGTCCACAAAGGGTTAATGATTTTGGACTCGGATGGAGAGCCACGGATTAATCTATAGAAAAAAGGACCAAGGAACCAAGTTGCGCTATAATGTCCATTAACACCACCAGTTACTAACTGCATGGTGGTGTTAGTGGACATTATAGCGTAACTTGTAGTTCCTTGGTCCTTTTTTCTTATGGTTTTCGTTAGTGACGTGCATGACTGACGTGGCGCCTATTTCCGCTGAGTTTTGTGTGCTATTTTAAAAGCAGCCTACTGGAATACTTCTGCTTTACTCACTTTTTCTGCACTTGATCTCTGTGTATTGTCCACAGGGTCTGGACGTTGGCCCTCGCTCCGTGGAGCAGTTCTGCTCCGTGGTGCGCCGCGCCAAGACCATCGTCTGGAATGGTCCCCTCGGCGTCTTTGAGTACCCCAACTTCGCCAACGGTACCAAGAGCATCATGGATGCGGTTGTCGAGGTGACAACTAGCGGCGCAACTACAATCATCGGTGAGTTGGTGCCTGTGTGCGTAGACTGGTAGTTACACTGGTGGGGTATACCTGCAGCAATGCGCATGCTTGTGTCAGTGAGGACTTGTGTGTCTCTTTCGGATGTCTGTGTTGCCCGCGAGCCTTGTATTATAACTGAGGTCCTTACGAACCTGGTGTTTACTCTCAGGATAGCTTGTAGCTGTTTCGACCTTGTTAGGTCTCATCAGCTGAGCTCAGAATGACTGGCCGAACCGATCACAATGAGGTCCGGTGAACAGCACAGCATTTTTAAACCGTTTCAAAGCATCGCACTCAGAGTGCTTTAACTTCGAAAAACGCAGGTGTTTGTATAACTGAGGTTCATATAGTCGAGTTAAAACGGTGCGCTGTGCTGTGTGCAATGTCATGCTTTTGTGGTTGTTTGTGTGTGTGTATGTCTGTATGTATGTGTGTGTGTGTGTGTGTGTGTGTGTTTGTATGTGTGTGGTGTGTGTGTGTGTGTGCGTGCGTGCGTGCGTGCGTGCGTGTGTGTGTGTGTGTGTGTGTGTGTGTATGGTGCATACATGCAGTGGTATGTGCAGCGATTTCCAATCGATAGGTTGCGGGTTCGATTCCCGACGATTATGGTCACACACGTCTTTCTTCTCTTTCTCAGACTCTTCCTGACTTTTCTTTCATTCTCCTGGGTGGTTACCGACAGCCAGTGCATGCCGGAGTATGTGGTGTGATGTGTGTGCGGGAAAAAAAGTAAAAAGACCAAAAAGTAGGGATTCACTGGCCAGAAAAAGCCACTTCATAGCTGTGTTGTGTAGACCAGGCTGAATAGTGGCGGCCAATTCTTCAGCCTTGCAAGCTGTTGAATGGTGCAATCCCAGCACAAGTTGCTATGGCTTCTGCTGTAGCATCGCTATCATCGCCTCCGGCGATGGGCGTCCAATGGTGTGTGTGTGTGTGTGTATGTGTGTCTGTGTGTTGCTGTGCAGGCGGTGGTGACACAGCAACCTGTGCTAAGAAATACAACACGGAGGACAAGGTCAGCCACGTCAGCACTGGTGGTGGTGCCAGCCTGGAATTGCTGGAAGGTGAGCCACTGATTCACTTCACACAAACACACACTGTGTGTGTGCTGTTCCTTGCTATGCATGCTGTTCCTTGCTATGCATATACAAGTGCAATGGAACTTCAGCTCCTTATGTCTTCTATCAAAGCCAGATTTGTTTCTGAAGTTGGCGTTGTGCAGACCTGGCTTTCTCGTGTACAAGCTGAAAAGAAAACAAAGTTTGAGGCCAGCTAGAGCCATCAGTGATATTCATTCTCCGTCTCCGAAGACTTCAGCTGACTCCGTGGCGCAACGGTAGCGCGTCTGACTCCAGATCAGAAGGTTGCGTGTTCGAATCACGTCGGGGTCATGCAAACTTTTTTTCGTTCCCACTAGAATGTTTTCCGAAATGTGCTTCTACAAGACTTCAAGAGCGAACAACAAAGAAGTTCACCTACAACATGTGTCATGTACTTTTTTTGGTTTTATTGAACCGGGCATGGACACCATGCAGATCAGAGGTGCAATGTCTTGTGATACCACATTGTCTTGTGAGTCGTAAATTTTATGTGCCTACGACTTTTGCAATCACAACGCGGAGGCAGATTTCTGGTGCTTGGGTGATTACCTACACCTACGTGTACGAGCGAATAATGGCCGTGTCCTGGCATCGCATCCGAGCGCACAGCCACTAAATCCCCTACGTAGTGCATCAGAGGAAGCTGTAGTCACTACATTATACTGTATTTTCTAACGCATTCCTCACTCTCTATCTCTCTCTCTCTCTCTCTCTCTCTCTCTCTCTCTCTCTCTCTCTCTCTCTCTCTCTCTCTCTCTCTCTCTCTCCAGGCAAGAATCTTCCCGGCGTAGCTGCATTGTCATCTGCATGAAGCCAGTCCTGATGGAAGCAACGTTCTTCACGGTGCCATCTCTACTTCAAGATTGGGCATCACTTCCTAACACCTCGTCTTTGGAAAGCCTGTACGTAGCTGAAACATGCCCGGCGCGTTGTTTCCTATTTCTCTAACCGCTGTTTTATTGATAACCGCTGTATTCTGGGAGCCCGTTGATATTGCTTTTTTTCTACTCCTTGTCACAGAAAACTGTAGTTTTTAGTTTTCAGTATCGAAACTAAGCCCAACTGATTTGGCTATTCGCTGAGAACTTCATGTCTCATCTAACATTTCAGCTGCTTGTTGTGCTTGGAAAAGCGGCTGGGAGCCATGGACTATGGTGGTTGCCATGGACTATGGTGGTTGCCATGGACTATGGTGGTTGCCATGGACTGTGGTGGTTGCCATGGACTGTGGTGGTTGCCATGGACTATGGTGGTTGCCATGGACTATGGTGGCTGCCATGGACTATGGTGGTTGCCATGGACTATGGTGGCTGCCATGGACTATGGACGTATGGTGGTTGGCGCAGGGAAGTTTGGGAACATGCAACTCACCATGGAGCAATGACCGTGTCATGTGGCTGTGTACAGTCAACTTTGCGTATAACGACTCGGCGGGGCATCAGAAAAGTGTCCTTATTCACGAAGTGTCCTTGTACCCGTACCCGAAGTCTCATTATGTGTATTACAGTTACATGGGACTTTGCTCTGGGCATGGGAATTCTGTTGTTATTCGCGAATTGTCGTTATACCCAGTCGTTGTTAGCGAAGTTGACTGTATCTAAAGTGACGCGCTGTACACCCTCCCCGTGCAAGCAGAGATGGTCCTGTTAACAGCTGGTTGATGAGCTCGGTGTTTAGATCGTCAAAACGCCATGTGGGGATTTGGATATGTTATTTGAAATTGAAACGTGTAAAACCAGAGCAATGAACACTTTCTCCATGCTGCCTTTTCATATAAAAATCAGTTTAGGTTTGCCTTCCGTTGGAGAATTGCCGTCAACTTTGTGAGTGGCGATACCGTAAAAGCCCCTGTATACGCCCACTCGAAATAACGCCCACCCTCCGTGTACACGCCCAGTCAGGGGAAGACAACACTTTTGTTTCAAAATAGCGCCCATGCCCATGTATACGCCCAGGTATGTCGGAAACACCAGTACATGTACAGGTACTGATACCCAATACTTACTGCTATCCCTATTCCAAGTATACGCCCGGTTCCAAAATAACGCCCGTGCCCCTGTATACGCCCAGGAAATCGAGGCTGCTATTCTATACGCCCGGGGGCCTATACACGGGCTTTTACGGTATTCCGCCAGGCACAGAAAAATGCTTTGAGGCGAAAATAGTTCAATGGGAGCTCAAATAAAGCTGTCGTGATGAGTAATGGTGCCGGAAGAACTAAAGCGAGTGCTTGAAAACAGTGCAGACTGCAGAGGTATGTATCATTTCTTCTCTCAACTACAGTGCAGGCTGTGTTATGTTGTTATGAGATGGCTCCGAATAATTATCTCATCTAGTTAGCCATCAAGAACTGGAGAGAGTCTGGATGAAGTCAAGCTGGAAGTCAAGGTTTGTAAATTAGGAGCTTTAATATCAAGTGAAATAAATTGTCAGCACGGCATGGATGGCATTGCGGAATGGATGTTGCACATCAGTGTAAAGTCGTATCAGCGCTGTGCACTGATTACGTAATCAATGATGTCATTGCACTCGGCTATGTTGTCGTCTCGGTGCTGGGTCTCATGAACTCGTAGCCGTGCTCGTCCGTGTACGCCATCGCCGTGTCCTTTGGCACCAGGTACCCATCGGTGTCTCGTTCCAGCCCAGCACCTGCACCGTTGCTCTTCTCGCCGGTGGCTTTTCTCAAGTCGTACTCACGCCCAGTGCCGGTGAAGAGCCGGCGCTCCACGACCAGCGCGTCGTAGTAGTAGTTCTCGGCGGGGGCTTTCCCTCCCGCCGCTGCAGATCCGCTGATCTCCAGGCTTGAGGCGCGCACGTACATGTAGTCGCCGGCTGCGCGCGTGCTCTCCAGCAGGCGTGCCAGCATGGGCGTCAGCTGGGTGAACGTCGGTCGCCGCTCCGGCTTCCACTGCCAACACGCCGTCATGATGTCGTTCCTGAGTGATGAGCAAAGCAGATGTGCAAACATTCCAGTAGGACTAAGGAGGTTGTGATGTGAGAGAGGTTTTAAAGTACACGATGGGAGCGCACACTTCGACGAGTCCCCCTGGCTTGTGATTATGGGCTGATCGATTGATTTATTGACCAAAGGCTGTGGATGTACAGTGCTAGGTTATTAGGGGTGCACTGAAACCATTCACACTGCACCTTGTGTACTACATGTACTTGCCTGCACGTTTGCATTCTGTGCGGATGCAACACCTCTTTTTTTTTTTTTAAGTAAGTCGATTGGTCCCTGGGACAAGTCGTGCCATCTACGATCTCTGTTCCTACAGTACATCTCTGTTCCTGCGTGATTTGCACAATGAATTGCATGGGTGCACTGCAGCTCATGGGATGAGTAGAAACTGGCTGGGGTGCTCAAGCATGGGTCAGACAAACAACTCTTCAACAGTAATGAGGAAAGTACAACAGGTCGGGTTGCCACTCACAGCTCGTCCCGGCAGCCCACTGGCCTTGTATTGCGTCCGCCGTCCTTCAAGAAGTCCAGCAACTTGGAAGCGTTGTTGTCAAACTCTGGATACGGAAGATACCCTGCAGGAACCCATGAAAAGCCAAAATGCCAAACAAGAAATTGGTTTGTTGAATTCAGAGTTGAAGTTAGGTTCTGGCATGCAGCCGGGCGCAATGTAAACTTGCTGCACACATGTACACGCAGAATTCTCCTGCAACCCTACACAGGTCTACCACCGTTTAATAGTACGACATCGGTTACAAGATAAACTGCATTAGTAGGCAGTGATGAAGAATCCGCTGACGCCTGAAACACGTTCATTCACGTCCGGATATTAGATGTATGTATTGTATTCTTTATTTTACTTCGCCTAGTCAAACGGGATCATTGCCCCGTAGTATGATGCCGAAGGGTGGGGGTTGACATTACATAATAAATATATGTCGAGATAATTATGTGACCTGTACAGCGTACACTACACACAACTGTTGGAAGTATCTTCCGTAAAGCACAATGTCATTGTGTTGCAGACTTCAACATTGAGCAGCTCATCAATGCCATGCACAGTCATGTACTTGTGCTGCGCAAGAGACAAGCTGAGAACTTACCCAGGGTGCAGATTTCCCACATCAGAATGCCAAACGACCAGCTGCAGAAGAAAGAAGACGATATGGACACACACACACACACTCTCCGCATGGCTAGCTGTTTCTGCGTGATACGGGTTTGTGCTGGTAGCGGGTTTGTCACATTATTGACATAGTGCCGTCAGCCACAACATAAAAATGTGGGTGTAGTCGTAGGAATTGTGAAAATGGTCAAGGAATCGTGGAATGATCCTGTGGTGCAGAGCTGCATGCAGTGTTTCATGAAACGGTGGCATACAGATATAACGCTTCATGGTGCACTGCACTGGTTATTTCATGAATGCAGGTTTCTTTGGCAAGTGCCACATGACCTGTACATATCCCTTGATTGCCAGCCATGTCGTGTCGATAAAGACCCATGGGCCATAGCTGAACGCGCCGCCATGCTAAAGCAGTAGCAGGCACTGAACACGTGTACAGCGTTGCCGGGCACCAGAGAAACAAACAGGCTAGGATTTCTCCCAGCACAGCATGGCGATGCATACAGCGGCTCAACTGCACATAGACCGCAGTACACGAAAGATCAGAATGGCCCAGGCTGCAAAGCTGATCCCCCCCCCCCCCGCACCCGACAGCACTATAGAGGTTATGTGGTCACAGCATCAGCAGAGAATACTAGAGATGCTTTGGCAAAGCCGAGTCGCACTGGTGTACTAGCAAAAAGCGAAACCGCTGACTCACGCTGCATACTTAGGTCTCACCAGCAAATCTGCCGACTCACTTTGTATAGTTTTACTTAGCGCCCATAAACGAATTCGCTCGCTCACCACCGTAGCATCAATTACACAACATCTATAATTATGCTGTATGCTGTATTCTCTCTTCAAGCACTTACACATCACCGGCCGGCGTGTAGTAATCTCCGTTCAGGGTTTCCGGCGACATCCACTTGACGGGCACGGGCCGGTGACTGCTGCTGACGTACGCCTCGTCCGTGTACACATCCCTGGTCATGCCAAAGTCACAGATCTTCAGCAGCTTGCCGTCCGCAACCAGCACGTTCTTTGCGCGCAAGTCGCGATGGACAAAGTGCTTGGCAGCGAGGAACTCCTGAAAAAAACAAGTGTGGAAGGGGAGGTATTCCTTAGTTGAGGCTCTGTATCATTTCCCGAGAACTCGCTCTCTATCATTCTGGTTTATTGATGTTGAAGTAAAGCCTAAGATGTATGTACTGTACAGAGTTCAGAAGAAGTATCATACAGTACGCCCCTAGTCGAGTTATACCGTAAAGTACCGCGAGAGCGCCCCACCATCTTGTCCTTTTGTGGTCGCATTGTGGAGGTGGTGTCCTGATTGCAGGCCATACGACACGAACCTTGTACACGCATAGCAGTGGTCAATCCATACTCGATTTACCTTCGAGCGGACATGAGCTCCACACAAAAACCTTAGAAGTGTGACCTTAGTGCACTAAGGTTCTCACATCGTACAAACTTGGTTGCACTCTGCCATACGATTTTCCTTTCCCTGGCTGTAAAACCAAGGTGGGGTGCTCTGGCTGTACGTTACGGTACTTGGAATAACCACCCCAACCTCGCCATACTCTTCAAATTAGGATTTTGCCTCTAATAATAATAATAACTTTATTAGGATGACCCAAAGGCTGACCTGACCGCCTATCGTGGGGTCCGTCGCATTGAAGGATGATGGTACAAGAGAGTACAGATTGGGAAGGGGGGGGGGGGGGGGGACTACGATGAACATGGTAACGGCATGCCAGCGAGTAGACCTGAATACTGACAAGAATGTTTGCGCAGCTCTTTCTTGAATACATGGACAGAAGATTCCGAAGTCAATGCGGGTGGGAGACAATTCCATAAAAGGGAGGTTTCGAAAGTGATTTGGATGTTGTCAAGGCTTTCTAGTTGGTCTGCGCATCAAAGTCAAACACATGCAAATGTTGTTTTGTATGCGTGTGTTCGGGGGGGGGGGGGGGGGGGGGGTACTTACCATGCCTTTCGAGATCTGGACGGCCAGCGCGGACACCTCTGCCAGAGTGGGGTACGGTCCCTGCGGCCCTCGTTCCAAATCCACTCGCAAGCCAGGCTGTAGTGTGAGTAGTTTCCGGTAATGCTCGCTCTTCACACGCCATGCGCACAACAACAAATCACCCGAGATCAAATGAAGTGATGTCAGTATTTCAATAACATGTGCAAGCAGTTACATGTATGATGGTGACATAGTATCACAAGGCGGAAGACACACTGCTTTGAAGACAGTGTTCCGGACTGCACCCGGAAACACTAAGAGTTGGTCGAGTCAGTAGCACTGTTTTCAACGTCGTGTGTCTTCCCCCTTTAGTACCATGTGCAAGGACGGCCTGTGCAGACATGACGTGCTGGTCAGGTGTATCACTTCATGAGCTATGCAGACCGCCACATCAGTTCTTACATCGCAGTCACACGCTACACATCAACGTCCAAAACAATGCCGGGATACAATGCCCTAACCTTGTCGCCTTCGCGAGCTGCACGGATCAGTGCCAGCAGCGATCCGTATGGCATCAGCTCCATCACTAGATGCGTCAGACGGCCATGCAGTGGTTCACGTACGTAGTGTACCATGCGCACGACGTGTGGAGATGTTGAGCCATCACGCTGCAGCTCAATGAAGATCTTCACTTCGTTCTTCAGGCACTCCTCGGCATAGCGGGCACGCGAACCACCGTGTTGGTCATCTAGGCTCATGGAATAGTTACAACACATGCACACACACACACACGCATTCACGTACACGTGCACAAGCATGGACACACACGCACACGCACACACACAAACACACACAATCAGCCCAAAGTACATCCCCCCCAAGTATCACCAAAAAGGCTAATAAAAACCTCATCATGTACATGTAGTTGCATCTGAAGTTCTGTACAAATAGGATACTATAAACCGGGAAACCTTTGCGATTCGGAATCGTTTGCGATTTTCGCGATGGGCGTGAAATCGCAAAGTATACCGACACGAAACGTAGAACTGTAGTAATAAGTTCTAAAACTAATGAAATTGAATCCAATCGCAAACATTTCCAGATGCAAGTTGGTCTGTGCGAGCAAATCAGAAACCCAAACCGGCGCAAGCGTTTCCCAGTTTACAATAGGTGCATTAAGTGTTCAAATCTTACATTTGACTTCTTTCACGGCCACCATCGAAGTTTCCTCGGTCGCACCGCGCGGCAGCAGCGGCTCGAGCAGGTGGCCGAGGCACACCTTGCCAAACGCACCCTCGCCAAGCGCCACGTCCGCGCAGATGTCGATGTGCTCCAGGCTGGCCTCCCAGCGGCCACGCTTGCTCAGCTGCGAGCCGGTCGGCGATAGCAGCGTGACCGGTGACAGCGCTGGACTGGTTTTGGTCAGGGAAATCCCCACGGCCTGCGGTGGTGGCTTTATTAGCGGCAGCTCGCCGACCGCAGTCCTGTGCTCCAGCTGGGGAAAGACGTTCGGATCGGCCGGCCCGACGCACCAGGCGCTGTTCTTGCGGCGGCGCACGCCGACTACGAGCAGCACGGCGACACCGACCAGCACCAGGACTACGCCTGCTCCGGCGGCCGCCGCTGGCACAATGGTGGAGGTGAGCGCGTCACCCTCGCTGACACCACCGGCAGCAGCACCATCCGGGTCTTGAGTGCTCGTCGCAGTGCTGCCCGTCAGCGTCACTGCTGGGTCATTGCTGTTGTACAAAGTACCAGCTCCTGGACGGTTGGGGCCAGTTGCAACTGGCATTGTGCTCACTTCCTGGTCAACTGTAGAAAGCCAAACCAATGCACATCATCATCAATGTCAGTTTTTTTGTTTTTGTTTTATCTCATGTACTTCGAAGTGGTAGCATTACACATCAACGGGCATGACTCGTGGAAGGATTGATGGCATACCTTTCCCAATAGGATCACACAACCTTCAAAAGGTTCTGAACTGCATGGAGATGGTACATGTTTTGTTAATTGAGTTAGAAGTGATTTTACTGCAAACAGTGCAATGTGTACTACCCGGATGTACATCATAAACAGTGCAATGTGTACTACCAAGAGTACATAACCCCCCAGAGTGTGCAACGCCTGATCCAGCTCTGTGTAGGGTCTTGGTCGAGCGGAATCGGGTCTTTGCGTCATAATACCGTACACATCTGAGGGGAACCCGGGGAGTCGCGGGTACTCTTGGATCAAAAACAATGGTGCCCTGCCTCGAGACCGGCCTTGCGCTGGTGTGAAGTGTACGCATGACATCAGAAGATCCGATTCCGCTCGACCAAGACCCTACACAGAGCTGGATCAGGCGTTGCACACTCTGGGGGGTTATGTACTCTTGGTACTACCCGGATGTACATCATAAACAGTGCAATGTGTACTACCCGGATGTACATCATAAACAGTGCAATGTGTACTACCCGGATGTACATCATAAACAGTGCAATGTGTACTACCCGGATGTACATCATAAACAGTGCAATGTGTACTACCCGGATGTACATCATAAACAGTGCAATGTGTACTACCCGGATGTACATCATAAACAGTGCAATGTGTACTACCCGGATGTACATCATAAACAGTGCAATGTGTACTACCCGGATGTACATCATAAACAGTGCAATGTGTACTACCCGGATGTACATCTTGTAGTATAGTATGCTGACACTATGATCACCACCACCACCGTATGAGCACGTGATTCATCATAAAGTACTGCAGGCCAGAGGAAATCAACCTCATGAATAAAATAGCACGGACGTTTACACGGCCCTAGCACCGCACACACTATTCTGTGCACTCGAACACGGCGCTACTTTTTCATGAGTTGTCAAATTTTACTGGCCAGTACTTTAGGAATGACTGGACTGAAGTATAATAACATAAACAATAGCGTGGCTTCACAACCTGGTCATGTGACTAAATTTGTGTAGAAAGTGATCATGGCATGCCATGATGTGGACAATGGAGCTACTATGGTCAACACGATGTGACCCAAGGATGCGAGTGTTGAGTGGAGTTGGAACCAACATGGCTGTCCTGTATGGCCATGTGATAGATGTGAAACCAATCGCGTGCATGGTTGCCCGTACCTCTGCAGGTCGCGCCGCTGGCATTCACAACTTGCTTTCCGCCAACACGTAGCATAGAGAATTGGGTGGCCTCGTCCGGCGAGTTTCTCATCCAAACGAGCAACTACAAAATTACACACACACACACACACACACACACACACATACACACACACAGAGAAAAGCCCAGGTTATGACTCAAACGGCGCCAGGCTCCTGAATAGTGCAATAGCGATCAGTGAAATCTGACCAAATGTGCAAAACTGATTCTTTGAAACAGCTCCGATCACATCACTGTATTTGTACGTGTGTACCTTAAGCCACCGTCCATACCACTTCCAGGGTGTCGAGGGCCATGCAAGTTGTGGGCGCCAAGTATACGCCTGGGGCAGATTCGACCGAGTGCAGCTGCGCAATGCTAAGCTAGCGACAGAGAATACTCGGCACTTTGGTAATGTGAGCATTACAATCCTGTCCACCGGTGACATCCACCATGCAGCCCTTCACTACCATATTTTGGGGAACTAGCGGTGGTCTTTTATTACCGCCTGACTGAAATAAGCGCCACATCATTCCAAGGCTTTGTGTGGAAATTGTTCAATTTAGGCCGGTGACATTTTAGCACTCCCAATACTACTAAGCGCCTCGGCCAGTATTGTCGAAATATGGTATGCGGCCCTATCTGAACTGCAACTTTATTGGTGACATCTAACATGCAGCCCCTCACTATGCAGCCCCTCACTATGCAGCCCCTCACAATGCCACCCTACCTGAACGGAGTTGATGTTGATGGTCTGCAGGGAGTAGGCTCTGCTGGAGAAAGTGTGCTCAATCAACCCGTCCTGCGCAATCTGTGAGTTCCGTAGATGAACAGCAAACATGAAGTATTGACACAAGCTAAGTGCAAAGGTGCTCCGCTCCGTGAAATCATAGCCGAATCGGACAATTAAGTTTGCAATTGTACAAGGCTAACCAATTGTTTTGGGTATTCTGGAGTTTCATGGCTAGTCGGCCAATCATCAGACGACAAAGATCTGATGACTGGCCTTTTGAAGCCGTGCGCCAAGAAGAGTGTTGTGCTGATTGCAGGCCTGCCACGTTTCTATGAGTCACTGAGAAATCTGAATGGGTCAACCCCACCTGGGGGGGGGGGGGGGGGGGGGGGGGTATAAAGGAAGACAGTGCCCCATTTAGAAGCCAAAGGATATTTTAGGATTTCAAGGTCCGAAACATCAGGATAGGACATTTTGGTGACCAGTGAAACTAAAATGGTGGAGCAGAATTTAGGTTGGTTTGTCAGAACGACCTGTAAAAATCGGAGCATTTCCGAAAAATCGAAATAAGTGGCAACCTTGTGATTGCATTAATCCGTAGGATAAGCATTATCCTGTACTGATCCTACCGTCAAACGCTCCGGGTGCATCGCTAGTCGAATCGGGAGTGGCAGGCCGCTGACTTCGATGCTCAGGTGCTCGACGTACTGGATGTCCACAGACTGGGCTAGTTCGCTGGCGTTCAAGCGCACGGTGACGGAGAACTGAGAGCAACACGCCTCCTTGTCCTGGCTGAACATGCGTATACGGTCAGTGCAAGCCTGGTCCGAGCAGACACATGTCGTCGCAGAGCTGGCACGGATCGAGCGGTAGACATTGGCATTCGATCCCCGCATGCACGGCGTGGGTGTCTCGATATCGCGGCAGACTGATACACACACACACACACACACATACACACACACACACACGGTTGGGAATGTACATATAGGCACGAGAGGTTGCTCAATGCACCCAAGTCTGTCAGGTAGGGTCGGAGGTATCAAGTGATACATCTTGCCGTGTGTCCAGCAAGATGTCCTTATCTGTGTATGCGTGGAGTAAGATGCCTACATGCTGTAGTCCTATCTTTAGCTTTGTGTAGAGTAAGATGCCTAGTCCTACCTATAGCTTTGTGTAGAGTAAGCTAGGGAAGTACCCAACCAGTGGATAACAGTAACTTACAGGGAACGGCGACAGATTGGATGTTTCCAAACTGCTGTACTCTCTGAAGGATGCCACGATCAATTTCCCCAGCCGAGCTTGATGCCAGTACCTGCAGAGTACAAATTAACAATCACCGATACCATCACCGACATCATCACCGACGTGACATTGGCAGTGACTACAGTTTGGCATCTACTGTAAACCGCCCAATATTCGCGTACTAGCCGGCATCATGCTTTCAGAGACCACCAGCATTCAACAGACCGGCCATGATAGACTGGTTTCACAGTGAGTGGCTGCTGATACCAAGTTTCACATGTATGTCCATCCATCCAGTCAAGTGGGCTTGAGAGCTTGTCAAGAAGAATTGGCTGGTAACGATAAAACTTAAAAAATATCGAAAAGAGAGAGAGAGAGAGAGAGAGAGAGAGAGAGAGAGGGGGGGGGGAGGGATAGAGAGAGGGGGGGGGGGGATAGAGAGGGATCAACGGACTCACTTGTATACTGTACTGTTCACCCAGTTCAAGTCTATCCCTGTCCAGAGTTAGAGCACGCTGCAGTGACAGGAACCCAACCAAATCATAGCCTAATCAAACTGGGGATGTACAGTGTAAGTCAAGTAACGTGACGGCATACATTGGTAAATTGGTAAAGCCTTCCAAAGGAACTGTGATAAAGATGAAAGTGTTACCAGAACAGCTCCCCAACAATCACACTTAATCGGGTTACTTTGAAGTTTCAAGCATGGCACTACTCAGTACGCTTGCAGCACAGATAGCGGAACCATTGCTGTTATGTGTAAATGGTCAGTTGGGACTGAGTTCCTTGCAAGGATGATCACCTAGGACGAACATGCCAGTTATCAGCATTACTACAAAAACAGCATGCACACGGGAGGAGATTGGAGCCAGGATTATAATGTGAAGAAGCAGAACTCACCTCCGGCGACAAGAACTGAGCGACATTACCGGACTCCCTCGTCGTCATAGAGACAACGTACGTCACGTTTCGACCAACACACTTGACTGGAGAAAAAAGAAGCAGGAGAAGGAGGAGCACAAGTAGCACGAGCATGATCCCGCAAGTCAAATTAGTTAATTTATAGAAAAGAAAAAGGACCAAGGAACTACAAGTTACGCTATAATGTCCACTAACACCACCAGTTACAACACAATCAGCTCATGCGATAACATTGGTTAAATGTCACATTTTCGAATGTGCTTGCAATTAGAGCGGTGCCGGTATGTCTTTCCCTCAAACCAGTTAATAATTAGAGCGGTAAACAGACAAGAATGTGAATTTAATAGTTCACAAACTGGATGGTCGTACATCATTCATAAACCATGTCTATCTCTCTCTCTCTCTCTCTCTCTCTCTCTCTCTCTCTCTCTCTCTCTCTCTCTCTCTCTCTCTCTCTCTCTCTCTCTCTCCCCCCCCTCTCTTGATATCACTTACGCCAGTCTTCGAAAATACCGTTATCCACTGTCCAGTTGTAGTGGAAAACTGGCTGATATCCACGCAGGGCTAGTTGACCGGAAACAGCTCCACTCACCAATACTGCATCATCTACATGTACAGAACATCACAGCATAGCAGCAGAAACGCTATTGCATGGAAACTCTAGACCGAACGAACAGCAGGTAATGGAATGATTGAAGCCGATGGTCGATTCTAATTGTGAGTGTGTGTGTGTGGGGGGGGGGGGGGGGTGTTCCTTACCTATTAGAGAGGTTCCACACTACGTAAAGTTGAGCAACTTTACGTTTGGGGGCGAGAAAACCTGTGAATTCGCGAGTTTGCACTCCACTTACGGAAAGTTGTCTACGGAGAGTACGTAGATAGGGCTGTGATAACGTAGCTGGTCCGTAAGTGGATTGGGGTACAAATTTATGACTCTCTCCCCAGGTCGATCTGGTCGTACACTGCGGCGTTCGAAGTTGCCAAGGGCAGCTACGTGATTTGAAAACTCCGTATGGCGGAACACATATATGCATGCAGTTTCCGTTAGACTTTCCGTAGACCGACTATGTTTTTTTACTAACGTAATTACGTTATGCGGAACCTCTCTATTGTTTCAATTTGCTTGACACGGGGGGGGGGGGAGGGAGGGGAGGGTGTTAATCTCCTTCCTGTTTAGCCCCGTCCTGCCTCTCTCTTCTAGACTGTACAGATCAAGACATGGCTGTAGTCATCGAAAAGTCCACGCTGGCATTGCTGCAGCCTCCAGTGAACCAAACTTCAGTGATTTGCACAGCCATCTATGCACACCAGCTATGCATGGCGAAGACGGACTGCACTGGCAAAGCACCGCATCTCGAAATTGGCCCATACATCTGCGAAGGTCCCCGACTTCTTTCTCTCTGACTGGCTTGCTGTGTTTTAAGAGGAAGGGGGGGGGGGCATGTTGATCTAAAGCCTCATACTGAAATTTGTTTTTGAGCGCCCAGCATTGGATTATCCGCTATTTGGTGAGGGCATGCACCGAACGAAAGGTGACCAGAGAAAGGAAGTCTAGATAAAAAGACTGTAATAATTATAGTCTTTAACATAACCATTATCTAGGTGTTGTCTGCTAAATTGAAAATGATTAGCAGCAGCACCCGGGCTTTTGGAGCCGCGAATAAGATCAGCCGAAGAGTGCAGCGTCGGGGAATGCAATGCCATCTGCTGTCCGCCGTATTATATCCCAGAATTCTCTGTCTCCATATCAATGTGTCAACTGGTCAAGGTAGAGAATTTGGCCCAAAACAACGCCATCTGCTGTCTAGCACTAGCTGAACTCTCCCTATGATCGGTTTTTCTGGCCTCTTTGTAGTAGTACATTGTACTCACGGTTGAGCCACCGAAGTAAAATAAATTCAATACAATACTACACATTTCCTACTGGACATCTTACCCTCTAAAGGAACAAAGGGGCAGAGAGAGCAGCCTGCTGCCACGGCAATGGATAGGCGGACTGTACCGCGTATTGTTCCAGCCAGCCGTGCTATTCCTCCAGTACGTGCTTGCTCAGCGGTGATCTGACAGAGCGGATAGGAACACAGCATAGTTAGCAAGGACAGGACCTACAGTAGGGGACCCACTGGTTGGATGGATTGGGATTCGAACTTCAAAGCCTATAGATGCACTCATGCACATTCACTCTCGCGCGCACACACACACACACTGAAAACACACCGGACACGCACATGCATGCACCTCCACAGACATTGCTTAAAGGGGAAGTTAAGGCAAAAATCAAAATTTCACCAGTTGTAGTCTTGGGGGTGCTGAGTCGAATGGTCTTGGTCCGAGGAAGCTGAGACCCTCCCTTCCTACTTGAATCCCAATCGAACTCGCGCACTTCCACCGAAACTGGGTGACTGCGCCCTACGAGATGGGGATTTGTATGCAAAATGTCACTAAAAGCGCCATTTCATTCTTATAAAAGCACGGATGACCGCGATTGGCCCATATGTTGTAGTCTTTTGGACGCTGAGTCGCCTGGTTTTGGTCCGAAAAGGCTGCGATGCAGCGTTCCTCCTTTATTCCCAATCGAACATGGTTGAAGAAGCGGTCACGTGCTCCTGGGTGCCCAAATCACCTGGTCACCACGCCAGCAGGCGACAACTTTCACACCAAGGTTCAACTCGAGTTCAAATCGAGTGACAGGACTGCACCCAAAAAAGGTCAAACAGGCTAGTGAGTTGTACCCTGCAGGCACGGTGACCAGGTGACTGGTGTACGCAGGAGCACGTGACCACTTGTTCGACCATGTTCGATTGGGAATAAAGGAGGAACGCTGCATCGCAGCCTTTTCGGTCCAAAACCAGTCGACTCAGCATCCAAAAGACTACAACATATGGGCCAGCCGCGGTCATCCGTGCTTTTATAAGAACGAAATGGCGCTTTTAGTGACATTTTGCATACAAAGCCCCATCTAGTAGGGCGCAGTCACCCAGTTTCGGTGGAAGTGCGCGAGTTCGATTGGGATTCAAGTAGGAAGGGAACGTCTCAGCTTCCTCGGACCAAGACCATTCGACTCAGCACCCCGAAGACTACAACTCGTGAAATTTTAATTTTTGCCTTAACTTCCCCTTTAACATGCTCGCATTGTATAAGACAGCAGAACACAGCACCACTCCACAACACCAATAACTTACTACAATAAGGTTAGTACCGTCATCCGTACACTGGGAAATGCTGCCACGCTTGCACAGGAGAAAGTACACTTTTTCCTCGGCTGGAGGTGACGTCTGCTCTGTGAACGGTCGCCATGCCAGGTAATTCTCCGTCTTGGACTTGCGCACCACCATGGGCTTGGCTACGCGTACAAAGTCTGAATGGAAGAGAACGGCCACGTAGGTTAGAGAGAGACCTTGACGGGCTTGTGTTGCATGCACAGTAAGGCAAGCAATCACTGGTACCTTCCTCAGCCTTCTACTTCCGTCTCCGTGCAGAATCTGGCGGCCAGGCTCGGGTCTGACTATACACGGAGGCTGTCACATCTAAGCAAAGCACAAGTGTTGCCATGAAACTAACCGTACCGAATATTTCTCCACCTTGAGCCAGAACTTAGTACTTACTTGCTATATCAGAACTTTGAAGTTGAAAGTATAATGTACGGCCAAGAGTCGTAAAAATCAGTACTCTGCAGGGGCGTCGGAACCGGTGCGGCAGGTGCGGCCAAAGCCGCACCAATAATCTTCGATTTTTTGTTTTTTTTGTTTTAACATTTCAACCTTGTTGGTGGCTTGTCGACTCTTGTACAGGTACCATGTTTTACATCGACAATGCGGTGTATCATCAGCATACACATTCTTTTTATTATTCTATTTGGCTTTTTAGGCCCAATTTTCAAAAATTTTCCCGGGGGATGACCCCGGACCCCCTCTCACACTTCCGCTGCACCAATGTTAAACTCCTTCCGACGCCCCTGCTCTGTACTCTGTAGCTAAAATCAAGTGACTGGTATAGCATTATGCAGGGCGCTCAAAATAGTAATTTTCACTGCAACCTGCCACAGCATGTGCTATACTGAAGTCTCATTGTACGACACCCGGCCTGAACACTGACCGGATGTGCTGCATGTCGATATCGATGCTGCAGTCCCAAGAGTTGAACTCTATCGAGCAAGCAAAACAGGAAAAATGCACATCAGCATCATCATGCACAACAGAGAGAGAGAGAGAGAGGCAGAAACTTGAGAGTCAGCCTGCCATTTCGTCTCAAAAAGCCCCGTGACAAATTCCATTGCGATTATCAGGAAGCTTCTGCACTCCGACACTATTGCAAAGAAGGATTGGTGCTGGCAGAAGTTTCTGACATATTTTTTAAAGGTGTATTAGTAAGAGCATCATCAGTGTCCATTGATTCCCATACTGGACTATTATTGTGTTGGATGTTTCAGTGAGTTTTGTGATCAATCAGCCATTCAGCCATCAGCCTACCAAAAACTGAGAGATGTGGAGTAGTCTTAGGCTGTGCTGGCTGTACTGGCTGTACTGACTGTCATTGATGGCTGAAGAGCCTGTTTGGGCAAACACGCCACTATGTATTTCTATTTCTGGAGAGGCTCATTCATGATCCATCACCACATCACTTAGAGTTCGATGCAGAGTAGTGAAAAAGTCCGGGCAGTATCACAGAAAAGAATCAAAAGATCATTCATTTTTCACTTCTACCTCTATCTTGCCAGAAGTGGGGTCCTGTGTGTAATAATGTTGAATCAGGCTACCTATGCCATCGCTTGCCGCTTGTAGCATTGTTGATGAATCAGTTTGCACCACTGTGGTCACTAATGAGGTCTCAGAAGACGGTCAAATGCAAAGGATTCAAGCTTCCCTCTCGAAGGCGGATAGAATGACGTCGAAGCGAGAAACATGTCCCACACGCTACAACAAACAATTACAAACACGTCCTGAACCGCGGAGCCATTGCACGTCCGGTCTCTCCACTCCAGGTTGTAGTGAAGTCCATCACCATGATCACGCACACAGGAACACCGGTCTCTACGACTGGATCCTCACCGATATCGAGATTCTCCAAACAAGTTTCAGCTAACTGTCAAGGAAGTACACAAGTGAACACTAAAATACTTCAGTGCATGTACTACTCACACACAGTATACCCAAGTCCTTCGGTACACTAACACCAAGAGAAATATAAAATAAGCTTCCCGAATGCAAAATATACTCTTGGTAACACCTTACCGGTCGAAGGGTTGCTGTATCAAAAGTGCTTGTGCTGCTCACAGCGGATTTGCACTTGCTCTGCTCAGCCAGCTTCTTGCTGAACGTGTCTATGGAGAGGACGACGGAAGTTGAAAAGGTCACTGGTGGTTTGGCGCTAGTGGCAGCAGTTGTTGGACTGTCAACGGCGCGCGCGGACAGAGCGCACGTCACAGACAGGATGAACACAACGCGGAAATCCACTGCAAGACGTGCTAGAATCGACTTCCCATCCATGACAGCGATACACAAATTCCAAGTGGGATACTCCAAAACTGGCAGAGCGTTGTCGCTAGTTTTTTTCACCACAACGACAGGAGACTTGCGTGATAGAACGCTGTCGCGCGGAGCTGAGAAGCCCTGGAACGGTTGTTGGATTTACAACTGACACCTTGTAAGGAAACTCTTGTGACACATTTCACGAACGGACATGCTACTTCCGTGTCTACCGGAGCTTGCTAGAATAAATCCTCCCAGTGTCACCATCGAACGAAACTGATAGTGGCACAAAAGATTTTATCCAACACACTGCGCAGCCTACAGCGTTCTCGTACACGAACGAACATCTTGTCCATCGGACTGCGCGCGGACATATCGTATCTCCGTAGTCAAGTAACGTCGTGCGTTGTCTGACCTTTTGGAAGGCAGTCAGCTGTACCATCTTGGCCTTGACCTGCTGAAAAATCGCATACGAACCCGCGACTCTATTCACAACACCATCGATGAATACAACAGCGCTAGCCCGAGCAAGAACGAGTCCAGGGCGTAAGTCACTACCAGTAGTACTATTGACTCGACTACTTGTAAGTGCTTGGAAACACTTTTACAGCCATTCACCAGTGCCAGTCTTTCCTCAGCTCAAGTCGTCTGCACAACTCGACTGGCTTGCAAGTGCGTGGTCCGAGCTGGACTGGAAAGGCTGCATTGCTATCGGCGTTTCACGGATGTCGGACGCACCCCACAACCTTTCCGCCTACGCAATCCAGATTTCATTTTCTAACCTTTCGCATTTTCCGAAGATTCCGACCCTGGCCTAGGCTCCACTGACTGGGGATAACCACGGAACACTAAACAGGTTGTAGATTGGTAACCTAAGTCGCATTCATTGCTGGGCTGCCAGAAATAGCGTCAGCACATCAACGGGACTGTCCCATGCTGGAGACTGCAAAGTGGAATCATGTGCTTCAAAAGCAGGAGATGAGGTTTGGAAGGTGAAACTGAAAGATTGCGTTTGAGTGATCCATCGGCTAAGGCAGTAATGGCAGCTGTGAAAGCATCCTGCTAACAGTTTCAGCCATCGTAACAGAATTATCACACATTATCGCTCTGACCACCCGCGTGACAAACACCGGTAAATTACCGGCTGAAGAACATCAGCGCACCGGTGCCTTACATTTTACATACTCGCTCAGCTAGTGCTAGCATCCCACCATTACAATAAAATATGGTCAGTATTACTTGTATCATGGTCCGATTCATAGTTTAAATTTAAGATGGTAACATGGATGTAGCGCCTGGGATTTCGGTCCGAGTTCGGCGTGACTTTGTGGCATTGTGGGATGCCTGGCGGCACTCAATGCTTTCCCCACCGCAGTGCAAGCTCCATCTGTGCGTTGATCTTGTGATTGAAGGTGGTGGCACTATATATTTGGTAGCCACATCCTACATACCCCCCCATGTACCAGGGGCGTACACCGCTCGCCTCTAGGAGTGGTTCCCATGCCAACTGATCAACCAACATAATTCCACACGGCTAGTGCTCTTATACGTATCCGATGGAGTTTGTGCATAAACTGCTGGATAATGTCACTGCTACGCATATTTGATTTAAAAAGACTGAACTTTGCCAAGGCATTTTTTATGGATGTTTTGTTCAGCAGGACGATTTCATGTTATGCCGTGAAACGAGTCGCTGAAGCACATCCACACACTCAGTCTTGAGTCGGGTTATATTCTGGGGAGGACTGCGGTAAAGCTGCCCAAACTTCGAATCACCTGGAGCAAACATTACACAGGGCAAGCAGAAGCCACCATGGCACGCCGGTCAAAAGACTACCCAGGGAAACTCCTCCAACCAGGATAGTTGAAAGCGGCGCTGTTTGCCACCCGTCTGGACACGCACAGGAAACGAAATCCTTCGCCTTCAGTGCAGCTAGTGGCACACAATGATTGTCAATGACGGAAATCTTTTCCATGTATGGCAAATTTCGGAGGAATCAGGGATTCCACCGTGGAGGTACACTTTCAGAATATCCTTTCCAACACACTCCAATGTCACTGAAGTAAGTCTTGGATGATCCAGCAGCTTCCAACAACGGTCGCTCTACAGCTTCGCCGACGATTCCGTCCTCTGTGCTGCTCGTTGCAGACTCCACTTGGAAGTCAGGTGCGTCCGCAATCTCATCTATCGCTTGACCTTCGTCACTGGCTACACGCTTTGCCTCCTGCTCAAAATAGCTCTGAATAGAGCGCTGGCCCTCTGGATGTCGACTCTTCATTTTTCTTTTCCACAAAGCGAAAGCATCGTCAAAAACGTAACCAACTTTGTCGAAACAAACTGCAAAGGAAATGACTCTTGAGATCGAGGAATCGCTGTAACTCGTATGTAGAGACTTCGTTGCACCCAGTAAGTTCAGTAGATCTACGCTGTGTCACAAAAATGCCTCAGCAGCACTTTTACACCTTGCCTTGTCACCGTCCTCGGACGGTCAGGCGGACTGCAGGCGACTACGCCGCCTAGGCATGCATGCACTGCATGCACGCTGGGCCTGGATCAAAACATTCTCCGTAGATCTACCCACATCGAAATTATTTTACTGGTTCCCGGGCATCCCGGGAACCGCCCTATGTACGCCCCTGTGTACTCTTGGTCCTACTGATGTGGAAAAGGGAGGTTGTCTGATCACGACCACGAGTATCACATGAGAACAAGGAACTACATGTACTAGTACTGTTATTTTTATATAATAATCATGGCCTTATTAAATATGGGGCTAATACATGTACATGTACATGTACGTAGAAATATCTCCTGCAACTGCTATGGCTGATGCGGCAAGTGGTGGCCACGCCTTTAACTTAAAAAAGAGAGTAGTGTAAGCACAGGGATATCTACACGCACGGTATTGTTGCCTGTTTTTCGAAGCCGACGAAGGGCATGACCTTGAATCATGTATAATGCCTAATGGCTTGGGCTGAGAAATGCCACTCGCCCTAAATAATAATAATAAATTCCACACGTAAATCTTCTAATAAATCTGGATGGATGCCTACTATCCAGCTACCAATCAGAGTCAGTTGTGCTCTCTATAAGGGGTTTGTTTGTCACTCTTGAGCGATGCCCCAGAAATACTCCATGCCATCACCTTCAAGTAAATTGTGTTGCCGGCAATTACTTCATCATGTGACCGGCACAAGGGGGGGGGTACACTGGAGTTAGAAGGTCCACATGCATTCAGGGGATGTGAGCGAGTCTTCCCACTGTACAACATATAATATAGACTGCTCCATAACATTGGTGCATTGATTCGAAGCACTAGTAGTAGTAAAACTATAAGTGTAACTATAAGCCCTTTCAAGGTTATTGTGAGGGCTAGCTACATCTGCGTATGGCACTGAACACTTGAAGTTGAAGGTTGATGATCTGGATTGTAACTTTAGCTTCCTCTTAGACACCCCTTACTTAGACCCAGCCTGTGGCAAACATCAACACAAGCCAGAGAATGACCTATTTATATTATTAGAATGGGAGAATGACTGAAGAGAGAGAAACCCGAAGTGGAGGAGGGAAAAGGGCAGCAGCCAATACAGATGTGACAGTGTACAGTACTGCTGTTGCCGGTACTTCTACAAATTTAACTGAATAGTACAATGACTATGTACCGTACCGGTACATGTAGCATGATACCGATCGAGGAGACTCGGACTCGACTGGGTTTGTCAGGGCTCACACCCAAGATTGAGGGTGAGCGTCATATGATTGTGTCGATCGTGCCAGACACAGTCGCACACCTGTGGCTGAGCGTGTCCGGCGAAACGCCACCGCCGTCAGCTGCCCAGCAATGCATGGGGCATGATCTGGTGTCATACAGGTGTATCGTTGCTGTTTTATAAAAAAAATCGCCACCACAAAGGCAGAGGAGGATGGTGACAACCGGATTAAATTATAGTTGTAACGCTGCGTTTCATGCACTTAGTAAGGCTAAGGCTAAGGCAGTCCTCAGACAACTGTTGAACACACCGTCACACTGCTGCATCTTGACTTAGGCAGTTCCTGGCTTGCTTGCAGACCGATCTACTATTTTCTAAGAGTAAGGGAAAGAAGGATCAGGCTCCATGCCAGATTAGTGTGTCCTTACCACCCATGATTCGACCATAAGAAGGATCAGATCCCATGCATTTTGCAGCCTATGATTCCAGCGTCGGATGATCATACACTCTTTAAGTAACCAGGGAGTAATGAGGGGAAATGCTACTCCTTAGTTGTAACGACCATCAGAGACTGAGAGGGTTCCTCCGGATCGTAGAAGAGTGATGACCACATACATGTATGCAATGTAGTCCAAGTTCAAGAATCATGGCTGCCGGACCCCGGAGGATGAGGCTCGAACCATTTGATGCTGGCTGCTGTTCCATCGAAAATTATCACGCTTGAGAGCTCTTGAAGATCTTGGCACAGGACAGAGAAGCATGTAGAGCCCCATAGCTGTTCTAAAACAATCGGTTCGTGGAGGACAACGCCTAGCCAGAGCAAGAGAGGCCTTTCAACCTGCACGCTCATGACTCATGTGTCAAGTACATTGTACTGTGCTTCGAGTAGCCACCATGTACCAGTCCACAAAGTGAAAGCCGGTCCTACTGTACTTGAACAATGCCAAGTAGATTTGCACTGGACAATACAGGTATAATGATGTCATGTAAACAGTCATGTAGCCTATTGTATATAATTACTAGTAATGTAGTATGTAGGTTTTTGTAGTATCGTCTCCTTTTGGAAGATGAGTCATGCAATGCAGGTGACTCAGTGAATGCACAATGCCACTCTGTTTAATAATAGGAGTTGATATTGCGTTGATTACACTTCGGAGGCTCCGGCTGCGAATGTGACAGTGTGTTAGGCCTCAAATCTTCGCTTTTCAAATAATTCACAGCGATTTAAAGAGAAAATTTACACAAACTCCAACCTCGTCCCCTTGATATTCCCGCCCTTTCCCTCACTCCTTTGGCCTTTTTCTTCGCTTCAAATTGTTGCAGTTGCAGATTTATTTCTCTTTGGACGTAGCCGTATAGCCTACATACGTGTTGATTGCAGAGCCATGTCATCCGTTAGTGACCTCCCCAGTCAGGGGACGGCTGGTTCTGCGCGTCCCACGCAGCACGACCCGCTTGTGGCAAATCGTGGAGCTGCAGAGATCCAGAGTGGGAATGCTGTGCCCGAGAGGCCACCACAGCCCACTCAGCGTGATTTGCTTTCTGCCGCATCCCCCACTGTCTGCGGAAGTGGTGGGGTGCCGGCTATGCCCATGCCGCATGGAGGTTACCCGGCCTATGGGTCGTTTTATCTACCACCGCACGGGCTAGCTCCGACTGGAGAGCATCCGTTTTCGGCTGCACAGCGGGCTGTAGGGCTCTGTGTTTCCGCCGAGAACGAAGCACTGCCTGGCCCAGGGACTGAGGTCCTGGAGT